GTTGGGTAGGTTCGTCACTCGCACCCCAAGACTAAAATTAGAATTTTTTATTTCTGGCTCCTAAACAAAAAAAAACACTAAAATACTTGCATCCTTTTCTTCATCGAGTTTTAAAACACTGCGTCTCAATTTTAATTAGTAATTAATCGTCTTTTATTAAGAACATGCCTAATAAATAGACAGTGAAAATGATTAATTTATATTTAATCTATTTTTGTATTGTTATTCAGCAGTTAATTAAGTAGCATTTTTTATAGATGAGTACTTTGAAATGCGTCCTCTTGAAATGGCTGCCCACCATTTTACCACAACACTGGTTATTTTTAATGCTTTTCTGTGTTCCATAGAATATATTATTTTTTATTTATTTATTCATTTAAGAAGAAACGGTTTGGGTATGGCCCTGGCCAACAATTTAAAATAGACGAAGAGTCTCGACAAAAATTTAAAGAAATTTAATCGTAACTTATTTAACAATCAAGAAAATGAAGGTTAACAGGTCATTATTGAAACTAAGATGAGAATTTAAACAAACTTTAAGAACAGCTAACATGAAAACGTGGGAAAAATAAATCACGTGTATAGATGAAATTGAAAAAATTCAAATGTCGTAGAAATTGACCGAATACGCCCTCACCTCCACCATCACAAGAACAAAAAAGTAGTCGTCATTGTATTCGGACATGATTGAAATATTAAAAATGATTGAACGGCGAAATCTGTCATTCGTCAAATTGTGGTCCATCCGCTGTCAGATACACTTCCATGTCCAGTCTGTCAATTGCCAGATACACTATCATTTCCATCCATTATTAGATATAATTTCATTTCCATCCATTTCAAGTTCGCCATCATTGCAGACGTTCTCAGTCTGAATTTTTATCTAATCGCTGACATCCTTATCATCAGCGTCATTGATTTGTTCATCATTATGTTTATCATTGTAATATCTTCATAGTATCAACATTGTCATTGTCCCATATGAATGTTGTCCATATACCATTTTTATCTTCGTTTGTAATTCAATAAGACAACTTGTTTCAAATTCTGAATGATTGAATGAATGGGTCATCATCTTCACCATCATCTTCATCATCATCTTCTTCATCTTCTTCATCATCTTCTTCATCATTTTCATCATCGTCTTCATCATCATCTTTATCATCATCTTCATCATCATCTTCATCATCATCTCCATCATCATCATCAACTTCATCATCATCTTCATCATCATCGTCTTCATCATCATCTCTATCATCATCTCCATCATCATCATCATTTGTCCTCCACCACCATAACTGCGACGTACATCAAATTTCATCCTTTTCCGACGTTTCTGAGGACACTAATGGGCGTAGGCTGTCGAAATTTTCAACAAATCAGCCAACCAAACATGAACAACAATTTTCTTCTTACAATAAAAAAAAATGATGAATAAAAATGTTTAAAAAATGAAATTTTCGGCGTCATCATTTGATTTATAATTATTTCATTTTTAATTCGAAGGAAAAAAATTATCACGGTTGAATGATTTTTTCATTTGCAAAAATTATTTGACGGATGAGAAATGAAGCGAAGTGATAAATTGAAATGCACGTTGCTGTTGCTGTTGCGGCTGTTGCGGCTACCTCTGCCACCACACCACATCTCTCTCACGACATCCAACATACAACGCTTACATCAACCATCGCATATCATCCAAGTTTACAATTTATTCAATGTAATGCGACACTAACCTCTGTAATGAAAAGTATTCAAGTTATCTTACCGAACACGCAATCAACATTTTCTTGTGAACAAACTATTTGTTAAAATTTAGTGAAACTCGATATCGATTTGAAGCGATCTAACGTACATTAATATATTAAATTTTGTCAAATTAAAACTTTGCGCTATTTAAAATTTACTATATATTCCCGAATAATCCTACAAAACTGGACGACGTAATGTATTGTTGTTTCCAGCTGATAATCTCGCGAGGACTCGAACGCAACATCAATATGAGACAATGCAATATTTTGCCAGGAATGCGAAAACGTGCGCTCGACTGCGCGCATACAATGTTTCAATATGCATCCATGTAACCTGCACGCGTGTACTTACTCCAAATATTCGCACGGACACAAGTACAAGTTAAAAACAAAAATTTAAGAAATTTTATTCAATTTAATTGTTTTTTCTTGCCGTTAATAAGAAAATATTCTTCAATAGATTTTCAGTTATTGATTATACTTAATATAAATTCAAAATGGGAGATTTTGTGACAGGGTCAGCATTTATGAAAACGAGCCAGTTATCTTTTTAACTTTTTTGCGATTCAACATCATCGTCAATTGTTTTCGTGAATTGTTTGTCCGCCGATGAAAATGAAATGAGAAGCAATCCCATCGAATTAAATTTTCTAATAATAATAACTTGTTTGAAGTTAGCTATTATTATAGGTTAATGATAACATATATATTCATAAATTGCATATCTCAATTTAAAAAAAAAAAACAATGAAGTTAACATAATTGCAGTATGTTTACTTGAAGTTACTTATTTTTAATACAGACGTATAAACATACAAACACACACACAATTAAAAATGATTTCTTTTATGAAATTTTGATTTTATACCACTTTTCTAATGTTGGCATATTATATTCACTGCATTGAAAATTGAAAAAAAAACACAATTTTTTTAAAATTATTTCTTTCATTCATTCTCCAGATGTCGAACAGCAAGCCGCACTTGATGTCAAAACATTAGTGGTCGTCATCACGTTAGCATACCCCACGACTGTTAAAAGGAGTAATTTTGAAAAATTATTTCAAGTTAATAGATAAATTTAGCACATCTATACAATCTTGCAACATTTTGTAGAGCTTTTAATAAGTTCCAATGAATGACAATCATCCAGGTTGTATAAAACATCATTCATTACATCCAGGTACAATGGAGAAATTTCGAAAATTATAACTTGATGCGTTCATCATTAATTATTTGATTTATGTATAAAAGTATTTAAATATTTGTATTATAGTTTTTGATTGATCTCCTGCTAAGCAGAAAATTCTATTTAAACTAGCAGTGTTAATTCTCGAACGTGTTAATGGTATCTATCCCTTCTATGCCTATACTCAATGGCGGATCTAGGGGTCCAGTGCCTCCCGTTAGGAGCAAGTTTTTAATCAAAATCAGAAAAAAGAACGTTTTAGGTGGAAAATCAACAAAAAATTTAACGTGATTGGCAAAAAAAGTCCTCAACCACACTACCACAAATTTTGGCTCTCCATGAAAATTTTCGTTCGTCTTTATCTTAAACTTAATCTTTTTTTTTCAGCAGGTTCACTTCTGGTTCAATATTCTTATCCAACATTATTAGTAGTATCTTATTATTTCATTTATATTTCATTCTAGCTGTGGCTGCTGTTTGCTGCTAGACGTTGTTATTAATTATAATTTTAATACTATATTATTGATGTTCTTTCTTTGTTGTGCAATGTTCTGTTTAGACTACACAGTTTATTGATTGTTTTTAATTTTTTGCGTTATGTAATGCTGTGTGCGTTAGCTATCCTGTTTGTTGTATCATGATGATATATTAAACACTATTTATGTTTGGAATATATATATATATATATATATATATATATATATATATATATATATATATTAAAAAATTAATTGTAACGATTATGACGAAATACAAATTTTTAATTGATTCACTAAGCTGGAACCAAGGGGCTGTTTATAAATGGTGGATTCCGATAGCTTAATGGAACAAAAGAAGTCATCTTGTTACCAATTTTCATCGCTGCTTTCTGGTTCCAATGCAGGTTTTTGGTCTCGTGCCTCTTCCCTCATTGTCAAAATTTCCAATATTTCCATAAGTTCCACGTCTTTACGCTATCAAAAGCCTTGGAGCAATCGACGAAAAATATAAACTAGTCTTTCTTCATTTCAACCGCTCGTTCACTGATCATTCGTAGCAGTATAATACGCTAATCACCCCTCACGGCATGAAACACGTGGAGCTTGTGGAAATATTGAAAAATTTGGACATTGATGGAAAAGAAACGAGAGTTATAAAAAAAAAACCTCTATTGAGACCAAAAAGCAGCGATGAAAGTTGGTAACAAGATGACTAGTTTTGTCGAAATTAAAAAAATTGTTAGTCAAGGCTGTGTATTTTTTCCAAACCTGTATAATGTCTATAGTGACATTATCATGAGAAAGATAGAAGATTTACATGGATGCGTGAATATTAACAATATAAGATATACTGATGATTTTGCTCTTATAGCAGATTCAATGTAAAAACTGCAAACAATTGTTTTCAAACTGGTTTTCGAAAGTGAAAGGAAAAGCTTGCGAATTAACATTAACAAAACAAATTGCATGGTTATCAGTAAAAGCAAAACCGCCCCGATCTGCTTTATAATCATTTATAATTCAATTATCTCGGAAGTCTGATTATTTCAGGTTGTAAATGTAATGTGGATGTCAAACGACGGATAACTATGGCGAAAAATGCACATTCTAAAATGAAAAACATCCTCACCAACGGTAAATTCAGAATATCAACAAAATTAAAATTGTCAGGGTGTTTCATTTTTTCTGTGCTAACTTACGGCTCTGATTACTACCTACGAAATATATTAAATTTTAAATTTAATTTAGTTTGCCATGTCTATGGCTTACTCGACATCGTGTTGTGGATTTTTCAATCATTAAATTTTCCGTCAAAAGTCTGTTTATCCAAGCGTACCAAGCTATACATAGGACGCAATATAAATTAATAATAATAATTCCTGGACAATTTCAAAAGGAATGGAAAAAAAGATTAAGTCTGCTGAGATGTGGTTTTTGAGAAGAATTATGAAAATAAGTTGGACCTCTCATATTTCGAATGAGGATGTATTAAAACAGACCGGTTATGAAAAGAGGAAAGTAGTGCAGATAATCCGACAGCGGGCAGTTAAAGTTTTTTAATCACCTCATGCGGAAGAAAAAAATGAAAAATCTAACAACTACTGAAAAGATTGAAGGAAGAAGAGATCCAGGTCAACAACGAATAACATTCTTGAAGTCCTTGTTCCTTGTGTCACTTGTTGAATATCACCACATTTCAACCACTACAAAGTGTTAAAGATCTGGTTTTGTGGAGGTCGATCGTCGCCAATGTCCTGAAAGGATATGGCACAAGAAAAAAAAGAATTGACTCTTAGTTGCGTATGCTAATTACCCCTTACAACTCCCAGAGATACTTTTTCATATCACAAAAAATATGAAAATTTGGTTAAAACCTAAATAACGTGAATATCTGTATTTTTTAAAATAGATTTGTTTAAATGAAAAATTCTTTATATTTACGTAAATACGAATGTCGCTAGGCTTCATTCATTGTTCGTTATGAATGAAATTTTTTCGAACGAAAAATTGTTTGTAAACAAGCAAACAGGGACGTTGCTAGGTTATGACTGTCTCGGTGGTCGCATAATTTTTGTTCGTTTGGATCACACCTGGCCAGTAAGTAGTTCGAGCGCATCTGATTTCAAATTCATTCATCATTGTTGTTCGCCGTGCATGCATTGTACACAATGTCATCATTGATTATTTAATATACTTACTTTGCTTATCAAAATCAACCATCTGTCAGGCAATTGTTGTCAATCTGCATTCGCTGAGATGAAAGCTTCATATTATTTATTTTTTAGTTTTCTCAGCTTGTTGTGTTTGGTTTTCGTTTTAAATTTTTGGAAGAAGAATTTATATGAATATAAAATAGCTACAAACAAATTTTTATTTCCAGCATCCAACACAATTGAAACTGATGAGACAGATGCTGCGGGCAATCAAGTTACGAAGAGTTTAAACTCAAATGACAGTTCATTCTTTTACGTCAATCATTGTATCACTGGTAGCCGCTTGTACAAGACATCGAAAAATATCAGCATTCAACCTTTCCAATTGAATGTAACATCCAATCAAAATGTTTACAAATATCATGAAGAAAATTATCAGGCAAGGAAAAATTCATTTACCAACATTTTTCAGAAAAGAGTATGGGGTAGCAATTTTGAACTTAATCAAAGAGGGGGCGGGTTGAGTTCATCAGGTTAGTTTTGCATATTTTTCGATATCTAACTTAATTGCATGTATGTAGTCCGCTTTTTAACTATAGATGAATTTATAAACGTCTTGACGGAGTTTCTTAACAAAGTTGGAACTTTGTCATATTTCAAGATAAACAATCATGTGAGTGTTTATAAGGAAGTCAGAAAAAGTGCTAAAATGTTCAGGTTATGGCTAACGTAAGAAAAGGACGACTCTTCAAATGAAATAACAGACTAAAATGTAGTCAAAAGAAATAAAATATTTATTAACGATTTTAGGTTTTAATGCTTCAAAATGAATTGAAAGCTTGAAGATCAAAGAATTTAAGAATAAAATTTTATTTGTATTTGTTTATTATACAAAAGATGTCAATTTCTTTTCAATATTGGTGTTAATTTTCAAGTTGATTTAAAATCTTTCACGTACAATAAAAAGAATGAAACCGTTAACGCTAACAGTTGCCGATATGGTCTTCCACATTCAAGCTCAAAAAAGTAATTCAATATTTAACTTAACAAAAACTAGATTTGCTTGCACACAGATTCCAAAGACCTCCAAAATAACTGCCCAGATAATGATTTTTAAAATGGGCGTATTATAATCAAGGTCATTCAACGAAGTTATAGTGGTTGAGCAGCGCAATTATGAAGAAATGAAAAATAATTTATAAAACAATTTTAGTTGAGACTTTTTTTGTTCATTATACATGGATGTTAATTACTTGAAGGTGAAGGATCGACATTGTTCTGGTCTCAAGAGATCACAGCCGTGCTGCATAATTTAATTTATAAAATAAAAAGCAACAAACCAAAGAATTATGTTATAAGAATGTTGGATGTGCCATGCGGTGATATGATGTGGATGAAAAGGTTCCTCGAATCCAGAAACGACATTAATTATACTGGGATGGATGTTGTGTCAGAATTGATTGCCAATCACAAGAAAAATTTTAAAAACCACAGTTGGAACTTTTATGAAAAAGATATTGTGAAAGTTGAAAAATTAGAGTTCTACGACATAATACTATGTCGGATGCTCCTTCAACATCTTTACGATGGCGATAATTTAAGGTTAATTCTTTATTAATACTCTGCAATGTCATCACATTTCACGACTAGTTAACGTCAAATTATTTTGCAAGTAGTTATTAGAATAAAATATTAAATAAAAAGTCAACCTTCTCGTGAAACGCTTGAAGTGCTTGTTCATATTTGCATGCATAAATAGCTTTTATATATTTACGAAGCATCTGCGTCTCAAATCGTTATCCTTATCACCATAAATCTTCATTTTAATCATCAATTTTCATCTTAACACAAAATATTGCAATTGGTTTCCGACAGTGGAAGCAACTTCTTTATAACCACTACATACCCAACCGAAGCTTTTAACATGGAATTAGGTTTGCATCTACCAGAATTTACAGGTCGATATAAAAGAATGAATTTAGAACTTCCTCCGTTCTCACTGGTCGCACCGATTTGTATCTGCAGAGATGGACCAACCTATTATGGACGGGAACTAAATGCTCATTATGTTGCCGTTTGGAGACTGCCGTTGCTTACTGTCAAAAACTGTCAGTTGGGATATTCCAGTACTTTCGACATTGGGGGTTTTAATATACTTTATAATTCTTGCTCTCAAAAATATTCGGTGTAATATTTACTGACATATTATAATATCAATGCGCTTCATTTTTCAGTTCATAAATGGCTCAACAAAAATGTTGATTTTATTGACGATGCGATTGACGTCACGTAATGATTGTTATTATTTACCAATTTTTTATGAAAAGTTATTCAAATGTGTAGAAAATAATTTTTATTGACAAAAATTAGATTATATGTTCACGTTTATAGGTATTTCAAGCAATTTTGTATGTGCTTGATTTTTGTTCTAAAATGAAGCATAGTAATTAAATTTATGGAAAGCATTTATATAAAATAAAATATATAGGCCCTCGCATAAGAAATCCTTCTTCGAGAGTAATAATGGGGCGATTTGCAAATGAAAACTTTTATTTGCGGATTTTTGCTCCTGACGCCCCCTGCCAGCTGCGTGTCTTCCTACTCAATTTATTGTAACGGAAAAAAACTTGATCTATTTTCATATTCTTTTCACCATCATCGTACTCAGATCGAAATGGCAGGCGTTGGTGACTAAACGTTCATTTATTTATCAATTTATTTTACTTATTTATTTAGTTTTAGAATTTGAAGTACAATAATATTATCGAATCGTACAATATTCTCTTCTGCATAGATAGCAGCGTGTTTAAATTACAAAATTGATTTGTGAATGTTTTTCTTAATCAAATTTATTAATTGTCCTATTCGTTTTGCTGAAACCTACATTTTTATTAAATTTCTGCAGTCTTCTCACACTTTAGTAACCTTTCATCAAAATGAATAATATTTTCCACTTAATGTTTCCTTCGCTGAGCTAATTTTGCAAATTCGGCCTCATATGTTTAAGCATAAACTGTTGGTTTACGGTTTACCAAATTGAATACATCATATCTTTGAAGTTTTGAAACTTGTGATAAACTGACTTTGAATAAATAAACTTGACTTATATGACGATCAACTAGTCTATTAAATTATGATATGGTTTTAACTGCTATAAAAAGCTGTAATAAAATATTACCTGCGTGCAAACAACAGTCTGACTCAAATGCTGAAAAAGAGGATTTGAGTACAACTCATGATTGAGGTTTTATACATTGACTATTGTTATGTCAGCTTGTAACTGGACATACCAAAAAACTTGTAATAATACTTTACTGGTTTAAAAACATTAAAAAAATGGTTGAAAAGGAAAAATGTAGCGTGCTAGACTATTTTTTGTTAGAAAATAATATCATTAATATAAAATAACATCTTCGAACATTTTAGCCATAGTGACTTTGTTAAAAACATTGGAATTCGTGCCAAAAAATTACTACTAAATAGTGCAAAAATTAAAAAAATCACGAAAAATTTATCCACTGACTTAGTTTTTGTCTACTTGTTTATTATACTATAAAGTACACAGAGGTCATTATTGGATCAACATATGTATAACCTCTCTTTGTCATTATTTTTAAACTAAACCAATCGATAATATATTTTCTAAAATTTCATTTAAATTATTCAGGAAGAGGAAAGATGCTATAAACGTAAATTCAGAAGTTCATAATTCTGTTAGCTCTTTTCTTTATGCTTAGAGAAGTTTCGTAGTGCATACAATGTAAATGCGTGAAAGACAGAAAAACATTATATTATGATTTATTGACAAAACAAGTACATTAAAACAGTTGAAATAAATTCAATTTTAACCAATTTTTTTATGAAATCCATAAAATTTATTTTAATTTTATAAAATTGTTACATTAAAGATTGTTGAAAATAATTTGTTCAACCTCCCCACGGACTGAACGGGGGTTCGGGGAGGCAGGGATTGTCCCAAACTCTCCACGGATGATAGCGTGGCTTGTACGTTTTTCCGGTTTTACATTCTTTCTTTGTTCGTTTTGTACTAGCGCCATCTTTCAATTCCCCATCCGTTTGTGAGTCGTCGTTTGAGAAAGGATTCCATGGCAAATTATCCACCAAATAAGATAGCAAAAACATCTTCATACGTTTCGAAATTTTTTCAAGTTTTTCAGAAGCTCCTTTGCGAATATTATCAATAAGTACTATTTTTGTCAATTTAGAGTTATTGTCTTCTGCTGATTTCAACGGTTTCTCTATTTTATATTTATACATTACAAGCTCATCTTGATCATCATTTTTCAATCTTCAAGTTAGAAAACATTTAATGTTAGAAATATTTAAATAATAATTAAATAAAAAGCATTTAACGTAAATTGTTGAAAAATACATTTGAGTAGCGTAGGGATTTGTTGATTGTCCTGGTCCTTCGGCATCTTCCTCAATGAACGTGTCACTCATCAAATTGTTGTTCAACAAACATTCACTTATCCACAAATAGTAAAACACCAAAAATAACTTTGAATAAGTTTTAAATATTTTTGTCATCTTGTGAACTGAAATTTCAGACAGCATTCACTCCATCATAAAGTTGTATCACCGTAGTTTATATAGGAGCGAATGCATTTGCATCAGCACATTGTAACAACGCCCATTGAATAATTTATTTCAAATTGTTTTAGGTTTAAAATTGAAAAGTCTTTAATGTAAAATGGTTTTTGGGACTTAAAATAATAATCCAATTGCTAGTTCACATGAATGTTTGATGCAAAAAAGACATTATTAACTTCCAAATGGGTACGTTTGAAACAAGTTTGAAAATGTTAATTTAATTTTAGAATTTTTTAAAATTCACTCAAATGTACTTTATAAAATGATTATTTCAACGTAACCAAAAACAATTTTAATAATTGAAAAAATTTAAAGTTTATTTGATTAAATACATTTTTTAATGTATGTACATGTACAAGTTTACTTGTTATGTAAAACCCTAACAAACTTCTTTTTTAACTCGGTCTTTTTAAATTTTCCAAAAATGATTTCTAAACAAATCCTGATGGCCTAGTGATTAAAAGCGCCTAGTCATGTTTCACTGTGACCGAGTTTGAGTATGCCAAAAGGATCCGCACCTATCGTGTGCTTTGTGTGTGATGCGCTGTTTAGTACGCGTTCATATAAACTGTTTGTGTGCTATTGATTCTTCTTAACTCTGGGAACTTCAACAAGAACTTCAACCGTTTTGAAGATTGATTTTTCAATGCGACACGAGTTCTCATTTGACCAAAAGTTTGGAAAAACCCAACTCGAAACGTTAAATCAAAAGCGAAAAGGCAGCAGAACTGATGAAGGAAAAGAACGATAAACTGAAGATAGGATAAATATTAATGATAAATGACATATATTAATGACATAAATATATAATGATAGATGACATGTATAATTATAAGATTTGAACTGAAGCTGCCGCAAAAATCGTTACATTTCTGCGTTTTAAATCATTAACTAAATTTTTCAATTTCCAATAGTTTTTTACTGCATGTAGTTCACAAGTATAGTCGATTAAATTATTATCAGTAAATTTAGAAGGCATTTTGGCTTTTTTCAAAAAATTTTTTGTCAATATAATCAGTGAGGTGTGTGTGTTGTGTGTGTGTTTGTGTGATGTGTGTGTATGTCTGTGGATGTCTGTGTTCTTGTAGCTTTTAAGAAAATTTGTTGTTTTATTAGTTTAAAATTATTGACTATTAACTGAAAAATGACGTCTCTTTCAAAATCAATTCCTTGTTCGACAGAGACAACCAGGTTTAATTAATCTATCAGTATTCGGTCTGTAGTTTTGCATCAGTTATTTTCAAGTTCATAAGGACTAGCCATGGAAAGAAAAATCTAGCTTTTAGGTCAATCAAATTAAAAAAAAATTAAATTTTTTTTAATGTAAAAAAATGTAAACAAACAAGATTTGCAAGAATAAAAACTATTTGTCTTAACTAAATAAACAATAATTGCACCAAAAAGCAAATTAAGAATAGGTTGAAAATCAGGTTGAAGAAAGATTGCCGCTGAAGTAATTAACAAGCCGTTTTCTACATGAATAGTTGACACAATCATACAAATATCTTTAAATATATATTTACAAATATTAAATATGCGACAAATTGAAATACAATATCAACAGTTAAAATGAAAACAAAAACCTTATTAAACTGATTTGATTAAATTTACAATGTTCGCTGCATTGAACGTTACTATGTATCAGATGCCTGTCCAATGCAGATTGAACTATCTAATCTGACAAAAAAAATATTTATTGAATATTGGTAGGAAATTTTCATATTATTGGTATTTCGTGGATTAAAAAGTACATTAGTTGAGAATTAGCAATTAATAACACCAGTGGTGTAAAACTTTTAGCCGGTGAACGTTTTCAAAAAGAAAACATTTTAGCGGACTGACAAATGCAAACATAATTAAATAATCATAACATTGATTTATTATTTAAATCACATTCTTTAATAAAATCATTACAAATTAGTTGTACAAAAATTATTTTGTCATTAGAAACTTGTCAATGCTTTCGTCTAATTAATTATTCTACATCTGAAATAAAATTTTGTGCGATGATTAATTTCTGGACAACAGGTAACCAATAACGCAAAAATAATTCTTCACATAAACATGTGTTTCGAGAATAAAATTTATGTAGCAATTATTTATTCCCAGGATACTGGTTATCTAAAAAGTTTTTTTTGAATCAAAACTTTCCTAAATTTATTTTTTTAAAGTTAGTTATTTTGAAAGACAAATGATTCCATTTCTATAAGTGTTTCCATCAACTAAAAAGTTTGGCAAAACGGTAAATTTCTTTCAACTTTTACATTTGCCTAAACGTTCGTTGAAATCACTTTTTGTAGCTCTAATCTTTACTTTTTATAACTCTAATCTTTGCAGTATACTCCACATAAAACTTTCTTTGATTTTGCGATTAGAGCATACGTTGGAAAATAAGTAGAGGCATCATACTTTATGCTAAAATACAAAAATTTACTTCTCAGGGTGGAACAATTTTTAAAATGCTGCTATGTTTGACACCGCTGCATTAAATAAACGTCGTCTGACAAATAATGTAATATATTCAATAGATATATATATATATATATATATATATATATATATATATATATATATATATATATAAACACAAAAAATATATATATGAGTATACTATACATATATTACATTTTCGCAGTTTTTTAATTAAAAAAATTTATTTCCAAAACAATTATTTGCATGATAAAAATTTGGTACTAAGTTCCAGCATTGCATTTTACTACATAGTTTATATGTATGTAAAATAAGGTGAGTTAAAATATAAAAGAGTTTGTATGAGCAGCATGATTGATGCATTAAAATTATACAAAAGCAAGAATCGGCTGGATGATTTTATTTCCGAAACGTGAAGATTGATAGAACATAGAATGGTGAATGATAAATAAAAGATAACGTCTGAAAACCACGAATCATAATTTGAAAAGATGAATATTATTAAATAGGATAGTTGAAAAGAAATTAATTGAAGCTTGCAAGCCTTCGGCCGGTTGGCATGTGCGAGCTCTCAGAAGATTATAATGCATGAATATCATCATTTTTTAACTTGACCTTTAATAAAATTGAAACTTAAAAATAGTAAATAATCACCAGTATCCCTTGATGTAACCGTAAGCTTGCAAAGAAGATAAAAGAGCATATATAATCCACATGCATATAAATAAGACGGCAGTAACTGTTTTTTGACACGTTGGTCCACCGAGTTCAGCTTTTCCTAAGAATTTGTTGTAACGCCTAACCATCAGTCCCACCAAACAAATGATAGCCAGGACAACATAGATGACAACACTAAATGATAAGGAACCTGCTTGCACCTCAAACGGCTTTTCCTGCAACGTATTGTAATAATTTTAAATGAAAACTCTTATTTTATGTATTTCAATTTTAACATGGGAAACGGCAAACCTTAATGCGCCAATACACCGAAGCAAGAACCCATGGAAGACCTAATCCAAGAAAAACGTTCACAGAATTACTTCCAGTCACGTTTCCGATAGCGTTGTCAGCAGTTTTCTCCATAGTTGCGGCTTGTTTGCTTGCAAACAAGTCGGGGAGACTGGTACCGAGAGCCACAAATGTAATAGCTGTGACGCTATCTTTCAACCCAACTAAACATCCAAATATGGCGGCAAGGTCTCCAATGATGGTTGTCAGCAGTCCAATTGCTATGAGAGACACAAAGAAAGACAACCATCCTTTCCAAAAATGCGTTGGAGGGATGAAAGCAAACAGCAGCTGTTGAGATGGTTAAATGTTTGAATTTGTTAATTATTTCTTACAAAAGATATTTATTGATGTTAAATAAATTTTTTTAAATTGATAAAGCAAAATTAAACATTGATGCAAAAAGTTTGATTTAGGCAAGAGATTTATTTTCAAAAAGAATCTCCTTAAGTCATTGAATTCAGATAAATTGAGAAATAAAGATTAAGTAAACCTTCCAGCCGAATGTAAGGAAGTGCATGAAATAATCGAGTGAGCTCGCGCCTTCCAAATCCCCCCCGTTGACGTTCATGGCGTTGCGAAACTGTTCGCCCCACGTCACCGTCTCCACCCTCATCGTGTCGATGTTCACATTTGCAGATGTCAGCAGCCGGTTCATCATTGAATCAAACTCTTCATTAAGTAATGGTGAAAAATTTTATTGGGTCGTGCGTGTTGATACTAAAGTTAAAGAGAGATGTAAAAAATTTTTCATTTTATTTAATTAAATGTAAGTAAATTTTAGAGAATATTTTGCCGCAGGCGAGTTGTAGTTCAATCCATTCGTCTTAACTATTATATACCAAATGTGTAAGGTTCAGCCTTAACTGTTATTAATGTTTCTGTTTCAAACATTAGAATATATTTTTATGAAGAGACATTAAGCTGATGAATGTGGCGTTTAAAATAAATAGTGCGTTGAGAATTTTAAAAAACTGAAATAAATAAATCACGATGGAAAAAGTAATTACATAATGCGACACTTTGAACCAATGAAAAGGTAAAAAATTTCTCTTAATAAAATCCACTTATTAATATAACATAATTTCTAAAAGGACGTTTAGAGTGTATACGAAATTACAATGAGTAAGAATAATAATAATAATAATAAGTAATACATTAGTCAGAACATAACACCCGTCCCTTTGCTGAAGATTATTTTGCTAAAATATATAAACCAAGAAGTTGAATCATTTGAGATGCGTTGACAAGCCATTTTTCAAAAAATAAATTACCACGTCTGTTAACCAGTTTGAAATGATTGAGCCGCAAAACCGCTGTTATTGTTGATGTAATCAAAAAGTTATAATTTTGACCTCCCATTGACTATTATTATTGAATAATATTTGGAGTTCAATTTCTTTCAAACAATGCAAGAATTTAAAAAATAATGGCTCAAGATACAAATATTTTTTTTCACACATCTGTATTGAGCTACTTTGATCACCTAAAGTACAGAACAACAATTCTGACGAGAAATTATCAGATTGGATTTGGCACTCATAATGATGAAAACTGGTTGAGTCTGTTTCCTTATTCGCCGGTAGACGGAAGCTCCTATTTGAAACCAGATGAAAAGTTATTATTAAAAGTTCCAAAGTTTGAAATAGAAACTTAAAGGCGACGTCTGGAATGTATTGGAAGATGATGTACTGAATGTGACCGTGAAAAGAAGTTTTGAAAAAATTATAAAACTACTATTTTCTCTGCCGAAAAAATTTTGATCAAAGTAAAATCACGATTAGCTAAAATTTAGCTAGAGATTTTTATTTTATTTTTTCATTGAATGTATCCTTTATCGCATTATAAATTTTTTCTTTCGTTTTTACATTTGCTGATTTCATTTTTCAATTGCAGATAAATCTGTTTTTGTATTTTGTCAGTTTAGTACAGACTTGACGTTCTTTTAAACACTCTTAATGGTTTTTATTAATAAAACTTCAAATCTCTATTTCCCTATTCATCTCGAGTTTACATTTCATTTCAGGACTTCGTAGTTCACATTCTCAAGCCAGCAATGCCATGTTAATTTAAAAGTCGATCATTAAATTTCTTCCTGCCGCAGGCATTTTACACTCAAAATTTTCTTTTAAAAACTTAATTTGCAATTTTGAAATAAAGAAATTTTTACTACATCTCACTAACAAAAACAGCGTTTAACTTTGCTTTTTGAATTAATTTTTGAAAAATTTTTAAGCTCAATGCAATAAAGTCGATAAATTTATTTTAGAAATATCTTTAAATAAATATTTAAAACAAATTGGTTGTTTTTCACCAAGTTTTAATAAATCTAGAAAATCAGGTACAGTTATTTACTAGTGAAATATCAAAACAAGAATTATGTGAGGATTATTTAAAAATACTAGAAATGTTCTTATTAAACTAGTTGAAATTTAATATTCACCTTAAACTTATCTAAACTTTATATATGGAGTAACAACATTATCTTTAATGAATTTTGACCATTTTAACCCAGGTTATGGCGACGAAACTTGGACGGTATATCTCTGTTATGCATGCATACATCCAACTTTAACGTACAAAATTAGATAAATTATAACATGACGCAAAAAAATTTTTGCGAAACATTTGATCAACATGAAATTACGATCTGTTAAAATTTAGCTAGGGTTGTATTGAAAAAATTATCAAACAGTCTGTCTGTATATATTAGCTTCCCATTTAAACTTCAATTTTAAATAGAAAAAAAGATTCAATGTAAGAACAACTAACGATCGTCATTGACGATGGTCACGATTGTTTTCTTTAACCTTCCTAATCTCGCTCCTTCAATATTAGTTCCAGTTAAATTCAATTTAAAACTGGCGTCTTTTTCTCGTTCCTATGCGTTAAATGAAAATATAGTATTTGAATATTTTATAAAAACGTAGGCGTTTAACAAACTTTATCGTTGAATATAAGAATTTCTAGATTTTTTTTTATTTCTCCTGATTCAAACATCAGCGATCCTTCACGCCCTTTATAGTCCCTGCCTTCGATGGCGGTGATGTCCTCCGTTATCCACTGAACTATCACTTTCCCGTCAGCTCCATTCCTCCTCATGACAGGTATCTCGGCAAAACCCACCGTCTCTTTAAAAACAAAACTCGGCTTCTCAAATTCAAAAACTCCAGGTTCTGAATGATTTGATGTATTTGATAATATATATTAATGACGTTGGCTGTTCTAAACACAGATACACACACATACACACAAACACACACATACATACAACCAAATAATACACAGGCACACAAGAGCGCGCAAAAAAGAGGTCAAACGTCATGTTCGCATGAACATCCGTAAACAATGCACCACGCACTCCCTACCATCATCATTAAGGATGGTAATTTCTTCGATGGCTTTCGATCCCAGCATTGCATCTTGTATGATGTTTGGATCAAGAGACAATTTGACAAAAAAGACCTCATCAGGCTCCCACTCGTCGTCATCGATGATTATAATATCTATGCTCTTCTCGGTCTCGTTTGGCTCAAAAACCATTTCTTGCTTTATTGGAATATAATCCTTGACCGCCTCAGCCGTACCATCAATCGTCTCAAGTCTAGCAACATTTTGGTAAGTGATAACAATGCGTTGGATTCAATAAACATGGAAATAACACAAAAATTGAAATATTATCACTTTCAAAAATTACATTCGATCGAACACCGACCCACCCGTCCAAACAACGTTTGAAATACACAACTTTCCTTTTCGACACTCATTAAATAATTTGAAAATAAGAACATTCACAATATTTATCGTAATTGAATTTCATTTTAATTGCATTTGATTTAGAAGCCAAATAACAATTTGGCAGTTTATAGAAATGAACTGAACAACTGACCTGCATCGTACAGTGTTGGACATGTTTCCGTACCGATACACAGTTATCGTCACCTTTTTGTCCCTTTCAAGAATGGCGCACTGCGAAGTTGCCAGCTCCAATATAGCTTTCTTTTGATAAAGTGGACTTCTTAGGTTTAAATTCAACTCGGAGTTTCTTACCTGGGTAAGAACCTACGTGAGGAATACAATTTACTGATTGAAAATATTTGAAACGAAACGGTGAAAAATCAATCAACAAATTTAGTGAACGTCAAAAATTACTCAAACAAAAAAAAATTGTTTAACAAAATGGTTAGCTCATGTTTAACCAAGTAGTTAGCTCAAAAGCGTTAAATTGTTGTTAAAAAAATTATAGTTATTTCTTCAAAAAATCAAAATTCTCTGTAAAAACAATTTCCAGTTTTTAAATTCCGCTTTAAATTTTATTTTATTTTATTCATTGCAAACATAACAAAATCAGAAAAACTGGCTTAACTTTACATGGTTAACGATTGAAATTAATTTTGAGCAGTTTCCAAAAATGAAAAACAGCTGAAAAAGTTATCCAAATTGACCCAACTTATATGATCAGTTTGTCAATGTTGTTTAAAATTGCAGAACGTTATTTAAACCAAATAATTAAATTTTTATAACACTAAAGAGATTCTTCCTTTCGGTCGTAATGATCAGTTGGATAATTATTATCATTGTTTCAACATTAATGTTTCTTCACCACAGATTGCCACAAAGACAGTTTTATCGTAACTCATCATAACTCAGGGAAATAATAGAACAAAGCTTTTCAGTAGTTCATAATACATAGCATATTATAGAGACAGCTCCCGCATAGATCATGCAACATAAAGACTTGTTTCTTTCTTCTGGTCCATAAATTTCTCAACAGCTGCTGCATCATAACGATTATTGTGTACATTTCTATACTTTTCATTTATAAAATAGTGTACTGTTATACGTACATATATATACGTATATATGTGTATATATTTGTATATATATATATATATATATATATATATATATTCATTTATTTATTTGTATAGAGTATATTTGCTATTATTTTGAAGTTTATATAGTTGCATTGACATATAAACAAGTGAATAAATATAAATCAATGTATATAATTAAAAGTTTATATAGCGCATTCAAAAGTTAAATATCAATTAAAACTGCCAACAATCATTTTTTTAAATATAAAAAAACTTTTTGTTAAGTTAAAGGAAAAGTTGTTAATACTTCTATTGCTCTAGAAAAAACAAATGATGCGTGAATTGTCTAATAAGCTGCTGCAGACAAATAGACAAAAAAATTCAAAATTCAACAAACGTTCAGTAGCTGTGTAGAATAAAAAAAACAGGCAAGTAAAGGACGAACCCGAACTACGCTCCTCCAAATAAAATATTTAGAAAGCAAGCCTGTTAACATTTGTACACAAGTGTGACATTTTTATCGACAGACGGTCAATTTGAGTGCCTCAAAATAAGATTTGCATGTGTGGTCGGATTAACTTGGTTGCTGCATCGTTTTGTTCTGAAGGCCTAGAACACTAATGTAGAACACTTGTGGCAACCCGTTGGAAAAAGTAATTCATTACACAATAACTTGGAATCAATAAATAAACAAATAGGCCAAACATTGCAGTGTGGTCTTTTTAAAAGAGTTTTTAGTACATCATAACAATTTTATTTGTTATTAGTAGTCACATTCCAACATTCAAATATGTTTTTGATCATGTTTTCATGTTCACATATTACTTTCATGCTTTTATTGAAAGTAATATGCGACCGCGAATAGAAATCAACCTGTTCAACAATATTTGAACATTAAATGAATCCCGGCCACTTCATTGTGTGTGGCGTGCGTGCGCACGCGTGTGTTGTTGTGTGTGTGTGTGGTATGTGTGTGTGTGTGTGTGTGTGTGTGTGGTGTGTGTGTTTGGTGTATGTATAAATCACACTTCTGATATATATCGCATATATGCGCTTCTTATGGATGGTAAACACGAGGATGCATAAATGAAATTATTTTTGAAATACAGCAAATAAAAACACAATGTGATCGACACTTAGAAGCATGCCTTCGGCGGTATTCAGTCAGTCCGACAATTGGTTCAAACAGAACCATATCTAAAACGAAATTTGCCAACATAGATAGATCTGCACATTTCAAGTGTACAATTTTTAGCAGGAGAGTTTTTTTTTGTTAGACGCACCTAATCGAAAAAGTTGTGATTTACTGGTGGGTTGATTGGCTGAATGATGGAATTACTGAATGATCGTTACTTTGCATACAAATTGATGTCGTTAAAACTTACGACTTGCAAAACTCTAACTTCAGCTCAATTAAAAAATTTATTTTTTATTTCAAACTTATTTTTGTTAGTTTGAACATACCATAAAATTAAAAAAAATGTCCAGGAACATGTGCATTTATAAATAACAATTAATTAATTAGATTCACAACACAATTTTCTAAGCGGCACATGTAAGATTTTAAAGGAAAACATCTCCGAAGGTGTTATAACTATTTAAAAAATTCTTCATGGTCAAATTAAAAATATAAACGCATTTGTATAGAAATAGCATTAGATGACATCAATGTGTTATTTTAGTATTCATGTGGCAAATTCACCCGTCAAAATTTTATTAACTTCTATGTTTCGAATCAAGCGACAAGAACTTTTAACCGAATACAATAATTCAAATTTGTATGAAAGAAGCCTGTCAAAAAAAAATCAGCAGTTAAATGTAAACAGTGAAATGTATTATTATAAACAGTTGAATACGTATAATAAAATACTTAGATACTGTTAAACTTAAGTATTGTTGAAAATTTACCCTGGAGAATGTACTCATCATTAGTAACTGCAAATGTTATACACAAAGTTATAAACACTGCTACCACAATATTTTGCAAACATTCAAATAAATCAACCAACCTGCCATTAAAAATTAATTAATTGAATTAATTTTTATAGCTTGGTGTATATATAGTTAATCAGCCTTCATACAAATATAAAAAGATACTCCAAGTTTTTGTATGATCTGGCTATTGGCATCACTTTCGTTTCTTCAAACATCGCCACTTCAATAATTATTCCCAACAAAAATTTCTATGCCTTGTTTTACTCTTCAGGCTCATCAACAAATTGGTTTGAATTTGAAAAAAGATACAACTTAAACACGAATAGATGGGAATAAAAAGTAAAAAATATGTTTTTTTTCATTTTTACGATCATGGTTTTCTGTTAACGTTTGATTGAATTGTCCCAAACTTTTTGACTGGTGATGTCTTATTTTTAAAATCATAAGAAATTCACTAAAGTGTTCATATTTTTGCTGAAACTGATAGGATGTGATAGATTGGTCGCTATATTCATTCCTCAAAAAAATATTTTGTAAAAAGTCACCTAACTTTTGAATATTACTCCCAGCTTGAATATGTAATCGAGGCATAGAAGGTAGATTAATATAAAGTGTAAGGTTAAAACATATAATTAATTATTTAATTAGTTACTTGTCCCATTCTAGAGTTTGCACCAGGGATGAGTTTGGGATTTCCTCCTAACTGCTTGGTAGCGTTGATTCTGTACCACAATCGGTTCTTCGGCTGCTCATCGGCAAACTTCATCGTCGCCAGTTTCAACAGTTCGTCTTCAGTTAAATTTGCATGAATTTCATTCAATTCCTGAAATATTTAGAAAGAACATTAACCGGAAGTCAATTTTTGATGATGTAAATTTAACATTCATTTCGTGACAATTTAATTAGGGAAATTAAAGTATGACCATGAGAGATTTAATTCAGAAATGATTTAACAATGAATAATGAATGTAATAATTTAATTCAACAATGAAAGTTTGTATGTTAGTAGTCATTTTCGGTTTTCATATTTTCTAACATTTTAGCAAAAAACAATGGATAGGGAAGGGCGTTTAAGTTTTCTCTGTAATTCTTGCATTGATTCAAAAATATGAAAATTTTTACAAAAATTATTTGGAAGCTTTTATCTATAACACATTTATATGCTGGTTCAAGTGTTTGTATCATGTTCAACGTGTTGCATTTGTTCAAAATTTGAAAACAAATATCTGAAAACCGAAAATAAACGACCGCTAGAAAATTTTAACGCGCCATCAAGAAATGTTTAAACACCCCTACGGGTTGGTGATTTCAGATATGTTGAAATCTAAAACCGTTAAAAATGAACTGATGTTGAACTAAATTTAATAGAATGCTACTTGATCTATTTATTTTATTCATGTGGGCTTGCTCATGTATGTTTGTTCCTATGCGAGAATGAATGAACGTGTGAACAACGAACGCCAAGTGTGCGAATGTTTGCCTAAAGATGCATGCATTCGCTTCCATCATCATTTCTGTATTATTCATTCATAAAAATTACTTTTACACATGAATATTACACATAAATATGTTTGTCATATGTCGTTTAATTATCTTTTGAAATGGAAGACAAATATTGTTCTATTTTTAGTGCGACAGAATCCATCATTTCAAGGGCTTCGCATCGAATGACATTCCTGAGTAGTTCCCGATAAAAAGAATCGTTAAGTTTGTCTAAAAACATTTTTCCGTATGATTCTTATCCATACTTGCATACCAATGCGTAACAATTTTTTTAAACTTTTATTTCAATTCTTATTTTGTTCATATCGGATGGTTGCTTGTTTAGATTGGTTGGTAGGCAAATCTGAAACCATAGCGTAGCAATATATTGAAAAACGTTACGATACAATATTGCTATGTATGTACAGGTACATGTTTGTTTACCTTCAATTTTATTTAAAATCAAACTTTGATTGGATGTTGGGATCCAAATATTGGTCGAGATGTTAAAAAGAATAACAAAAATATTTGTGTGAAAATTCTGAAAACAGTTTCAAAGTTTTTTTAAGTTCTTCCTATACAAACATTTTGAATGGATGTTTGACGACTGATACAAAAGTAAAATTTATATATATCCAGACGGAGCCTAATTTTATTTCCAAATCCTGTTATAATTGGTGTCAAATCATAGTTATTGGGTTATTTTAGATGGCTGTCAAATAAATATTGTTTACATATTATAATTAAAATCTAGTCACTGTACCGCTATTCATCCGAAAAATAGATTTTGTCAAGAATCCAGTGGGGTTTAATTGTTTTCCAATGATCAGCTTAATAATATCAATTTAAACCTTTAAAACTGCAAACTATACAATTTACATTTTTGAAATAAAATGCTAAACAGCGTAAAAATTCGAAATGAAATGTTAAGCAAATAAACTTTCGAACCTTCATAATTTCTCTGAGGCGATCTTCGTTAACTTTTCCTATTTTAGTAACAAACGAATTGTTAATTTGATAATTCCAAGTTATTAAAAAGATTATATTGAATTTAACTGATAAAAATTAAACACTAACTTCTTGTTTTTTTCTTTTTTTTATTCCAAGGCAAAAAATTCACCAGTTTGCTAGCTGAATAATGTTTTATAAATATTTAAAAAATAGTTTGCCAAGAATGCAAAATGAATTATTTAATTAACATGCTTCCATCTTGCTACAAAATAAAATATAAAAGAACATGACAATTGAAAATATTTACACGATCAAACTGAAATAATAAGCGTGATATTATAATGAATATTTTACAGAGGTGAGAACAAATTATGAGTGTAGGGTTAGAAAAATATGATTGCGAGTTAGGCTCATAAGCCATTGTCTGAAGTCTCTTTTGTTGTTAGTTGTCCCAAGGATTATTGTGAAAACAATAATTTAATTTTTTATTAATGAATTCTGTTGTGCAAGGCAAACGATTGGAATTTGGTTTTTAATAAATTTATTTAGATCTGTTTGAAAAAGTGTGAGGCGATTTGAGAGAGCTGAATTGAATCCTAAGTTGCTTGTAATAAAAAAAAATAAAATATCAGGTTAAAAATATGATCGTTGAAAATCATCTTGGAGTGTATAAGTATACCAAGACTCATAGACTTTCTGCCTTAGAAGCATCTATACTCCTCATTGACCTCCAGTTTTTACTACGGAACACTTGGATGCATTTACTTTTAACCTATATCTCAAGAACCAATCACATTTGTCGTCTAAGGTCCTCTGCAATGATCGACAGTCTTCTTCTAAAAATGACTAAAATGAAGCTAGAATTTGTGTAGGCAGAAGGTATGTGCTTTCTGTTTTAATAGAAGTGGTTTAATTAGTTTAGCATTATACCCATAGCTAAACAAAGCTACATATTACAGCATCAGGAAGTGCCACCGCTCAACTTCAGTACAACTCAGGAGTTATAACAAGTTCAACCATTTGATTTTTCTTTTACACAGAATAAATTTTTTGTGTTTTACTTACAAAGATGGAACAAACATTAGAGAGAGCAAAGGCTTAACAGAACAACGAGAATAATACCTTAAGTACACCGTTAGAATTTAAAACCTGATTAGCGATAAGCAACAACTAATTTACGTTACTTCGCTAAACAATTTCATGTAGTTATTGTGTGATTATTATACAGTTATTCAAGAGTATTAAAAACGTACAATATATAATTTACATCGTCTATAGGGGTGCTGAGTGTGTGTGTGTTTGTGTGTATGTATGTGTGTGTTTGCGTGTGTCTGTGGTTCATGTATAAAACACATTAAGAAATGGAAAAAAGAAATCAGCAGCAAATTATATATAACAAAACTATAGCACAAAATATTTCATCTACCTTGCCACTCAATATTATCTATTGATTTTTTTATTTAACAGCTGCCTATGTAATAACAGGTCAAACATCACGAGTTGTCTAGCGGCATATGACATCGATTATAATATAAAAGTTGACACAAACATATATATACACGCACATACAAATACACACACACACACACACACATGATTTTGCATTGAGCAGTTATCTTCATGACACACGAGCAGAAAAATTCATTTTCAGAACATGGATAAATTATTGTTATTATTTTTCTTCAATTTCTAAAATGGTTTAGTCTCCTGTGAGATAAATTAAAATTGCATGACTCATAATTCCAATGTTCAGTTGATGTTGGAGATAAAATGGCATGCAACGCAGTGAACATGGTGAGTGAGCCACACTTCTCCCACGGTGAGTTTGCGTTACGTATCAACCATCAAGTACCATCTAGAGAAATCAATAATGCTCATGTGCACGAAGGCTTATGAGTGTTTAATATATACATAAAATACACAAATACACATTATATACATGTATGAATTTATATATATAGTACTATTTACAGACCAATGTTTGTGCGTAATAGTAATAAACTACAGTAATTAACTAAAGAATATACACACAAACACAAACACCTACATATATATATATATATATATATATATATATATATACAAAAATTCAACACTACATTCAACATTGTTCAACTTTTTTGAAAAAAATTTTTTTTTTTTAAAAAGTTGAACAATGTTGAAAAGAGTGTTGATTTTTTGAAATGTTGAGTTAGCAACAGTCTGTTACCAAAATATATACGTACGTATATAAATATATATAAATATATATATATATATATAAAGAAAGAGAAAGAGAAAGAAAGAGAGAGATTTTTTCCCCAGCCGGAGTGCTAATAAGGTAAAATCGGTATAATTTCAATTAGCGCTATATAAATTCTCTAGCGTTTGCTGTTCGATCTGCTCGTTTTGTCCGTTTATTTCCAGGTTGTGTGCTGATCGCATGTGCATCGATAGTCCTTAGTTAGAAAGTTGGTTGGTTGGTTGGTTGGTCGGTGAAGTTTCCCCCATCATCAGACCACATCTCAATAAAGCATGAGACTTAACAAACGAAGGACCATCATCTAGGCTGGAAAGCCATTACAGAACCAAAAAATAAACATTCATGATTGACAGATCAAAGAGCATAAGCAAACTACAAATATTGCAAACACTCTATATTAAGGGACATGCATCAACGAATGCTAAAACATTTTAACAAAAAATAAAAAGAAATGTATATATACATTTTTATTTCTATATTTCTTGTAGGACTTGAGATTATATTTTTAAGAGATAAGACAACTTGAAGATAATCTTCTCGAAAATAAAAGTTGACCACAAATGAATTAATCAATTTTAAAGTGAGAAATTAACCAAATTTTGTATTTGAGAAATAAAAAATATATCGAGGAAATGAAAAGTTGATAATGAAATCAGGAAGTATACAAAAATGAAACGTGCACAATAGAATTTTTATGGTTTCATTTACATACATAAGCGCTGCTTTATACCTTCTTTCTCCTGTTTTTTTGCTTCGACAACTGTAGGGAAAGGGTTTAAAATTATAAACACATAAGCCACTTTCTGATTATGTAACAAATGCAATATGGATTCCAAATATTGGTAATAGAAAAGAACAGTTGAAAATTTATCAATTCTAACAGTACACCAGCAAAATGACATCATCGCTTAAAAGTATCTTTTATGGAAATATTCACGTGACGGCATACGTTCATGTTAATTAGCGCTTTTCGTTCAACGCAATATTTCAATGCTAAACAGTACATCACACATGCAGAAATAAAATGTTTTCAAACTTTATCTTCTTAATTTTAATCTCACCTTGCAACCAAATGATTATGCTAATTAAACAATGTTAAAAGTATTAGTAGTATATATAAATTATATTATCTAGAATTTGTTTCCTACAACAACCTGCTGCGTTCTATCCAAGTGGTCCAATATATTTCATGCATGCCGTTTCATCGAAATTTATTTTTTCATGAAAATATGGGGTCAACATTGAAACAAACAAAATATAGAAACATGTTTGCTTACCGTACGAGACTCCTTTCTCTTCATCAACAGTCTCCTCTGCTTCAACTTCAGTTGATTTTTTGAAACAGTTTTTATCAGTTAAATAAGCAAGAACTACCATGATTGGAAAAAAAGAAAATGTTAAAATGGCCTCCCATAATTCAATTTCATTGGGAGTGATTAAGATCAAAACAATAACAAGCCATATATAGGCAAATAAACTAAACAAAGAAGTTAGGCCGAACACTTTTATCCCATCTATCCTTCTGACTTCGTTCTTGGGAATGACGGCCACGCATATTCCAGTGATGCAGAATAAATTGAAAGCAGCGGATCCAACTATTGTACCCGGACCTAAATCTCCTGCAACAAATCCCTTACCAACAATCTCTATGCAGGCCAGCAGGATTTCGGGAGCACTTGATCCCAGAGCCATTAATGTCAAATTTGCTACTGTGTCATTCCATATCTGGAAAAAAGTAAATAAAATGAGATTTTACGTGATTTATAAAAACACACAAAAAACACTCACACACGCGTTACTGATTTGCTTCAGGCAAAAAATATTTGATTTAGTCATTTAGTATTCATAAACATTTTATATTTAAATAACAATTTTGTCAAATTCAAAAGATTTTCTAAATTTTTGACTGTTGTGTTGCATTTTTCTTAAATTATAATATTTTATTAAACGTATCGTCCTGCTTATAAAACAATTGTTAGTCATTAAACAATCTATATTCTCTATGCAATTTTGAACCAAGTTTTTATTTTTTGTATAACTTTTGGATACTGGTTGAATTCTATTAATACTAAGCTTAATATAACTTTCAATCACACATGAACATTTGTGGCAAACAGATTTACCTACGCACAATTCAACTCTAATGTGAAAGTAAAAAAACGTAATTAAACCGGCAACGACATCAGGATGTTTTGTTCGCTGACTGCAGATCTGTGCAAACGATGTTTATGTTTAGGCTCGTTGAATGAGCCCTCGAATACAGGTTTGAATAGGGACAGTCCACTCTGAGAAGATTCATCAATATGCGTCACTCATCCAAATCTCTGCAATGTCCAGTTGCCAATAAATTAAATTCGGAATCCACATTCTGTTCCCGAGACTCAATTATTTTGTATATTTATTGTAGCTAAATTTTACATAACTTTTTCAAAGAGTTTTTTTATAATTTTTTAGTGAACTGTTTTTAAAATCTGTAGAGTCATTAAAATTTTTTGAAGTAACATTTTAGACTATTCAAATCAAATACCTTCAAATCTTGATTTGAGGCTAGAGAAATGGGAAAAAGAGATTACTAAACTTCTAAAGCTCATTCAACTTAAGAGAAAATGACATTAGATGTCGACGATAATCCATAAGCTGGCACAACATTTAAAAACAAGCAGTACATACGTTGATAACACTTAATGATACTTACAACAGCAATGAAGTAAAATAAACTATATCGTTGTTGATAAAAACAAGTTAACTCTGAAAAAATCAACTTATTCCAAAAAAGTCAAAAAAGTAATTGAAGCTTCCAGCATCAGTAGTAGAAACTGTAAAATAATTAATTTAAAATTATGACTAAAATAATGCCTCAAACGCATTCGAATTGAGCTCTGTGTGCGCGCGTGCGTGCGTGTGTATGTGTGTGTGTGTGTGGTGTGTGTGTCCGTGTCCGTCCACGAATAATGCAAATGAAAAGGGTCAAAAGTGAAAATGTTCACGAATAGCCAAATTATAATATTATAGAATTGTTACGATTTTTCAGCTTTCTGTATTTCAAATTGCCGAAATATTGTTTCAAAGTATTCATGAAGAAAATGACAAAATCTTCTAACATGATATTGCTCTCATCACTACATGAAGCTTTGCAACGTGTTGTTATGCTACGTTCTTTCTGCAATTATAAAGAAGCTCCAAACTTTCGATCCTTAAAAAGGTATTGTAAGATATACAATCAAAACAAGAAACAAAATTTATTTGTTTACGTTTTATGGAGTAAAACTAAACAATATTCATCTCAAAACTTATTTCGACCATATTTTTGCAGTTAAGTTCATTCTCACTAAAAATAAGGTTTTTGTTACATGATCAAATTATGATAAAATTTATATAACAACACGAAACATAATTAAAAGATAAGTAGCCTGGTAATTCTGATTAATTTAAAATGCGGTATTTTTTCTAACAACAAATTTGTTCAACTTAAGTTTATTTTGTTTCAAAGACGCAGATGCGAGCACGCCTGCACAACTCTCACGGTTTCATGTAACAACTGTTGTATATATTCATCTAGACGTGCATAAAAAACTCCATCAAAGCAAGAAATTTCTTTTGATGGCCACATTACGAAATATAAACATATTGACGTAAACCAACAAATTCGGAGACATATTATGTAGCGCACCTAACTATAAAAATGTAAATGGACATTCCAATAAATCAAAACATTGAATAAGTTTAATAAATTGAAAATTGATAGAAGTAGAATTGAATTGGGAAATTGAAAAACTTGTTGGTTCATCCTAAAATATTAAGATGGAAATATAAAGACATGTGAAAAAACAAAATTATAATATAAGGATAACAATTAAACAATTTGCAGTGTTAACATTATAAGTGGAATAAATACAAATATCTTTTAAAAACTTTGTGAAGTTGTGAACAAATGAAATGAGATTACAGTGTTAATAAAAGATGAACGACCCAGTGAAGCTGAAAGTTCAAACAACTTGCATGATTCATAACAGTCGATTCCTCTATATGTATCTGTGAGGTCACTCAATAATGCTGCTTTGAATAAAAAATAGAAAATTTTTCCATCTCTGCCGTTAAAACCAATATATATTTTTTAAGTTCTACAACATGTAACGTACATGTTTATGAACCTTTGCTGTAAAACAAAAAGTCAATGTTGTTATCGCGGGTCTTATAAAAGTTTATTTTTATTAGTCTTTAAGATTAATTGTTTATAATGAAACATTGAGTATACAAAAGTTATTATTTTTTAGTGAATCATGGTTTTTCATTTTTAGTTAGAATTAGACAAATTAGTCAATAAGTGCCAATAAGGTGAAAGATTACAAGAACCAAAATTACAGTGATGTGACTTAAAGTGCTTATGCTTGCAAAAAATTATTCAAGTTAATGTCTCACCAAAAATGTAACATGTTCACTGTGTAAAAACTTTGATGTCTGCTCACATAAACATTTGATGTGTTTAGCAGTGGAGGAAATTTGAACCTTCTATGTATATAATTTCTATCGCTTGAAAAGAAAGCAATAACTAAAATCGAAGATATAAGAGTGTAGGGTTGAAAATGATTTGTAGTTCTTGGTTAACTACTATATAAAAAATAATTTGGCAGATGAAGATGAAGCTCTGCTAGGATATTCGTGGTCGGTACGTGTTATAATAACTAGATTTGAATGCAGGCAATGCGTGCGATGCTAACGATAAGGCCAACATTGTGATTTGTCAAATTTTTCAAATATCAAAATTTTTCATCAGGAGCATATTTTCCATCTATATAAAAAAAAATTAAATTTTTCTATACTTGTATAAAAATGTGGTTATTTTTATTAATATGCTATATTAATATAATAATATACCACATATTAATCTTCAGACAAAATCCTCTGATAAAGCGCACAATATACATATGCTATATATATATATATACATTTTATATATATATACATATTTATATATATACATATATATATATATAGCATGTTAATATAATATAAAGAACCATATTTTTATTTAAGTATAGAAAAACTTAAATTTTTTACATGTAGTTAGTTGGAAAATATGCTCTTAATGAAAACATTTTTATATTTGAAAAATGAAAAATTGGACAAATTAAAATCAAAATGTTGGCTTTATAATTAGCATGGTATTATAATTAGCATAGCACGCGTTGACTGCATTCGAATATATTTATTATAACACGTACCAACCACATACAGTATATATATATATATATATATATATATATATCTGTATATATATATATATATATATATATAACAAAACAATAAAGATAAATACGTATTTTATATATATACTATAATTAATTAAAAATAATGGAATATATATACTATACTATAAATTATTAAAAATTTACCAAGTTGTTTTGAAACAAAGATGCATACCTACCTTGACTTCAATTTCTTCATACCCGCTCTCGGCATCTTCAGAGGCGACTTTAATTTTGCGAACGTGGCTGGTAATTTTTTCAATGGAGCACATGAAGATGTCTGCCACGATGGCCACACCCAGGAAGCACCAGACCAGACCGACGGTGTAAATGATGACCCGACACCAATGAGGCCACGTGTACTCGCAAACCAGGGGCAACAATAAACCTTTGTCAGAGCATGGGTAGTCTGTTAGGTCGATGTATCCAACTAGCGGGTTGTTGGTTGTTGTGGTTGTTATGTTGTCAAAGGCAGGTAGAGTGCTATTCATTTTTCTATACAAACTTAAACCACATAAAAAAATGCATCGTTGTTATATCTGTTGTACAAAATTTTAGTCAAATTTGAAATCTATATTAGTATATATATATATATATATATATATATATATATATATATATATATATATAGGGGTTTTTAACGAAGTAGTTTACTTTTGTTGATAGAACCACATGTTATAAACCTGCAGTAGTAATTTTTTTAAAAGTTTTACACTGCACAATCGCTTCAAATAAATGTAATCATGTTTGTTAAGCAGGCAGCATTGCAGTCTGTGTTTGTTTACAAGCAAGCAGAGACGTCACACAAACAATCGATAGTTAAGTGAGTTAGATTTTGTAGAAACCTATTGTTGTTCTGTTGATATTGCAAGCTGCACACAAATGTTACACAGGTTGCTCGGAGATCTCGCTTTTAAATAAGACTCTTCTGTGTGGTTGTATGTATAACACTGGTCGTAAACACATTGCGTGAACGTTTGTAATTAGTTGGTTGGATCACTATATATATATATATATATATATATATATATATATATATATATATATTAATTTATTTATTTATTTAATTATTTATTTATTTATATTGGGTTTAGACTATCATAAATACAATTATTTATAAAGATCACTGCGTTTTCGGCATTATTCAACTTGTAGTTGAGTTTCTCAATTTTTCTAACGAGACTTTTATCATCTTGATTGAGAATTAAGAATTTACTACACAAACAGGAAAACATCATCTCTAATAATAAAGAAACAATTCCAACATTAAATCTTCCTCGGACAAGAAAAGAAGTCATTTGATTTATTCATTCACATGTAAAATTGGTGAGTGCGTGAATCAAAATTCTGAATACATCGGAATAACTACAACAACATTAACGAGAAGATAAGCAAGATGGAGCAATAAAAGACCACCTAATGGAACAACATAACACTATTATAACAAGGGAAATTTTAGAAAATAACACCAAAGCAATTTATTACAACGGAGAATACTTTAAATTGAAGATAGTAGAATCAATTTTCATCGATAAACGTAAACCAACAATAAATATTCAACTAAATAATACCAATATTTTTCCAACAAAAAAACACATGATTAACTTTAATTCTAATTAAGTTACAATCAAAGTCGCTGTAAAAACAAAGATACAAAGACGGAACAATACTATATAACTACACTGATGATGGCAGTTGATGCCGAAAAGAGCTTAATAATGTTTTGTCAAAAATGTCAAATATTAAAAGTTTTTATTTAACCTTAATAAACTTCATCAAGATGATAAAAGTCTCGTTAGAAAAATTGAGAAACTCAACTACAAGTTGTTGAATAAGGCCGAAAACGCAGTGATCTTTATAAATAATTGTATATATATATATATATATATATATTTATATATACTGGATTAAGACTGTCAAAAATGCAATTATTGATGAAAATCACATCAAATCAAGTCAGTAAAAGTAACAAAAGTTATCCAAATAAGAGACAAAATGTTTGTGTGTATACGGAAAAACAACCACATTTATACATATAATATTTTTTATAGGTATATATTTATATTTACATGCTGAACATATAAATGTCTATATATATATATATATGTATATATAAATGTATATATATATATCTATATCTATATATATATATAATTATATATGACGAAGTGTGTATACATCAACAATATGTTATTCATCCATTGTTTGTTTCCATATTACAAGCTACAATCTGTTTGCACATCAAGAACAAATTGTAGAAGCGATCCGCCATCTAGCGTTATGAAACGTCTACAAAATTTTAAACTATATATATATATATATATATATATATATATATAATACCTAAATTATAATTTTTATATAATATATTATATATAGTATATAAAAATGTTATATGTATATATATTTATATTGTATATACTATATTCTATATATATATATATATTATTATAAATAAATATATAATAAAATATATGTGTAATTCACTATGTATATTAATATATATAATAATTGCTTTATGGTGGAAAGAGCAGTTAGAAGTGAAGAATTTAAATACTTTTTAATAATCGTCGAAAATCGTAAATGGCTCCTGATAACAACAACACTGATTGATAGAACAAACAGCCGGTGCTTGGACCAAAAATGGTAAAAATTATCGCCTCAGTGGTATTCTAACCACCAAATTGTAAAAAAGAAGATTAAAACTATTCTGGAGGTAGTGAACAAAAAATAATTGGAAAGCTACATCATTACATTTTTTAACAAATCGTTTTAAGACTGTCTCAAAACAAATAGGGGAATCTATATTGTTATAACTTTATCGAATGTTTTTTTTTGTTCGCAACAACCAATGTTCATTGTGTTAAAATGTAATATATTGTGTTACTTTCTATGAACGAAAATTTATTTAAATTTTTAGAATAAATGTCTTAAATTGACAACTTGCGTCAAATGTTTGAGCCATGTTTTCTTTATTTATTGAACAGTCTTATTTATGTATTTATTATATTCGTAGCCACTTAATTGTCAACAGCTTCGTTGAAGTCATCTTAAACAATTAATAGTATTGTACTAAAAATATGGTAGTGTTGTTTTTGTTGTTGTTGGATTATTTTATGAGTATGTCTTAGAATGAGTAGGGTGACTTATTTTAACGTCAAAAGTGTTAAAAGACGTTTGCTAACTATGCTATTTTTCAAACTATTATCCATCATCTGATTTTTCACGAAGTCGTTTAGTATCGCGTTAAATGTTTAGCCTAGGTTTCGGTTTCAAAAATTAAAAAAAGTAATTTTTTTTCAAATTATAAAATCATTTAAACAATTTTATCTTTCTTACATGTTACAAAATTTTTGTTTGAAAAAATGTGCCAAAATGAGTTTTCAAAATGAAAGTGTTTTAATCAGTTAAAAATGTTAGAAAGATGTTTTGAGTAGTTTGAATCATTAAACAACTTGTATATCAAAGTCTTAAAATCTGTTTTTTTCACATTTTTTTTATGAAAACAAATCATAAAAATTGTTAATGAAACTGCTTTGCTGCAAGTGTGCAAACAAAAAAAAAATATAACAGACTGTGAAATGTTTTGCATCAACCAGACAGACAACAAGAAATGCTTTGCTATCTTGCGAGGAGAACAAGCATGATAATCGCGTTTGCTATGTTCTTCCTTTCTGTGTTCATCACTGTTCTGTTCATCAGTGTTGTGATTATTAGTTGATATGTGTTTACTATGACAGTGAACAACCTATAACTAACTAACTAACATGAATTGAAACGTAGTTGTTATTGTGATTGTTTTGGTTTGATTGTCTTATGTCTGATTCTTTTTCTTCAGAATACTAAATTATTACATTCCAATATTCTACATATAACATGCACGAGTATGACACAATAATAAGTTTGTTCTCTTTTTGATATAAATAGAATTTGTTAGTTACTACAAAAACACGATTTTTTATATGTTATATTATAATAAAATATAGGTAACCGACATTGTTTTCCTTATGCATATATTGTTTTATTAATTTATTTTTCGCTTGCTTACTCGAATGAATTTTTATTTTATCAAACAAAATGAATAAATGCATTTTTTTCTCATGAGTTTTACTGATAAAGTCTTAAATCAAAAATTATAAAAATTCAACAATTTTCATAAAAAAACTGCAACTTCTTTACTCACCAACCATTCTTACAGCAATGTAAAGAAGTACAAACAATATGAAACATTCATGGAAGGATCAGAGTTGCGTCTGTAACGTTATAGTTTCTGTAATAATATTAATAAGGAAGATGTGCCGAAGAGAATTCCAAGAAAGGAGGAGAGAAACATGAAGAAAGGTTGGTTGGTGTGCAGTGCACCAATAGCGAAGACGAGATCAATAATTGTAAGTGTAACACATTTTTGCCTACCTCAGTGGATGTTTCTGACATTTTATTACCACAATTTACAGCCATCTTGGGTACATCTTTGTTTTTATTTAAAAAAATAAAGTTGGAATGATTTTGTGTATATCACGTACAATGTTCTTTAAATATATTTAATATGTTTCATTTTTATGTACATTCTTTCACGTCTGCTCGGCGTGCTTTTCATTTTTAGATAGCTCTTTTGTTTCAAATATTCTGTATATATATATATATATAATATATATATAATTAATAAAAAATTGATATATAACCAATATATAAATATGTATATATTCCATGTTCCAACATATAGGTTGTACATATAGATATTTGTGTATGATCTTGCGCGTGAGTGTATGTATGTGTGTTTGTGCAAATCTTCAAGTCAAGTTTCCTTTGAAATCCAACTAAAAATAAGGCTTTCCATGTTCCATCCTTCTATTGCGAAAACATCTTAGTGCACTGAAATCCTGTAATGGAGCACAACTTTGCATCACATTTATAACCAAATTTAATTGAGACAGTTATTTTAATGAGTTACACCACAATATCCTTTTATCAAATTTCAATTTAAGTTGAAAACTAATTTCCTTTCTATTTCAATGAACTCAAATTCCAGCTTGAATTGTATTTCCAACGACTGTCAACGAGTCTTAAGACAAATTTGATCATTACAAGCCGCTGTTTAGTACGTCAGCTACTGTTGAACTAACTAAATGACACATATGTTTAAAAATATATATCTAATTTTGTATATGCAATGCACCCAAACACACCTGGCAAACAAATAAAAAATCACATTTTTTGTTTTTTATATTTATTAACACCCCAAAAAATTATGTGTATAATTATTCACACATTTCCACATACGCTATGTGAGTTGTTAATACTTTTGAGAATCTAAAAAATCATTTGTTCATTTATTTATCCGTTGTATGATCTTGTTTGTATTGAAAATATCAAACAAACAATAAAATACGCTGAATGTTGTAAGATATTCATTAGCTCACAAATTGCAAGCCAGCGCTCCAGCTTAACAATCTCATATTTAAAGAAGCATACGATGGTTGATACAAATGCAGATATATTATTGTATATTATGAATGTATGAATGTTTTTTTTGAAATAATATGTGTTTTGAGTGTGACCATATACAGGCTTGCTTGTATGATATCATGGAGGTTTACACTTTGCATCAGCTTTTGTTACTAAATTTAATTTGCTCAAATTTGTTCATGATTTTTTATTTTATAACATTCAATGTCTCGGAAATGAATTCACTCGGCTTATTTTGCATTTTTTTTAACTTTTATGATGTACATTGCCACATTTTCGCTCTCAATTTATTCCCGCAAGTGGTGCAGCTGATGCAGCCCAAAAATTTGTGTCGTCGGTGGGAGCCTGAAAAAAGTATGCCGCGGTATATTTTCTTTATTCCGCATTAATTTTCCTTTTAAAGCTATATTTTATAAAAACTTGACAAATGATCAGTTATAACAATTTAAATACAAAATTTTAATCAAGATTTTTTGAGTTTAATCTTGACCCTAACAAAAAAATCCATTGAAGATTACCTCAGCCACATAACTCCACTTTTCGGCTACACCTCTAAAATTGGAATTTTGTGCAAAGCTCTTACTCTTTATTAAAAACTGTCTATCCATTAAACAAATTTGCATAATAACATATTTTTAGGCAAAATAAATTTGTTTTATTGTAACGATTCATTAAAATTGAATATAATTAGATGCGGTTAAGATTCAACAAGGTCAAAGTTCATCGAACAAAAATAATTAAAATTTCAAGTTTCAGATAACGTCGGTTGTGATTTTTGAAGAAAACATTTTCAAACTAATTCCTCAATCAATCATTAAATGCTATCGAATTGTAGCTTCAAACAAATTTTAAAAAACTTTAAAAATTTCCTGTTAGAAAATGATATCTTTTCACGTACATTAGATGTAACAGTTTTAATTAAATTATTTGTATTTTAATGTATTCTGTCAGTACGAATAGAAGTGTATGTATAGATATATTATATATTAGTTGAAAGTGGTTCATACCGGAGACAAAAATAAATAATATGACTAAACTAAAGTTTTCTAATTAAAATTGTTCAATAATGAATAATTAACTAAATAATAGCAATATAGCCAAACTTAAGATTAAATTATTGCATTTATTTAATATTTGCTTTTTGTAAATGTATTTCGGACAATTACCTATTTCTGACCATGAACCTCAACTGGACATAACAAAGAATGCCTAAGATGACAATACTGATGCCCAGAGCAAACAAGTTTTGCCAGAGGTCCCAGTCACTTTCGTACGCTACGCCCTGCTCTTTCAAGAAGTTGTTGGCTACAGTAGTTGAGCTAAAACAGTTTATTTTTTAATGAATAAGTCAGCGATTATTTTACAGTTTTAAAAATGTATTTTCTACTAAATTGGAATTTTAAAATTGAATTTCTAAAAAAAACTTACTTGGCTATTATTTGACCATTATCGTATATGTTAAATTGCATGTCTTTCAACTCGTTTATCAGCAAGGTCTGCGTTGCAATTTGTGTCATAAATAGTTATTCATGTCAACATAAATGATAAAATGGCCAAATTAAACATGCCTTGTAACTGTATCTGATAAAACTAAAATACTCCAGCCACTTGAGCCAGCGCGGAATAGATACACTGTTCAATAACAATCCTCCAAATAACTGCAAAAAAATGATTCGTTCTATAAATAAGAACTGATTGAAATGTAACGAGTTTAATGAAATTTGCTTTTTCTTTTGCTTCAAAATAAAAAAACTGTGGAGAACACAATTTAATACAAATACAAATTGGTTTATGTGCATGAGGAAAATTAAATTGATGGAGCAAAGGATTAAAAATTGGTAACAAGGAAAAAGTGGAATAAGCATTTTTATAACAAAAAAAATTTTAAATGATAGTTTTAAATGGTTTCAAATAGTTTATAGGATGATAAAAAAAAACTATAAATTGGACGGCAAATTGGTCTAATAGTTTAAAGAACTTATTGTTTTATTGAAAGAGTTCGAACAATGGTCATAGCTGTCTATTGATTGTTCGAATGTACATGGGGGCCCTATCTATCAAAGGTAATGTGTGTGGTAAGGTAAGTTGATTCACACCTGAAGTAGATACTTCTGAGTAATTCTATCGGAGAAAATAATAGTAAGGAATAAAAATTAAACTAAAGTTTAAAAGCTGTTTTTCAGCATAATTTGTATAAAGTTAGTTAATTCTAAAACGATTTTTAAATAAGCTTTACTCATAGGAATCAGTGGAACAATGCTTCAAACACATATAGATGTTTCAACACTGGTGTTCAAAATAACAATGCGATCGTAATGGTGTGTTTTGATGGAAATGAAAAAAGATGCAAATGTACTGAACGAACCATCATAAGTATCATGACCAGTCCGACCAGCATGTTCGCCAGAGCAAGAACGCCTACGGATGCACTGATAACGAACGCCATAAGAGCAGAAACGAACGTGGTCAGGAATAAGTTCAGAAGATAAATGAAAAACTTACTGACCACCAGTTGCAAATCTGTTGAACATTTCATTCATTCGAGTAAAATACACCAAATTAGTGACTCATTTAATGCATCTTTACAAAACACAAAATGCCTCAATAAGGAAAACTGTTGACAAAATAGGCATACATTTATTTGGTTGGTTTTTTCGAATTTAACAAAGCGAAACTGAACATCTATATTGTAAAACCAGTTTTACACTACAAACAGGTATGATGCGGAAAACCTTAATCATAATCTGATTAAATCATCTAAATCGCCGCTTCCGAGAGGCGCTTTACTAATTTTAAAATCATTAAAATCAAATCAGGAATTATCCATTCCCAATGAAAACATCGCATGTTTTGAACAGGTTAGAGACTCACTCAACATGAAATACGTGATGATGCTGAAGAGGACAACAGGCAACAATCTCAGCGGAACCAAATCGCAGAAAATTTTTGAGACGAAGTAGACGGACACTCTGTAGTAGCCACTTTTGTTCTCGTGTCTGCGTTGTTAAAGTTTGTTTCGTTTTCCCACAATGACTTACATTATTGTCTTGTTTGTTTAATTGTTTAATAAGAATATTAGTTTATATTTTATTTAATAGCAGTTTTTTTATATTTTATTTAATAACAATTTAATAGTAAGTTCTGCGTTTAACAGTTAGAAAATTGGTTCATTTAAGGACTTAACATGAATAAACTTCTTTCTTTAAGGAACAATTCGACGGCTGAAATGTTTCCAAACATCTGAATCATCACTATGAAGAAAAACGCGCCGGCCCTGGTTCAGAAGTTTGTTGGTTTGTAATTAAATATTTCACTTTAGCACTGTTCTTAAATATAAAGCACTTCTTAAAGTAATTGTTAACAACGATAAAATGTAGAAAGTAGAGTCAACCTGTTCTGTATATCTTTGTTGGCGTCTATAGTCATTTTGTAATACAACAATCCGGTGAGGAAAGCAAAAAACAGTGTTAGAGTGATCTGATTTGAAAATTTTAAAACAGAGAGTAAAGTAAAGCAGTCGAACAAAATTTCGACTGAATTCGAACAAAAATTCGAGAATTCGAACAAAAAAAATGAAACAAACTTGGGCTATAGAACTTGCTGGGTTCCTCAGAACATTAACAGCCGTTCTTTTCGACACATAGATCAACTGTAATAGTAACAAGTGCTAACGTTATAAAATATTCAAAATTAATTTTACAAAGCCAAATACTCAGAGTAAAATAAAAAAGAAAAATAGGTAAATAAATGTGGTAAATTGAACCTGTGATATAAAAGATGTGCAGTAGTCTTTATCTGACTCGTTACTTTTTTGGCTTTCCATTGATTTATTTTTTGATGGTTTATTTTTGTAGAAATTGCTAATTGCGCTCAGTTCGTTGTTGATGCTTCCATTAAGAAGGTTTAAGAAACGTTTAGTCGGTTGTAATATTTACAGCAGTGAGTTTAAAAAAAAAGAGTTTAACTCTACAAGTGACCACACGAAACATTTAAAAGTGAACTATTGTGTAAAATTTTGAAATTATATAAATTAAAACAACAACTCAAACAAAACGATGATGAGTAAACTACCCACCCGATGCCAATGCTGGACTTTTTATATCTCTGAGCCAGGTAGTTAATAATCACGTCTGTGGTTGGGTTGTCGATGGTAAGATCAAACATTCCAGAATCTACATCTTCAGCCACCGGATTCACTGATTTAATAGTCGAAAAGACAATGTTTCAATTTGTTTAATTGTGTAAAAAAATTTATTTAAAAGCGAATGTAAGATAGCAAGATAGGTATTATTAACTTTTTAATCAGCAGAAAATAATTAACAGATTTAAAATATTGAAAAATGTTGAAAATTTGAAATGTTCTTCGTGGTTTATGTTACGTGCTATATAGGTAAGTTAAATTGCGGTTAAAAATTTCATCTCGTAGGGAGTTTATTTAAATGATGTTTTATTACATCAAAATAAAAACAGGCTTGTTGTACAACCTCCGCGACAGACATTAATTCTATTACATCAGGGACGTATTTTCAGGTCAGAGGTTCTAAGTCGGAATGATTTCATTTGTTTGCGGGCGCGTGGCGGTTTATAATGTTCAATTTTATTCACTAGAATTAATTAAATACTGACGTGCATTTGTTGCATTAGAAAGATCTCAACACCTTTGGTTAATTCTTTGTAAATAACCGAACAACTATCAGACACAGATATTTAAAATACACATCCAACAAAATGTCAAATAAATAATTCAAATGTGAGAAATATTCACCGCAGTTGTTGCTGAATGTTGCTACGGAAGCGTTGGAGCAGTATGGTGAAGATCTGGATGAGGGGATCTCACCATTGACGACATCCAGGAAAAAATCAGGTGGGTTGTTATGAGGCTCGCATTGATAATCTGTTGGTCATTAACACGTGAGGTGAATATCTTTTATCCAATTTATTTCATTGAAAATAACAAACAACTTTAAATGAATAATTAGGGCAAAACGTTTCAGAGATTTCAATCGTTAATAACTAAATAGGTTATAAAGTTGAACAAACCACTTTAAAATTCTACCAAAAAACAAAAATGGTTTAATTTTTTTCTAAAACCAAATAAAAAATTGGTTTTCTTTAGATAAAACTAGAGATCAACTTAAATTTTATGTACATTGCGACAAAAATTAATAACACCAATTTGGTTATTAAAAAGTTAATAAAACATCTTATAATTGTTTCTAGTGAAATTATCAGTTGTAATTGTAGTTTTATCAGCATCCGCATTTATCTATCTATCTATCTATCTATCCTTCCATCCACCCATCCATCATTTCATACATTTAACTATCTATCTGTCTGTCCGACTATCTATTCATCTATCTGTCTGTCTGTTTGTCTGTCTGTATATCTATTTATCTGTTGTTCATTCTAGATAACTGAAAATGTTGAATTTATTTTATATATAATTTGGTTTATTGGTTGGTTTATTCAAGCGTGTTTACTCCAATGGTTTTCAATTGGTTTGTTAAAAATTGTGCTTCATTTATTGTATTGTATAAATTATGATATATAAATTTCATATATCATATTATGCAGATTTCAATATAAAGTTATTATTAAGCTGTACAGAATACCATAGCTTTATAGCAACTTTTAAATTAATAAGCTTCTCATTCACACGTTCAAAAATTTTCTTTTTATTCCCATGTTGATTCATTGTTCGCAATTATTGTCCCCTATTATTTTAAATTATTTTCGGCATTTAAAAGAGCACGCACACACACAAACACAGGTGTTTATATCATGTTTAATTTATTTTCACATGATTAACTATTTATTTTCACATCATATGATTAACTATTCACTGTGTCTTTGCTAACATGCTGGTTGTTTTATCAACTGTTATTCACTCAAAACACATTTTGATCGAATCGACGCCTATGCAAAAATTTTACGTCTAAATTTTAGAATGATTGAATGGTTAAATCAAGTCTCTTTCTTATCATCGTATGTTATGTACATATTTATTAATAATTTTTAAACAATGGAATGAAATGCATCAAGTAACAAAATTTTGAAACAAGTAAAATTTTCATAGAATTATCTACGGCGTTAATTTATTTTTAACACACACAACAAGTGTTGGATTTAGTTGAGTTAATTGGATTAAAAATTAATTTTTTTTCATTTGCGTTCTCTCAAACTGTACTTAAGTTACGTGATTAATTTTACTTTCTCTCTCTTTCTCTCTCTCTCCTTCCTCTTTCTCTATCTCTCTTTTCTTCTTCCTCTCCCTCTTCTTTCTTTCTTTCTTTCAGTGTTTGTTTGCAATTGAGATCAATGTGAGTGAGCATTGTTAATTTTAAATTTTCTCCTTTATAATTTACGTATGAACTAAATTGGTTTGTGATTGCAGGGTATCCAAAACATTAGTCTGTGCTAAAATTTAGTCAGAAACATTTCTTAAATACCGTGTCTATAATCATATACAGAATACATACTGAATAAAAATATATATATATATATATATATATATTTATTTATTTATTTATATACATATAAATGTATATATTAAACATATTATTAAATACAAATAAATATACTGGCTTAATTAACATCCACCAAAGAGTGATTCTTGTTAACCATCGTGGTCTTGGCATTTGATAGGAGGACATGTTATTACTTCAGTAATTTTTAAATTTTTGACCACAGAAATGACGTTGACGAAAGTTAAGCTGACATTATAAATCATTAAATGTTACAACAAATCAGTCTAACACAAACGAACACCATAGAGTTAACTTATGAAAAAAATAAAAGTTCTTTTTTATTTTTAAACATTTTTTCGTTGTTTGTTACAATAAATAATAATTAATAATGTTCTATTATCATTTGTTAAATTTTGTATTTGGTGTGCATTGTTCTGTGCTTCTTATGTTTTTTGAGATAAATTAAATATCAATCCGGTTGAAGCTTCAAATTCAAAAATTTAGTAATTCACTAGTTTATTTCATCTTTTCAATGAGTTGAAATAACTTTCATCAAACTGCTGTTATTGAATTGAGGTAACGGTAGCCATAGTTTTGTAAAATTTAAACATTAATAAAAAGATTCTAGTCAGTCAGTTTATGATATATAAGCATATCTTCAAATTCAACCAAAACTTCAAATTAAGTTGAAATATTATGTGTGGGTAAGAAAATGAATGTAAAAGATTGATTAGATCTGCAAAACATTCCAACAAAACCAATAAGCTAACGGAAGTTAACAGAGTCTTAAAAAATTTGAATACAAGGCCTACTTTGGTCGTAGAAAAAGTCAAGTGCCTTGCAAGCAGGTCCGTGGTAGACAACCTTGCCAGCTCCCAGCAACATGATAGTGTCGAACAATTTGAAGATGCTGTAACGAGGTTGATGTATTGAAAATATAACCGTCAATCCGTTTCTAGACAACCTACAAAAAACGTTGATGTCAAAAATTATTTAAAAGTTCTGTATGACTTGAGGGTAATAATTTTTTAATAAGAAAGAATAATGAAATTGTATTTAAAAACTGAAAAATTATTTTAGTTAAATACTATCTTGAATTATATCAAAATATTTGCTTTTCGTCAATAAAATTCTCCACAAAGTTATACGGAATACGCTCAGATATTTTTTAAACTTTGAGACATGATATTCATCAGCAAGGTGGTTATATAACATAACCAAGAATCTCGATGTAGAACTGTCATTGTATAATATAAACACATACGAACAGCTTACAGAATGATTTATTGGTGGACGCTAACAATTAAATTGACAATTATCGACCGTACTACTGCCATCATCATGCATTTGCTCGCTCGATGAATGAGCTTGTTGCCGCCGGCTCTACTTTCAACGATGTCGTTTATTCGCTATTATCTTTATAAAAAGTTGACTCAATATAATAAAAAATCTTTACTGATTTTGTGAACCTACCTTTGAAAGCTCAGTACAGCTTGGGATAATTTACAATTTTTGAATAATTACAAATTGTTTCTATCCCAAAATCATTTTTTAAATATTTTAGATATTGAAAAAACTGTTTGTTAAGCTGCTGTATGCAAAACATGTCAAAAGCTTAAACAAATAAATTCTGTTTGTTAAGCTCACGTTTGATTTATGTATTAAATTTGTTAATATAATAAATGAGACGCTGTAATATTCAATCAATAGTAGATTTCCTATTTTCCGTTCGACTTTCAAATTAAATTTCATAGGAAGAGCTCTTACTCAAGAAATATAACATGCGGTTGATGTTATATAAAAGACCAGACAACAGCACTCCTAATTCCTGTAAAACCATCTCACTCGACGAAAAATAATATTATTTTTTTTGTGTATGTAGGTCTGCGAGATTTGAAGTTTGTTATAAATTCTACCCTTTAAGGTCACTCATTCACTTTTGTTTTTGCATCATTTGTTATTCGAAAAATATTTTCTTACGTAATTTTGTGCTATAGGTTTCTTTATTTTTGTCCTAATCGTCTTTTGAATAAAAAGTTTACAAACAAAAAAAAAACAAAAAAATATGAATGAAGAAACAAACCTGTGTAGAAGAGACATGACCGAATTAGCAGTGCATGCATCAAGACCGGTTGTAGGTTCGTCAAGGAAGAGAATTGCAGGTGACACAACCAGCTCCATGCCGATGCACGTTCGTTTGCGCTCTCCCCCTGACACGCCTCTTATGAAATCGGTCCCTATCTGAATAGTGTTATTTTTTATCTTACTCAACTGAATTATATTGTTTCATGACTTATATATAAAAATATATAATCTTCATGAATATTCATGTCATATAGTTAAGTTGTATTTCACAAAAAAATAATGTTATTTAAAAAAAACTAAAATCTATGAACCTTTGTTTGAGCACATTTAGTTAATCCCAACTGGCCGATGATGCCATCAACGATGTCTGCCTTCTGAGCGTGCGAGATAGATTGAGGCAGTCGTATGTTGGCTGAAAACATCAGATTCTCTCGCACCGTCAACGTGCCCATGATCATGTCGTCCTGCGGTGCGGTGCGGTGCGGTGTGGTGTGGTGTTGTGTGGTGTGCCTCCAATGAGCAGGGAATTCATTCAATTATCGTCGTAAGGAGTTTGTGTAAATAAGACGATTACACAACAACGTATTGAGTGAGCAATGTTTATGGTGGGTGAGAATGTTAAACAGATTTGAATCATGCACTGTGTTTGCGTACAACACAACATCTATCAATTACACGTTAATCGCTTGCTAAACATTAATTACTAAACCAATTCGTTTACTTTCATCCTATATATATATATATATATATATATATATATATATATATACATGTATATATATACATATATATATATATGTATATGTTGGTAATAGACCATAATATTTACAATATTCTATATGCAATTATTGATGACAGTCTTAATTAATTCAATATATATATATATATATATATATATATATATATATATATATATATATATTAACAATATTATATAATATATATATATATATAACTTTCAGTTCTTCAACTTGAACAAAAAGTAATTAAATTCATTGAAATTTTTCAAACATTCACCAAACTAGCTTCACACATTTTTACATTTAATTAAACGAAATAAGGATCGTTGAAATAATGATGAGCATTACAGGGCAGCGATGTTACCTGAACGACGTAACCAGCGGCACATTTGAGACTGTGTGCTTCTTTGCAGCCATCGACCAAAATCTGCTCGTTGAACTGCTTCTGTTTCTTACGTCCAGACAGAATGTCTAACAGCCTTCAAATTTATAATTTATTAGTTCAACTACAGTTATTTATTATATATATATATATATATATATATATATATATATATATATATAATTTTAAAATAATTTCGAAGTTACGTGGGTCGATGAATGTAGAAGTTAGGTAATAAATAATCAGAGCTAACGTTGATTTTCCACATCCAGTTGGACCCAGAATGGCACTCATACCTGGCTTGAAGATACCTCTGCAAAGAAAATGCCAAAATATTACTGCTACTCATACATAATTTTATGTTCATTAACACGATTGCCAAATTTAAAAAAATTAAAATGGTGAAGAAATAAAAACGTAAACATAGCAGCCTGGCAAAGACCATTCGATATTTACTTATTTTTATCATGGTATATTTGAATATGAACACTAATAGATGCGTGAGTAGGTCGTGATTATTTAATATGCAACAGATTTCATTTATAATATTAGATGAAGTGGAAGGCATTACAACACTTGAAATAAATTAAAATTTTCTTCACATTTAAATCAGTTCACTGCCACTTTTATGGGAGAAACACATGATGATGTGTCTCTACGTACCGGCAACAAGCTTTTTTGTAATCAACAAAAATATGCCATTTATTTGAAGATCTCATTAACAGTATTAAACATTTTTTTAAATTATTTCTCCACAAATTATTGTCAATTAATTTTTTGGTTAGGTAGAATATAATTTAATGAAAGCCACTAAATACGTGAATGTGATACAGTTATAATTATGTAGCATCCTACAGTGTTTATACTAAATAAACAAGGTTGAAAATCGTTTATTCAAATTTGATGAAATCAATTCTTCATTTTAATATCGTTTAATTTATTTATCTCCAAAAATGCCAGCTGCAAATTTTTTTCTAGGAACAACTTACCGATAGACGTCCCTCAATGAAAAACGCTGATGAACGCCGATTGATAAGAAAGAAAAACTTGATTAAAATTAAAACATATTAACAGTATAAAAAAGCGTAAAATAAAATAACTAACGAAACGTCATCAAGCACGTTCTTTGTTTCAACCGACCACTTGAACTTCTTAAACTTTCTGATTTTTACGTTGTAACTCACGTTGTGAAAGCTTAAAACTGGTCCTTGCAGGGACGATGAAGATGATAACGAACACGTGGATGACGACTTCAGATAGCTTTTATTGCAGGAAGAATTATTCGACAATTGCTCAAAAAATTCTGTGGTATCATTCTCTTGGAGCATATGTTTTGGCTTATAGAAAGTCAAAGGTGATATATTTTTGGCAATCAGGTTAGGGTCATAGGCTATAATGCTGTTTGTTTTACATATTATATTACCTGTCGGCTTCCAATAAGTGTTTTCATTTTTTTCAGAAACATGTTTGCTAGGCTTGTAGTTTCTGCTGTTGCAGCCTTGATAAATATTGGAACGTGAATGTAAATCCGTCGTCAAAGAAATCATGGTGGCGCAAGGAATAATTATTATTTTGAAATGATGAAAAAGTTGAATACTATAAAAAATGTTTAATGCCGTCCAAAATTTGTTTTTCAAAAAATCATTTGTATAAATATTTTTCAGAACATTGAATGAATATTTTTATAAATACATACATCTACCTTGCTTATATTTTAAAATGCTGCTTGTCTTCGAGCTAAACTCATCCGCTATGAAGTTGTGACGATTTATTGCAAATCGCATAGCGACAATTAGCAAGCAGAAATAAATTGAATGCTTTGTTTCTTCATTGATTGCTGTGTTTCACGACAAAAGTTTGTTATCATGAACGTTCTTAGTTGTAGAATAACATGGTAGCTATGTCACACATATTATATAAAGTGATCTTGATTTGTTGTAAACATACGCAAATGTACTCTGAATAAATGAGATTTAATCTTTGTGTTTGTTTTAACACGAGTTATCTGCACGTGAAGTGTGTGTACCTGCAGTTAAGTTTAATTAATTCCAATCAAGCCACAAACATGCATGATATAAAATCATATGAATATTCCTTAATCTAGCTGTTAATCGGGAATGTTTCGATATTGCTCAGTTCATTTCAAGAGCACACCCATTATTGTAAGCTTTTAATGAGAACCTGCCTGCCTGCCTGCCTGCCTGCCTGCCTGCCTGCCTGCCTGCCTGCCTGCCTGCCTGCCTGCCTGCCTGCCTGCCTGCCTGCCTGCCTGCCTGCCTGCCTGCCTGCCTGCCTGCCTGCCTGCCTGCCTGCCTGCCTGCCTGCCTGCCTGCCTGCCTGCCTGCCTGCCTGCCTGCCTGCCTGCCTGCCTGCCTGCCTGCCTGCCTGCCTGCCTGCCTGCCTGCCTGCCTGCCTGCCTGCCTGCCTGCCTGCCTGCCTGCCTGCCTGCCTGCCTGCCTGCCTGCCTGCCTGCCTGCCTGCCTGCCTGCCTGCCTGCCTGCCTGCCTATTTATTTATAAATAAATAAATATATTTATTTTTAAATAAATATTTCCATCCAACCCACCTCGATAACTGTCATTCTAACTAAGTATGTAAATCAAAAAAAAAAAATAAAATACGTTTACAATGCAACAAAAAACGGCAACATTACATCAATTGACTAGATTGCACTCAATCATTTATTTGATTAAAACGACGTGCATAAATGTAAAGTAATCATCCATTGATCTAGGTCAAACATGGAAAAAAAGATCTTCCCCTCTCACATCCTTCATGAGTGATGCCTCTTTTAGCCCGTATATCATATACTATGTTTGTGCGTGTTGTTGAATTCTCTGAACTTTGAAAAAGTGTAATTGACCTTAAACCTTTTTTAACCTTTATGTAAAAAAAAGTAATTAATTAAACCGACCGAATAAAACAAATTCATATTCTAGTAGAATGAATATTGGATTATTAAATACAAACTTCATGTAGAGAAAAAGCAAACATTGACAAATATTAAATTAAGGCTCTGCCCGGGTAGGCAAACATATTGGACGTTAAATAAGTTTTATATATAAAATAGCTTTTAAAAACTATCTTTTAAAAATTGTCCACAAATTACCCTACATTTCTTTAGAGTTTCAGGTTCAAGTTATGAATAATTGCAACAGGGTATAATAACAAAATAAAAATTTCATAACGTGAGGAACTGGACTGGATTTAGCGCTAACCTGTTATCACATTCATATATATTTAAGCAAAGTAAGTATTTGTTCACTACGTTTTGTGGACTCAAATAATAAGATAGTTTGGCAACAATGTTTTTAAATAGATTTTATCAGAAAAATAATAATTAATTCTAATACTTTTTACGATTTCTGGTGAATGCATTATGTTTAAATTAAAGCAATGTAGAAACATAGTCTGATAAATCTGTGGGTTAGACGTGAGAATAGTTACGTTTTCGATAAAAAAAAAATGAGTAAAAAGCATCATGGCAAACAATAATAAAAAGATGCCATAACAATCAGTGAATCAAAAAGAAAGGTAAACACTTTTGAAAACATGAAATATATCATAATTAAACATTTGAAGTTAAAAAATGAATGCAAGTTAGAAAAGCAATAATAAATATGAATTCGCAGAGATGTATGAATATACATTATACTTAACTATGTATGAAGAAAGACTTCTTAAAATAACACTTGTCTAATAGGATTAATTTTAAATTGGAAGAACTGACGTCAGGACTCCCCATGACTTTCAAATTATAAGAGTGTACTTTGTTTTAAATGGACAACTCTAAGGTATAACAATTTTAGTCATTATCAAATGTCTCTTTAAAACTTTGCTGAAAATTAATAAAATATTTAAAAACATGAATTGAGACTCTATACCTGCAGAAAATAATACCTGGTTATAGGTACGTTTTGGCACCACTGTTTTGTGTTTATTCAATGTTTGGCACTCATTTGTACACGCGAAGACTAATGTAGAAAGAACCAGACATCATAACACGATTGGAAAACTGCTTTAATGTGATTAGTTTTGAATCAGATGAAAAGCCATTTGAATGTGTTAAAATGGTGCGGATGTTATTGACAGGTGTGAAGCACTGTTTTCGTTCATAAATGGTGACGTAGTAAGTAAGGTAATTTACTAATTGTCAGTTTAGCTTAACAAGCATGGTTTTGTAAAGAGCAAAAGAAAATATCCTACCAAATCGCGGAAAACTGGCAGATAAAAATTAACGTTAGGAAGAATATTTATAATGTTACAACATCTATCGACTTTAGCGATATACGCACATACGTAGATATAGCCATCATAAAATAGGAATTGGTCAAGCGAGAACAATTCATGAAAGTGATTAAGTTGATTTCTACGCATGTATTTCATATCCAGTATTGAATTAGAGTAAATAATTTAAATGGCAACGACAGCATAACCCCTCATCGTTAAAACGCACACCCTCGTACATAGGCCTACTGAACTGCGTTTGAGTTCCACTTGATTCATGAACTGAAAAACTAACTATTTACCTTATGCAGAAAGGCCTTAACTCGGGCATCGGCGCTATTCAGTATCTCTTTGTTAAATACTTTTTAGATGTTTCGCATAAAAAAAAACATTCCTTTAGTTTTAACCGATGTAGTATATCAACTTTTGAAAATTTCAATAGAGATAAAATGTTCACAACTGTGTCCAGACATGCACACCCAAAATACGCAATCTGAACATTGAATCATATATTGATAAATAAATAAGCACAATATTAATATATAGCACTATAAAAATTTACATGTTTATTTACATTTAAAAACTTGGCATGTTTATTTACATTTAAAAACATGAACAATGCTAAGTTCTACGGGAAGCTTAATTAACTACTGCTTCTTCTTTAATGGAACATCTTGTGGACTTTCAAGCCTGGATCTTTTTCTTTTGTTGTCATCGGCTCTGAAAATTTTAAAACTTGACTTTAAAAAATCAAAAACATTTTCTGAAACTAAATATTAGTCTTAGACTGTTTGCTGAAAAAATCAAAGCTATCGTGACTGACTGAGAAATATAACAACAAACTGATTTTTAAAATGTGTAATTCGATTTTGAAGTATGTCGACTACCAGTTTTGACCAAGACATGGCGACCTCGATATTTTATAATTACATTTTTATCTTCCTGGCTCAGCCGTTTATTTCAATGAACAAGTGTATGGGCCGGAAGATATAAAATAAAGCACAAATTATACAAAGGGCATCATTCATTCATTGAGCGTAAAGTGGTTTTAAGTTCGCGTTTGGACAAATTGTTATAACTGTTTTTTCGTATAAAAACGCGGCAAATAAAAAACATAAATATAGAGTAAAAAGTTAGAAACCTTTTAAAATCATTAATGTGAAATACAAAAGGGGCACCTTATTATTAGATTATGAATAACAACAATATGAATAATAACAACTGTTTCTAAATTGCAGCATCAAGTAATATTATTGAACTATATAACACCCATAAGATATTTGAAATTTAATAAGAGACTGGTAACCTCGTAGGAAGCTCAACTTCTTGGACATAAAAAAGATGGAACGGAGGAGGTGGGTGGTCTGTTAGAAAGTTAACAATGTAGTCGAACTTCAGGCACGGTATTCCTTCATCAACCAATGTTTTGAAATCTACCTATAAAAAGTAAATGTATGCATCCTTAATAGATAGTTACATGACGTCTCGCATTCGGTCGGAATGTAATCGTAAAAATATTCCCCAAATATTGGTCTACAAAATCTATTGGTCGTTTTCGAATTGGAGATTGCAATAAAAAAATGAACAACCAGCATTGTTCGTTCACATTTCCATGCAGTGAAATTTTTTATTTACACACAATATTTAAATAATACCTATTTTTTAATATTTTATAGTAAACAGTCACTCGTAACAAAGTATTCAGAAAATCTCCCATAATCTTGGCTATCTCTGCAATTGGGCATGCAAATGTACATATAATAATTGATTCTATGTGCAATAATTTAGTACATGAAGAAGAATGAATAGAGACAATGTGACCTAACTTTAACAGGGCAGTTTTTAGTTTCAATGAAAGCATGTGTAATCCCTATTAACGATGAAGGCAGTCTGAAAAACGTAATTAATTAAAAATCAACCAAAATGAAAACCATTACAGTAAAGAAATTGATAAGAAATAAATTGTACTAAACACTATGATATTTTTGATGCTGCAACAAGATGTAACATTTAAGCAGCACTAACAATTTATAATCAATTAACAGTGCTCCGAAATATACAAAGTAAAATTAATTTCAGTTGATGGTGAAAGATATAATTAGCTGACTTGTTAGCACAAACTTGAGCTCCTCCTGCTTGCAGCAGTCTAGCAAACCCATCGACTCTATTAGCGTTAATGAAGAGCAAGCAATTCCATCTATCGAAGGCCCCTTCTTTTTGAGATGGTGAACCCTTCAGTTTGAAAGTACAAATGAAAGTTTTTGAAACAAATTTATTAATTTCAGTTAAGAAAAAATTGAAGAACAATATGAACCTGAAGTGCTAGCCTCCACCGGCGAGCAGCACGAGCCAGTTTAAATTCCTGCGGTTTCAAATCGGGGTATAATTTCAAAATTTCGTCTGATCCCCATTCGTAAGGAGCCTCCTAGAAATTAATGAAAAACGGTTTATTCAGTTTGGAATGAGTTACATGTGTATGAATTAACATAACAAACTTAATCAAATATCGAAATAGCAATGAAAAAAGATTACAAACTTCAACGAAACATTGAGATTGTTTACAGGCATGCAGGTAAGAATCATGCAAGATCCACTTTCCAACAGACACACATACCAAAAACTTTTCACTACGCTTAGCTGTACCTGTATGGTTATTGAATAATTTGGAAAAATGTTTCCATGTCTAAACCCATGTCTAAACTGTTATAGTTGCCAATACTATCAACGTAAATTAAATGATGAACATAACTGCAAACAAATCATTATAACATGAATACTTGTGATGAGATGGCTGCATGGAGAGCTACTATTTGCATCAACACACGAGCCTCCCAGAGATTCAACAATTTGTACTAAGCTACTTTTGTCCTAAATAAAATGAGGTTCTCAAAAAATATAACAAAGAAAACGATAACACCAATCAAAAATGTGAAGTTTACTTGATCTTTAAATCCACTGAAATTGAAAACATATTCACGTTGTATTTTTTTCAAATCTGCACGTTTTCCCGGTTCAACAGTTCTCAAATTATCCTTTTCTGTTTCGGTGACAGCTGATTGATTCTGTCAAAAAACATACATTGTATTAAGAACCATTTAAAAATAATGGAGTTTGTGCTGAATAAACACAAGTTGAGCTACAATATTTATCATCCATTTAATTTAAAATGTATAGAATATGGCAGCTCTCGATTGGAACCTGGACAAAACCATCATGTCGCCCAGCTCAATTCTCAGACAGCTATCAACAGCTCAAATAATATATTGAACAACTCGCACATTTAAGCTCTGAATACATAAATACCTCTAAACGATAGTTACGAAAACACAAACATACACAGGCAAAATCATTTTATGGAAAACTTCAAAATTAATGCTAGAAACATTAAAAAGTAAATCAATGTAAAAGTAAATTTAAACTCGAACCATCTCTTCATTGGGCAATTTAATCGGTTCGATACCATTCTTCGGCAATATATCCGAACCTGGTCTGAAATATTTTAATTACATTCATCATGAAACATTAGCTGATTCAAAAAAATGGCGTTTTCAAATTATAAAACAGTATGTGCAACACGAAAATGTAAAACATGAAAACACATGACATTGTGATATTATGATATGAAGATGCTGGTCAAACATAATTTAATAAGTCAGCCGCCAGAAATCATTATATCAGTGGTTCAAAACGTCTGAAGCTCTGGTTAAAATGGGCCACTCAAAAAGTGGTAAACTCCACTCCAGGTACCTAATTAGAAACAAGCAAACCTGCTGACGAATGGATCATCCCAGACAACTTCAACCTGTGAGGCCTGCGTGTGAGCATCTTTCAACTTATCTGTCAATAAAATCGCTACATTTATTCCATTTCACAAAGTGAAATTATCAAGGGAAGAAAATTTGAAAAGTATTTTTAAGTTAAATTTTTAGAATGTTGTTAAACAAATTTTTAATTTGAAGCTGAATAAAGAAAACATGAAGATTAATTTATTGAACTATATAAGATTTTATTTTTCAAAACATAGCGTTTAGTGAAACATGAAAATCTGATACATAAATATTTTAATATTGAGAGCAGAAAACTCTCTTACGAACGTTACAACGTTTTATGACAATATTTGAATGACAAGTGTTCATTTGTATTTGAATTCTTAAAATGAATGTTGCATCATTAAAAGTCGGAATAATGAATCTTAACTGGCCAACCTGGAGGTTTACTGCCCGACTGTTTCGAGGATTTGACTCCACTTCCTTTCACGTCTTCAAATTTATTTGAAATGTGTACATTTTATTTAAGTTTTGGTCATGTTATTTAAATTACTTCCACACCCTTAAGCCTTATTGACCAATATCCAAACATAGTTCAACAGCCTCTGCTTTTCAGTTAGCCACGAAGCCGTTTAATATACAAATAACATCAATGATTTGTTAAAAAAATCTTTTCCATGCTAGAAACACGAACAAGTCCTCTTCTCACAAAATTTTACCAAGTTAAAATAATAAGAAAGTCTAATCATCATTAGTTAATAATATAATATTAACATATCATTAACCCAATCTTATTTCGTAAATTGGGCAAATTTTTCCATTAAGCATTCATTACTTGCACTATGTGATTGAGTGTTTTTAAAAAAGTTGTAAAACGTGCACAAAGAAATAAAATGATTTTGCCTACCAATGTCATCAGAACTGGAATTTCGCGACAAAGCAGACTTAACATTGTCAACCGACCCATCCTGATTGTCAACTGCTGTTGATTATTTTTAAAGTAATAAATTTAAAAAGAACAATTTAAAAAAAATCAATTGCCTCCGTAATTATTTAAAAAAAACTATCATTAGTATAATTTCCTACTGTACAAATGAAGATCCAAACAAAATTGACCGTGCTTTTCATTTTTATTTTTTAACTAAAACACAGATGCACCATCGTTATTAATCAACAACAGCAAGTTTTTATTTTTCTGCACTCACATAGGATGAAATTTAAATATTTTCGATTTGTCTTTTTCCAATAGTCCGTTTTTCAATGCTTTTGTATTCAATCTTACTCACTTTAATAGAGAAGAAAGCTTAGGGTGACAGGTTGAATAAAAAATATGATAGAGATTTTAAAAATGAACGGGGACATGGTCAGTGATACTATGAAGCAAAGTTGCCAAAAACTCAAAACAAAAAAGAAAAAATTCTAGAACACAATTCTAAAGAAATACTTACATGATTTTACTTTATTCATCTTTACAGATCTGCGTAAAAGTAACAAAAGAATGTTAACCAATATTATTAAAACATTTCAATTTTAAACCATTTTATTTTAAGTGAATAGTTTGAAAATATGACTGTACACGGTATAAGATTTTTAGAAAGTTGTAACGATTTTATAAACTTTAATTTTGAGAAATAGGAGAATGCTTTTAAAAAATCATGAGAAATGATTTAATACTTTTAAAGAAAAAATCTTTTTGTTTATGCTAAATGCGATTATAAAGGACTGAAAATTAAATTTATTAGTTGTTTAAATGATTTATTTTTGTTCCAGTTGGTTAAAAATCTTCCTAGAAAATGATGAATTGCTGAATGTACTTCTGAAAAACGAATTGTATGAGAATTCTATTTCTGATAATTTTCATGATGAAGATAAAAAAATTAAAATTTTGCCTACATAAATGCAGTAAAACTACTGACTAGTCTGTTTCGCAACAGAGGAATGCTACGAGAAAAATGGGTCTTTAAAAATAGTTTCAATAGCTCTGGAATGTTCATCTCAACTTACAACCATTCAATGATGATTGCAGAGACCGATATCACACGACTAGAAAGATTAATCAGAGTGATTGTACATGTACAAATCTCCAGCGATATAAGTAGCAGTTGTTAGAGAGCTAGGTCATTTATTTAAAGTTTTAAAGTGACTTGGTTTGATTGATAACCACCAAGCGTTCTATACAATGCATTTCATTTATAATGCTGTTAAGCGACGACGAGTATTAGGAGAATACCGCAACACGCCTGAACCACAATTATCTATCAATTGATAAATTGAATTTCAAAATAGATGTTGAAACTAAACTAAAACGAATGAAATGTTGAACGAATTGAAATGTTGAAATAAGAAAATTTTTGAAAAAAAAATTGATACATAGAATCGAAGAAATAAATGGCTGAAAAAATGAAATGCTGAAATTAGTGAAATGTTCAAATTACTCAAAATGCTAACTTTGATGCTTCATTAATTTTTTTCAAGCCATCAAGAAGTTCGGTCGTTTGTGTGTCTTCTCTCTGAATATGTAGTAAACATTTTTACCATTTAAAAAAGGTGGACTAAAAGTCTCAAACGATGGTTGAATCAGTGTGTAAGTAGCTTCTACACATTTACATTCAAACAGTTTGTTGGTTTAATCATAGCTTTTATATTCAACAACTGCAAATCTTCAAAACCTTCTTTCACATTTCTAAAATTTTCTAATAAAATCTTAATTGGCCTGAGTCCAAACGTCATCCAACTTTTTCTTTCCATCTGCTTTATTCCATTCTATTGTTATCATAATTCAATTACCATACATAATTCCAGTTCAGAAATTGGTCTTTTTGCAGTGCAGATGTGGATAGAATTAATTACACATTTTTTATCCAAAGTTTGTAACATTCGTTTGACCCATAACCAAAATATACAATCAAGTTTTAACCAATTAATCAGTTGATAAATTATTATCAAACTACACAAAATTTCTTCATCTTTTTGCCGAGCAAACATGCTGCAAATCAAAGACTATGCCCTTAGATATACATGTGTTTTATATATAAATATTTAAAATTGATTTATCAGACTATTTATTTAACTCAAGATTACTATTTGTGAATGTTGTTAATTTTATGCAGCTCTACTCTGATTTTGTGTGGATAAAAGTAGACACATATTTGACAGCATGCAAACTTCGCTAATATACGATGCAATTTAAAAACAATAAAATGAAATGAAATAATAAACAAGTCGACACGACAAACGACCATTGTATGAGATGATGGATTTTGGGCAGCAGGCGTTGTTGAATGTTGGGCAGGCTGTGTGGGGGTGTTCATACCATTGTTGGATGGCGAAGGGCGGTTGGAAGTGGCGAAGGAGTTGTTTAATGGCGATTGGTAGGGATATAGTACTCGGCTAGCAGGCATCCTGTTGGGCGTCTTGCTGCTGCCTACCAACATGTTCTGCTTGTGGTTAATTTAATGAGGAGGACAAATCTTAAAAACAAATATTTGAGAATGAAATGTTTTATATGTTCATTTTATGCAGTGGACAAATTATATAACGTGTTTGAATGGGATGATTTTAACTAAAGAGGGAAAATATCAAAGAAATTTAAAGAAGTATCAAATAACAAATGAAAACATAAAAAAGACAAACATGAGGTACAGGGTGTTGAAGAGTGTGTGGATACAAAGATTCATCGAGCCTTGACTGGTGCTCATTGCACTGAAATATTTTGGAAAAAATACTAAATTATTAGCAGGACATTTTAATTGTACAACATTTGTCAACAGAAACTCACTGCAACAAGCCAGAAGGGTGAAACAATCTGCTTGCATTGTTCTCTAGCTGTTCGAAACTCTCGATTTGTATCATTCAACTTGCCCTGGAAATATATATATGAACAAATAGTTCCACAACAACTAATACCATTACTACAAAATTACAATAATAAGAAAGGAACTAGTTAGTACATTACTTGAAAAACGAAGTGAGTGCACTCATAAGTGTACATCCATCTGTACTGCGCTCCCAACATCACTGCCAATTTGTTGTACTCAGCCTGATTCTTGCTCAACTTCTTTGCAACGGATATGATCACTCCTACTAAAGGTTTCTTGCTTTCCTCCTTTAAATTTATGATGACAAAAAGAATTCTGACTCGTACAAGTCAGTCCAAATAGCATAAAAATTTTATTTTAATCCAATTTTTATAACAAATGCATGAGCCACATAAATTAAAACAATCAAATTCGAGTTGCAAAGCCTATTCTTGTAAATTTACTTACATCCACGTTTTAAAACGTTAACCTCATTCAACTGAAATTTTGTAAATGATAGAAGAACTCCTTAATGCCAAAATCATAATTTGAAACCAAGATCGGGTTTTAGGTTATGAGTTGTTTCTAAAATGTTTCTAAAAAAAGAGATTCTCATTCCCAAACAGCAGCCACTGGTCAAATTATCACTATTGCACCACTATTTACACCACTATTGCAATGTAAAATTTGGCTTGGTGGTTATCTGTAAGCTTTCGGGGTAAAAAAAAATTAATCGTTTTGGCAATCTACTTCTCCATAAATAAAAATGTAATTGTTTGATTTTGAAAACTGCGTCAACAACAGTACTTCATATTTGTGAGAAAATTAATTGCCGCATTTGTAACTTCTACTCTAGACAAAAATCCAAGTTGAATTTTGTTATCATATAGTTTTCTCTCATTTTCATCTCAAAATGTTACAAAAATTAATTCATATTCATATTGTGTCACATCAAACATCCACCTAAATGTTTGGGTACTTTGAAACAAATGGTGCAAGACAAATAAATTTTTGTTTTTATTATTACAGCATGTTTATGACCCTGATAAGGAACACATAAAATGAAATACTGACGATACATATAAAGTAAGCATTATTAACAACGAACGGCATAACACTTTAATAGAGGAACCTACTTGAACAACTTCAAGCCCATCATCACCTTGCCGTCTTTGTGTGAATGATTCATCGTGAGACTGGCCAGATGCGATGTTATTCATTGCCAGACCAATGTTCTCTGCAAACACTTCCTCTAGAGGCTGTTTGAACAATTGTAAACAAACACTTGTATAAAAACTTCATCATCCTCATCATCCTCATAATTAGCACAATTTTCGAATAAAAGTTATGCGTAAAACTGACACTTTGCATCAGTTGTGGGAGCAAAGCACCAATACTGTCCACACAAATTCATTTAATCATAAAGACAACAAATATCAACCACATCAATTCATTCATTCATTCAGACGTGCATTCATTCAACTATTCATCCAACAGGCATTAGTCACATTAATTCAATCGTTCATCAAAACATCTAGCAAACATCATCAAATTCAATTCATTCATTCATTGATGGCGTAACGACTGAAGATGCTTGTTCCAGCTCTGCAGTGATTGGATTCAATGGATAAAATGATCTCTGCTTACCATAAGCAATTTATGTGATGTATGGTGCACATACATTGTATTGTGTGTGTGTGTTTGTGTGTGTGTGTGTGGTGTGTGTGTGTGCGCTGTTCATCCTTCTCATAAGATTTTCAACAAATATCACCAACAACAAAACAAATGATTTTATTTATTTATTTATTTATTTATTTATTTATTTATTTATTTATTTATTTATTAGACATAACACCAATCCATTAAAGCAAACAACAGACCAGACTGGTCCTCAATTGTTTTCTGACATCAGGAACAGGGGATTGATCCTGTAATGTGGAAGTCTTCAAATTAATAAAGTTAAATGAAATTCAAACTTCTTATAGACATTAGAAGAAAATTAAAACTATGAATTTTAACAAAAATGTCTGAAAATTATCAAGCTATCAAAACCAAATTATTCAAACATACGTATGTAGATGGAAACAATGTGAGCAGAATGTAAACTGATTGAGAGCAATGAAGCAATGTAACATGTAGATATACAAAACAATCACAAACATGCGACAAAAATTAAGGTAGATAAGAAACCAAGAAACATTCAGTGCAATGTATGTATTTACTTGTATGTTAAAGTTCGGCTGGAAGTTATTATTGATGAATTTGCTTGGTGTATCAACATCATTTGCTGCCTTGTTGACACTTGTCGGAGAGGCATGTTTCATTGTCACTTCTTTGAGGGCCTATAAATTAAGTACATTATCAGGGTTGTTTAAAAAGTGAAATACAATAGATAGACTCGAAAAAAGGAATGTCCGCGAATGAGATTAAGTAAAAATGAAGATGCAACAGCGAGATAAATGAAAAAAATAAAACAAAATGGATGCCTATTAATGAAGTTTATTGAAAAATAACTGCATTACTCTATCAGCAGTTCAGTGCTGGTCACTGACAAACAAATCATATGCATCACAAAGCCATTGATTTTACGAAAACCAATGAAAAAATGTAATTAAGCTTCGAAAATATATAATATTGCAAGAAAAACAATTAGAGATTAAACAAGATAAACAAATTTTTGAATAATTAAAAAAATAAACTTTAACCTTTATCCTGCAGTTTTGCAAGGGTGAATCAGGAAAACTATCTGCAATTGAAATGCAAATAAATACAAATTTACAAGTTGTTTAATCAATAATTACTTCAGCGTTATTGAAAACCATTTTATTACAAAACACAAAATAGAGAGAAAGAAGACATCAAAGTGTTAATGAAAAAAATATAAAACAGCTGAAAAAAGAAATTAATTTGAAACAACTCTTACTGAAGCCCCACTAGACAACTAACATGATGAATATAAATAATGTATAACTCACTAAGCTATTTGTATATGTAAAAGTATAATAAAAAATTGATTAATACATTCAAATATCAGGTGCAAAGTCAAACTTAAACGAATTTCACATGAATAACAATAACTTTAAAAAGTTTGAAATAACAAAATATACCATTGTGAGAGCAGCCCAAAATAAAATCAGCTAACGCGTTGATAAATATACAATAGCAAACCTACACGCCAAAAGCTATATAGATAAACAGAACAAGAAGCAGAGGTAATTGTTATTAACAACATATCTGAACATCGATGAACAAACCATTTTCCTTTGCATCACATCCAATACCAATATGATTTTTTGACAGATTAATTTCAATTCTATTCAGGATTGCGATTGATTTTGTGTTGGAGTTAGGCGTGGAGCGGTTTTTATGATTATGAGTTGATGCATTATGACCAGGTTGATGAATGTGTGAAACAGTTTCAACAATCTTCCTTGCCGATTCCCCAGTTGGGCCTGAGAAGCACTGCATGACTGGCGATGGATCTGCAGCGCTACCACCACCACCTTTCGGCTTCATTTTTGTTTCAGTGGTTTCTGAATTGAAAAAAAAATCAAACTATAGTCAAAAAATGATTAAGAGTTAAGAACAAAACAACAACCAGCTTTACATTAATTAACAGACCTTGCTGAGTAACATCGACGATGAATTTACAAATTCTGAATTGCTCCTCAGGCGCCTTGATGCCAGTGCGACCGCATTCAAACACCCAACTGCTCATGTAATTAGTTCAAATAAAAAAATATTTAACATAAGTCTATTTAAAATATTTAAGGAAAAATTGCACAATTAAACCATGAAATCGATGAGCAGTGACATTTATGAAGATGACAGCAATGACAATGATGATGAAAACCATAATGATTAAACTGGTAATGGTAAAAATAATGATGATAAAAATAACAATGACAGCAGTCATTGCAGTCTATGATGAACCTCTTATGAAGAGCAGGCACATTCCATTTGACGGCAGCCTGATACTTGGAACCTTCATTGGAATTGACAATGAGGTGGGTGCATGCCAGGTAGGGCTCCTTGGCCACTCTAACAAAACAATCCTGCACTCTGATCATTTGAAGAAAAAAAATATTTATTACTTTTCTCATCATATTAGAAATTCATTTCAAACTTACACCATGAGAACAATTAACAACTGCTGTAAAAACTCTGAGAAAGAAACTTTCAGAGCAAAATTCATTGATTCTAAATTTTCTAAAATAAATAAAAGCAAAAATGTGCCATCATCACTTTACAGTTGACAGAATCTTGAAAAACAAAAAATGAATGTACCACAACAATGAATGTACATTTGCAATTCCACATTCTCATTTAACTTTAAATAGAACTATATACATTTATGGCATCAAAATAATTTAATAACAGGTTCAACAACACACACATTTGAAACATTCAAGTTGAAGTAGATGTAATGAAAAACAGAATCTCACATTCCTCCAAGTAAGGTAATAACATCTGTGATGATTCCTCTCTCGATGTCCAATATGCCACTGGTAAGTAAAAACGTTCTCTCCATTATTTTATAATGAATTCAAACTTTATATGATGCTTGCATTAGTTATTTAACACCACTCTTTATTTTAAAATATACTTGCAAAGGATTGCCTTAAGATAACTGCAATGAGAGCAATGTATTATTATATTAAAAGTTACCATTAAAATTTTGCTCAAAAAAGTTCTTGTGACTTTTCTAATCATTGAGATCGCACTAAACCTTGTATTCAGTTGAACCATTCATAGAAACAGAAAACAAAAAACCATAAACTTCAAACTGGTCATCCCATAAAACAAAAAAGTAACAAGTACAAATAATAATAAGAAAATAGTATAAGAAAAATGATGGATGTCTACCTGATAGTAATGACACAGTTGTTTAATGGAGTGACATGTGGAAGGATGGTGAGTGGATGAAACACTTCCAACATATTGTATGGATGCAGCTGACTGTCACTCACACAAATGTTCTGCACGAGTATGTGTTTGTTAGTCACTCAACATCAGAACTTACCTCCAATGAAGAACAGACTTCACGTATTCAACATCTACACATACAGGTACACAGCATCATCAATAGTGTTTATATTTAAAAAATTATAACTAGCAAATTCTCTGAGTAAAACAATATCCTCCGCAAGAAGAGATACAAAAAACAAATCAACGAAATATTAATAACAATAAAGAAAAACAAAAAAATTACACAACACAAATAAAAGCAATACTGCACAAACTATATCCCAATGTAAGCAATACAACAATAAACAAACAATAAATAAATGCAAACAAAACAATAGCAATACACAAACAAAACAGTGAAAAACTAAATAGCAACAAAAACAAAACAGCGAAAACAACATAACAGTATAAACAAAACAACGACACAAAAACCAACCACCCAGGCTTCTGTAACAATTTCTCGAGCAGCGCATGCCCCCTGACAGCCCAGCATAGGCACGACGCCCACGTCAGCAATTTCACATGCATTTTCTGATATCACCTTCCCTGGTTGTTTGTTGCAACATATAAAGATGTTTGTTCAAACAGCGCATGCATTCATTCATGCATTCATTCATTTAAATATTCATTCATTAATTCATCTGCAATCAACGATTCATTCATAAATTCATGCACTTACTCTATTCAATCTTTACAATCAATCATAATAATTATCTATTTATGCATCTATTCAAAGTATGTATGCATTGACGTGAAAAATACAAAATCTCTGATCAAAACAATTCAGCAAGGTCTGTGCCTACAATGGCATAATAAATATAAAATCCTGGGATGGTTGTAGCTACACTGACAAAATAGAAATGAAATCTCAAGGTTTAGGATAGTGGTGTCCATCAACATTAACATGGTGAAGAACAAAAAATTTCCTCACCTCCGTAATCCCTGATAATTTTAGCTAGGCCCTCAGCGTCATCGACTTCGAATATCGCAAATGTCAACCCCTTGAATATCATTTCCTCCACTTCCCCGCCAACGTCATCATCACCCTCCACTGCACAAGTGTCCTCGCCATCATCCTCGACTCGGTTTTTCTGACTTTCCTGAAAGTGCACACGCTGATGCGTGAAAGATTTGTTGCTACCTCTGGTTGTATCTGTTTGTTATTTCAGAAATATTGCTGTAGAGCTACATCTAGTTGTACACCAGAAACAAATTTTGAAAGTTGGATGGATGATATAATGAAATCAGTTATGTAACAATAACAGATGAAACAGCCTAATGTGACATGCCTTGATGTGTGCTAGCTCTAGCTGATGCATCAACACTGAAGCCATTTGCAGCCTTCATCAATGTGCTCTCACCAAATTCATTATCTATAGTTGGAATTTAGTGAAATGTTCAGAAAATATAAATCAATGTTTCCGACTGTCATTTTATTTGAAAAAAGAAAAAACATAAAGAAGATAGGAGAAAGATCTCAAGTATAAAATGTACCCATATGAGTAAACATGAAACAATATATCACACACTTGTACGTAGTTTAAATACATTCGAAAATGTCAATAAGGAATAGTTTCATATAATGCATTGCATGCATGGCAGTGATACTGTGACAATGTAAATTTAAAATAAACGATAAAAAAGGACCGCCATACTTTACCTCCGCTTCATAATTTTCCTGCAGTTGAAAGATGCCACACAATACGAACAACGCCACAACAAATACAACAACCTTACACAACATCGCAATACATTACATACAACAACGACATTAAACATACAGCATCACAACATTAGGGCATATAAAACTATTTCGCTACACAATACATGCTGACATCAACATTACAGCAGTATGAGCAGAGGAATTTATTGCATAACACGACGCACGTATGACTAGCCTTCAGGTAGGTACTGACTAAGCATGGCCTGCATATCACCATCACAAATGTTTTTGTTGCTGGTGGTGGATGACGTGAATTTGCAATCAGCAGATGTAGTGGTTATGAGCTTTCTATGTGTTAACAAATGTTGCTATGCTAGAATTATTAACATTAACACTTCAAATATCACTAGGTATGCAGGCACCAAATATCATCATTTCATCAACATTTAACATAAAAACCATCATTAACAAAAAGATTTCCGTAGAAAATCTTTCCACATTGGCTAATTTGAAATATAATTACCCCATCATATATTTCAATATCATACTTTTTCAAAATGGGATTGGTGTGGTGGATTAATAAATATTAACGGAAATTAAGAAAATAACTTTTTGACGGGAGGGGATGAGTTTTTGAGAGGAGAAAGTGCATCCAATGGATGTAAAAATGCATCTGTAGGGACACTTTGCCCTTGCATGAGACATGCAACCAGCCAGCCAACTGTCACAACATGTGGTCTGTATGATTAAGAAATAGAGTTTTTTCCTTTAACTAATTGTTGAGCCATTTAATAAAATAATAATTTTTTATAAATTAGAAATAAGTTGATTAACCAAAAAAACAATTTAAAATGTTGCTTGACATCAGACAACCTAACTGAAATTTGTTTCAAGTTCCTGATAAGATGATGGTCAACATCATGAACCACAACGTGTGAAACACAGTCATTCAAGTCATCAAACCTGGTATTTTAAATTATTACATAAATTACCTTACTTCGTTCAATGGAAAAAACTTACAATTACAATGAATACAGGTACATTAAGATTATCATTATCAACTTGACAATCAAACTATTAATCAGTCAAACAAACCTAGTAGCACTTCCTTTGTTGCTGATTAGTTTCATCTTTTCCATATAGCTGGTCGGTATGCCACTAAAATAAATCTATAAAATTGAGATGTTGGTGGGTGATTAATGGATTGATTAACAAGATGAAACTATGCGTTCCAGTCTGCAGAACAGTAATTTTGATCAATTTTTAAAAAATGATATGAAATCTAAATTTTATTGTTATGACAAAACAGAAATTTTGATACATTTCTGAAAAGATTTTAAAAAAGTCCAAACGTAGCATAGCAATAATGAAGCAATGAAATGTTGAAATGAATAATTGAAAAGATGTTAGACTGACTTACTTTACACCCATCAAGAAAATTATTGCACTTGAAGTTCTTTGATGAAATAGATGAAAAGATTTTGTCAAAATTTTGCAAATCCTGTTCTTTAGATGTAGTGTAGCTATTGTTACATTCCATATTGATGTCAATCGTCGAATTATGCTTTGTAGTACTTGAAAGGAATGTATCATTAACATGAGACACGGAGATGGAGCTGATGTTGGCTAAAGTTGTGACATTACCTGAACGTTGTAAGGTGGTATTAGAATAGTAAAGTGGCACAATGGTTTAAATGGGCATTAAAATTGAGGTATTATTAGTACACTGAAAAATGGCATTAACAATAACAACAACAACACATGTTTAGACGACATTTTCCCCGAGATCGGGGGTTGCCGTTTGGCTACCTATGATGAAACCGAAATACCCCTCGACGCCATCCACATCTGTCACTCGCCTCAGTATCACGCAACCCCGCTTTCACCTTGTCCTTCTCCACCTGCTCTCTCCATCCCAATCGCGGACGACCCCTTCCTACCACTCCTTCAACCTCGAACTCAAACGTAGAACTCATCTTTAGATGTAATGTAGCTATTGTTACATTACATATTGATGTCAATCGTCGAATTATGCTTTGTAGTACTTGAAAGGAATGTATCATTAACATGAGACACGGAGATGGAGCTGATGTTGGCTAAAGTTGTGACACTACCTGAACGTTTTGACATTTCCTTCAACCTCGAACTCAAACTCAAAATGGCATTAACACTGTTAACATTTTTTCAACTGACGCTTGTCAGACGTTCTAAAATGAGTTCATTCGACTAGAAAAAAATTTTAAAAAATACCTTCTTTGCCAAGTAAAAAAGATAATTAAAGATAAAAACGTAATGTTATAGAACCAAGCTAACAATCAGCAAGTCGACTCTGGTTGGTTGGCGTTGAGGTATTTTTTGAACCAGTCCTTCTTCCATCACCATCATCGTCGTCGTTACTTTTCATCTGAGGTTGGATGAGGTACATGTCCTCTTCAATGCAATAACCAGCAGTCAAACAATCATCAAGCCACTGGGGGCTAACAGTTCTTATGTTGCACTTAACTGCTGCTTGGTACTTCTGCCCTGTTTGAAAATAACAACGAACTCAATGAATTAATTACTTGCTTCATTAGCTCGATGATTCAAGAGTTGAAAGAAGAAACGTTAATATCACTGAGTGTCTTATAAATTTTAATGTGTGAATTAAATTATTCAGCAAGAATTTTTTATATTTGAAAAAATAACAATAACTACACTGCCAAAAAAGTGATCAGGAAATTTATTGAAAGTATTTTAGATTAAAAAATATTTATTCTATCTACTTTGTTGTGCCTACCTTCAATATTACTGTTGATCTATAAAGAGTTAAGATAGGCTGTCCAAGAAATTATTTTACCGCATGTAATAAAAAGAGTAGTGATAGTAGTAGTCTTAATAGCAATAATGATGATGATGATAACAAAAATGCATATGACACTCCTTACTCTGCTGACTCATAAATTTGCAGCTCACACAAGCATGAAGTGTTGAGTACTTTGAAACATTGCACTTGGGGTCAATTTAAAATTACATCAAAAATAATTCTTACAATATTTTTCTCCAAACAAAGTAACGAGATCTCAATCTCTTATTGAAGAGGCATAACTTTAAAAACTTTTATAGGCAAAACAAACCAATAAAAGTAAAAAGAATGTCTTAGTACATTAATATTTTCAAAATGAACAACAAAATTAACCACCAAATACAACAACAACCTTTGGGCTCCTTTATGATTAAATGAGTGCATTCCTTAATCATTAGGCTGCCACTACACTTGCCACCTGTTGGAAATCATGCAATGATATTAGTAATTGGAGTGATAAAGCAAGCATCTAGGTTTACTGTATGTCTAAAATAAACAGCTAGGAATATAATCCTATACTGTGAACTACTCTGACATGAATTTGACACTAAGAAAAAAATAAACTCGTAACATAACAACAAAATAAAATTGTGTAGCACCAGCAAATAGTGCAAAAAGTCCCAGTATCAAAGACAGAACCAGTTATATAACAAATAAACTATCTTGCAAGTTTGTCAGTCTCGAATCCAAAGCCTTAACTTAAAAAAAAACGACTCAAAGGGCATAATGAATATACAATTAAAAAATATGCATAGGTAAAAAAATTAACAAACCATGCATCTCCACCAAGGATTTTATTTTCAGCCTTTCAGCATGTTCAAGCCCAGAGACACAAACCGACAGTCCTAATGAGAAAAAATTACAATGTTTTATGACGAAAATGGGGAAAGCAATAATACAAACCTTTGAACATGGGACATTTCATATTTTCAAATTCTTTGTCATTAGCATGAACAATTCTTCAAAAAAGTTAAAAATTCAAAAAAAGTTATATAACAATTGGTTATTATCAATTGGTTCAATTATTTTTAATATTTATCCAAGTGATAAATCCATTAAAGAAACTGCAAATAAATTTCCAAAGCCCATGTTAAGGCATACTGGATGACTGATCAATGTTGAATGGTAGCAAACAGGATGGATACCTGGTTTGAGAAGAATTCCACACTTCATCAACCCATTCAGGCAACATGACAGCTGCCTTCAATGTGTTTGCTACGATATATTTCTTGGAGCCGACCTCACCAGCCACCAGATGTGTTATGTGTTCGTCTACTACAGCCATTGTCACGCCTGACATCCATTTTACTTTTTCATATATTTCTAGCTAAATCCAGTATTAACAATAAATTTAAAAAAATCCAATGTTCAATATAGCATTAGTCACCATTTTTTGTGGGTGAATAACTAAGCAGATGATGTCTGCACATTTACAGATTTTTGGAAAAATGTTCTTAATGTACCACGTACCTTGTAATGTACCAAATAATGTACCCCATAGAAAAACTACCAAACAACCAAATCAACTTATTTAATGTAACGCATTAAAAAAAATTATGAAGACGGATGACAGAATGGAGATAAAATTTATCACAAAAAAATATAAAATCTCTTTAGAATAAAATAATGGGTATTTACTCTTCTTTCCTTTTGCAAGTTTGTGCAACTCAGCACAACTCCCTCCATTGCAAAGCAGAAAACTGGAGTGGATACTTGTGATAGAGGCTAAATAAAAACAAATCATATTTTTAACAAACGAAATTGGTTTAAAAAATCCCTGCTTAAACATTTAAACAACAAACAACAACGAACAACATCTAACAAAAGAAAAAAACAGCTATGATAACAACAACTTTTGTTATTACCATCTATATGAATGTTCATATAATTTAACACAGGACATTCAAGATGTTTCAAGATTTAAAAAGCATGAAAAATAATCAAAAAAGTATTTACTCCAAATTACAAGTCAAATTCTTTGTTTAAAATAAGTGCAGACACATGTGTCATATTAATGATTCCAAAAATGTATAAAGTCATAAGACAGTATAATATTTAAAGGATTATTTTGTTAAAATATGCAAGCATAACAAATTTTATAACATAATCTATACTAAATCAATGCAAAATAATCAAAGCTTCAATTTGAAAAAACAAACTTGAGATCTTTGTGAACATACAAGAATGCATGTAGGACCATATAATCTTCAATAAAACAATTCAAAATAATGATATCTAATACACATAATTACATATATTTATACATTTACATAAGCAATTTATATATATTCAACATGAAGCATACATAGGTGAGTGTATTAAAATTTAAATGCCTTACAGTAATTCTAATTTCCTAAACCTTTTATTAATTAACTGACATGCTCATGATTCTTAAATATTCACATTGATATTTATTCCATCACACCTCCGTGATATCACAACTAAATTTCTTTTAGAGCCCTTAAAATCTCTGGCTACCAGATCCAGATTCAGATTTTCATCTTTATGAGGCCAACAAGAAAAGAGGTGAGACCAGGTAATTGGTAACTTGAAACTAGTTCTTCACTTGAAGATTTTCTAATTTTTTATTAAGATCCCTAATTTATGCATCGACAGGGAAAAAATGACTAGCTCATACAGCATGTGTATGCAAACCTAAAAATCAATTATAAGCCATAAACACTGGATGCAATGCTTGTGGCTAAAAACAAATATGTAAGAAAACCATATTGCATGAATACTATAACTTTTGTGGTGCAGAAGCTTAACTTGAATCTATGTAAAAACAATTTCCAAGGAGCTCTACATTAGTTGATAATAAACATAAAATGAATTTCTTTGTAAAACTTACTTGCAGCCAAGATTTTTAAGGTGATTAAATCCATTGCCTGAAAATTCTTCAAAAACATAATAAACTCTTTTTTCAAGATTTTCAACTTTTGTGCAATCATTTTCTGTAATCCATACACAGTTTATCTCCATTTTCTTTATTTGCTGCATTATTAAATATAACAATTAATATTTAATAATTATTAAATATAACAATTAATATTTAATAATTATTTGATGTCACAACAATCATTCTTAACATAGCATTCTCATAATGTTTAACTAGAAAATTCATGTTTAATTATTATTTTAAGCACTTAATATGTGGTTTGAAAGCATTATTACAAATTAAATCACATTACAATACGTTGTTAATGTGGTAATAAAATTGTAATTCAATTTTGATGACACTCTTCTTATTTAATTTAAAATTAAGTCAAGCTCACGACCAAGAAACTACTAAATAAATGTCTCTATTCTAAAACAAACTATTATATTATAATACATTATGATTATACATGATTATTATACTATTATTATATTTATAATAATATAATTATTGATGTAAACCTTGCTTCTTAATAACTTAAAATTTAAATAACATACATACAGATGTTTTACTGTTTAAATTAAATTTCAGTACCTATCTTGGTCAAAAAAAGTAATTACTAAAATGTAATTACTAAAATGTAAAATCCTAAAAAAAAATCTAATCTGAAAAACAGAAAAGGTGAAATTCAATTTTTAAATTTTAAAAGGAAAAAGTATCAAACCTGAAATGCCTCAGCAATTAAACGACCGGATCGACTGATTTTTTTAACAAAATTAACCGTCACAACCATTTTGATTATTTTAATTTAGACTTGTTTCATGGGTTCGAAAGATGAATTTGATGAAAATAAAAGCGAACAATGTAACAGTGGGCGACGATTTCAATGCATTAAAACTTTACCGCTTTATTGCGATCCAGCGATGTGTCAAATATGATACCAAATACTTTCACGCAGGTTCATAGAATCAGAAATCATGAATGGGAAATTCGATGATCTCGATAAAAGACTTTTCAGTTATGAAAAAATTTCTCAAAAATTGATGAAATAAGTTATAAAAAACGCTTTAAATCTATAAAAAATACAAAACTGGTGAAACATAAGTTAATCAGATATAATCAATCAATCAATTATCTTATAAAGCTATATTTCCGCGGTGTTCAACAGCGCTCCTTCGTTTCTTCTCTGCCCTTACTGAGTTTTACTTTTACAAACAGATGGGTCCTGTCCTGAAAACCGCTATGAATTTCGCAAGTGAAGGAGTAGTTAGGAGGTGAAGATTTCCCTGGTTCTATCTAACTTGCTGGATATTAAATTACAATCTATATCTATACGAACTGTTATGCAATTGAATATATGGTATATCAAAACGTATGTTTTGATAAGAAAAAATCGTTTAAATATATATTCAAACAAGAGGTATAAAAAATACTTCTCAAAACAGGTATCAATTACACCGTTATAGCACACTTATAATGAACAGGCTTCCAAAATGATCAGTAACTGTTTTATTGCCAAACTTATAGTTGCCTGCTGGAGCTAATTCTCGACCGGTTAAACTTATGACAACTTTATTAAATTATATATATATATATATATATATACATATATATATATATATATACGTTTATGACCACTGACATATTATTTATTTATATTTAATTTTATGTTAAATGTTAGTATCTAAACAATTAAGGTACCATGGCATTTATTACGACTTTTTTAGAAAGGTCGGTCGCTATATCAAAGTTCAAAATTATTTTGTGCAAGTAAGTGGATGTCGCGTTCGCTACTTTCGTTCACTTGCGGTGTTCGGCGTTGTGTTTCTATACATTGGAATTCGCCATTGAAAAATTTTGTGTTGGTTCGGCGTTTTTGCAATTTCACTAATATGGCCGACCAATCCAAGTACATGGAAATATCAGGTGAATTTACTCAGAATTGTTAAATTTTATCAACTTGTTCTTAACGAGCCCGAAGTTAGCACCGGTAAACAGCAACGACTATATTCAAAGGGAGGCGTTTTGATTTGATTATATTATATCATAGATTCCGATGTTTTAATTCAATGGAACGTACATTACTATTTTGAAACCAAAGAAATTATAATGTAATTATTTTATATTTTCAGAAGTGTCGTTGTTTCTTATTGAATTTTTTATAATAATTTTATGGTTATAAAAAATAAATTATCCTTAAAACAAATAAATTGATGACGAATATAGGAGAAAATATGATCAATCAATCAATAAGCTTGTAAAGCGTTATTTCCGCGATGTTCAACAGCGCTCCTCAATGAATTTTGTAAATAGATGCGCTCTGAACTTCGTAAGTGATGGAGTAATCAGAGAAGTAGATAGAGAGTTCCAGAGAAAAGGGCCAGAAAAAGCAAAAGCTATTTAGCAAAAGAGTGTTTAACACCAGTTAAGAGGAGTGTTTGATACCAGTTAAGAGGAGTGTTTAACACCAGTTAAGAAGAAGCGAGAACAAGATGACGATTGTAAACTGGGGCATTTAGGTTCAGTTAATAAATCAAGTACTTAGGAAATAATTTAGATTGAGACTTATACATAGATGTGCAAATTTTAAAAATTATTCTATATTTTATAGGAAAAGAACAAGAGAACAAGATATGGAGATATATGAGAATAGATAGGGACACGAACAACTAAGCTTTGCTTAAAGGATAGAGTATAGAATCAGGAAGACCATTGTAAAGCGAGTTACAATAATCAATCCTAGATAAGACCGACGAAGTAACAAGAAGGGGAAGAATAGGATCATCAAGAAAAGGCAAAAGTTTTTTATTCTACGTAAATAAAAATAAGAACTCCTAGCAACATTATTAATCTGAGAAGAAAGAGACATACTAGAATTAAGATGAAGTCTAGACTACGAAACTTGTGAGAAACATCAAGAGTTTTGGAATCAGGTAAGATAATAGGATGAATAGTAATAGTTTGCTTAGATTTATTAAAACAAATTAATTCAAATTTAGAAGGATTAAGTTTATGACACATAAAATCAGACCAAGCGATAATTGAAGAAAGACAGAGATAGATTATGAAAAACACTTTTGAGATTAGATGGAGGAAAAGAAGTATAAATATAAAAATCATCAGCATCAGCAGAAGAGTGTTTAACACGAATTTAGAAGAAGTGAGAACAAGATGACGATTTAGGTTCAATTAATATATCTGATAAGTACTTAGGAAATAATTTAGATTAAGATTTATACATAAATGTGCAAATTTTAAAAATTATTCTATATTTTATAGGTATCCAGTGCAAGAGAACAAGATATGGAAATATGTGAGATAAGAATCAATCAATCAATCAATTAGCTTATATAGCGCTATTTCCGCGATGTTCAACAGCGCTCTTTAATGAATTTTGAAAACAGATGGGTCTTGAGATCCGCTCTGAACTTTGCAAGTGATGGAGAAGTAGTCAGAGAAGTAGGTAGAGAGTTCCAGAGAAAAGGACCAGAAAAAGCAAAAGCAGATTTGGCAAAAGAGTGTTTAACACAAGTTAAGAAAAAGCGAGAACAAAAAGACGATCGTAAATCGGGGCGACGACCAACTAGACGAGCAGCAGAGTTAAAAGCTTTACTTAAAGGATGGAGTGTAGAATCAGGAAGACCATAGTCGAGCGAGTTGCAATATTCAATCCTAGATAAGTTTATATATATCGTAAGCATTAAAGTAAACGCATGTTCTTCCATGCTTTTATAAGGTAGGCATTAAAATAAACTTCCATACAGTTATTTAAAAGTGTTTTAACATGTAAATTAACTAGTGGGTTATGAAATAAAGTCCAATGCATTTTTGCAAGCATTTTAAAACACAATTCACCACAATTAATTGACAAATTTGAATAAAATAGTAATCTTATTTTATATGCTTCCACGATGTTTAAAATTATATTTTTTTGAGCAATGCTTAACAAGTAATTTATTTATTTTAATATTTTCTATACTGTTTACTTAAATTATTTTAATTTTGAAGTTTCTTTTACTCCGCCACGTTCTTCTAAGTTTTGATTCTTCATATCACAATAACGTTCTGTTTTCATCATTTGTTTCTTGGTATTTCAATATTGAAACAATACTTTTAAGCTGTTAAAAATGTAATATCTATAAAACTAAAAAGGTATGAGAAGACCGTACAAAAACAAAAACTCGACGTTTGACATTGAAAATGTACTTAAAAAAGATCCATTTGACATTTTTTGCAATTGGTTTTCGGAGGCTTGTGAAGATGAAAACGTGATTGAACCAAACGCCATGGCTCTTGCAACATCTTCAAAGTTTTAAATTATTCGTATTTACTTTGATTTTACTCGAATTCAAATTTATGTTATTCGCATCTAAAAACAAAAATTAGAAAGTAAACCGAATGACATTAGTAGTGATTTATAAAAAAAAAGATGTTGACAGTTTGTTATGTATCACACTGGTCTAGTGGTATTTTTAAAAATATATGCATATTTTAAAAGAATAGTAAAAATTCATCGGAAATTATATTTTGTTTTTATGTGCTTTCCTTTAGCGTTTAGCAGAATATTTGCTATAAAAAAATTTTCCATCAAGATGTTTTTTACATAGTTAAAAGTTGAAAAGTTTTTTTGAAGAAGGCTCGAATAATTGAAATGTAAATATCAGTATGTAGCTAATTTCATTAATGTCGGTAATTTTTAAATTAATTATTACTGCTTTTAATAATATGAATTTTTTATTCCTAAGACAAGGAATACCAACTGTGAGAATGGTTCTGTTAAAAGGATACGATGATAAAGGATTTACGTTTTTTACTAATTACAAAAGCAGAAAGGGAACTGACTTGGTGTAAAATGTTTGAAGTTTCATTAACTAATTTTTTATTAAATATTTTTATCAATTAAAGGAATCTAATCCCGAAGCACACTTGCTGTTCTATTGGCCATCTTTGCATAGGCAGGTAAATAAATGGCAATTTGCTTATTAGTTTTTATTATGATATTTCACTAATGGAATTGTATCGTTGTCTTCCTTGTGTTATAAACTGTTTTGGAAGTGAAGCAAAACTATCATTAACGTCCCACTTATATTATAACTTCTGCACTGAATCGCTAAATAACATGTGAATAATGATCATTGTTGACTCAAAATCTCGAGGTTGAGCACAATGATACCAGCGTTTCCCTATCGACTTTTAAGTTCAAGTTCCCTAACTAAATTTATATACTAAATTTTCGAAAGTTCATTTCTACCTTAATGGTAAAATATTTTCCATTTTATTTGGGAGCTGATAGTTTATGGAATCAGGATGTTATCAATTACGTGCAAGATTGCTTTTGTAAATATATTTTCGTTTTACCATTCTAATGAGTTTTTAAAATATTTTTTCAACGATAAAGATTCGCATTGGAGGTTCAGTTTCAAAATTATCAGAAATTGAAAGTGCTGAATATTTCAAATTTAGACCAAGAGCAAGTCAGATAAGTTGCTATGTTAGTGAACAAAGTCAACCTGTTTCAGGAAAAAATGTACGGTTGATTTTTTTTCTTTAACCTTGCTTTATAATTTTTTAAATGTATTAAGGCAAAATAAAAACTATCATAAATGTAAAGTAGAAAAATGATGAAGGACAAAGTAATGTCTATGCATAGCGGGGTAAAAACGGCTGCGAGGATATTGATCAAAATAAATAAAGACTGTTCCGATGTGTGGAGACCTTATATGAACAAACATCCGACAGGGAAAATGTCTTTCTTTGACTGCAAAGCATCTGTTTTTAAATTTTTGCCTAAGTAAAGGGTTGGCTCCTAAACGCTGATGACCAAAAATTTTTATTCATAACGTGGACAATGAATTTTATTATAAAACGAGATAAAACAGTGGAGTAAGAAAGATTAAACTTAAACTTTGTTAGTCATAGGTAATGAGCTGCATCATTTACACAAACACACACAGATATATATATATATATATATATATATATATATATATATATATATATATATATATATATATATATACACGAGTACATAAAGTACACTATATATATATACACTATATACGAGTTTTCATTATCGATAAATATAACACTTTTATGTGTTTTCGTTATCGATAAATATAACACTTTTACGTTTTTTCATTATCGACGATTCCTCTGTTTCTAAATTTATTGGTAGGAAGATTCCATTGTTGTATATTTATTATCGGATGTCTTTGTTCTGGAGTATTGATTTGGCTAGTCGTAAATTATAATGGTTGTTATTGTAATGTAAAATTTCAATATTGTGGTCCAAGATGTGTTTAGTAATTTTAGTTTTGTGTTTCTCTTTCATGTGTTGTATATATATATATATATATATATATATATATATATATATATATATATATATAACACATGTTTCTCTTTCATGTGTTATATATATATATATAACACATGTTTCTCTTTCATGTGTTATATATATATATATATATATAGTGTATTTTATGTACTCGTACTGGGCCAACCGTAGTTGCGGAAATTCTCACTATATATAAATATATGTATATAATAAAACTACGAAACTAATTCATTAGTTTCAATTAAGTGTAAATTCCAAAATATTTGCCGTTTATAAAAGGTTTATAAAGTAGATTGAGTTCGTAGGTTCCCAAATGTTTTGCAGTTTTTTTTCTATAGCGTCAAGACATCTATGTTTTTTAAAATTAAGAATTTTTATCAAGGAGCTGGAAGAAAGAAGAATGCACGCTGAACAGCTGTTCGAAAATAAAGAAGTTGAAAAGCCAGAATTTTGGTAGGTATTTTACCTTTAATTTAAAAGAATTAGAAACTAAAATATAACTGAAATTTTAAAATTTTGTTTGCGTGAAAAAAAGTAGACAATCTATGCTGACCTGAAGAGTGTTGTTTTCATTCATTGAGGAGTGTGACGACATGACTCAGAGATTTGCAGCAGTTAGTCGAACATTTGGATAAGGTTCTGAAATAGAGCTGAACGGGAATTGAAATTGATTACTAATCGAAATTGATTATTAATATCCTTCCCTTTTTCGATATTTCCATTTTTCTTTAGAATCACCATTCTTGACAACGTTCCTTAAAATCTCCATTGCCTTTGTTTAGAAACTCATTTCCATGTTTTTCCTCCAATTTATTTTTATTCCTTTTTTTTCATTCCCCAATATTAACTAAAAAACTTAAAATTATAAACATATATTTTCAAATAATAAAAATACATAATTTTAAAAAAAATTAATAAATTAAAATTTTAATTATAAAACATTTATAATATCGATTTTTAAATCGATTTTTAATAGTGTCTGAAAATAAAAGAATTAAAAAAATATTGGTGAAAAAATTCAATATTGTTCTCAATAAGCGATAGATAAAATCCCTAATCAATAAAAGGAGACTATCATTTCCCATGAGAATCCAGAAATTTAATTCTTTTTGGACTCTAATTTTGCAGTAGAACTATCTAGAATTCAATATTGTTCTCAATATCTATCGCTTATTGTACATAATAAAATTCTTAATCAACAAAAGAAGACTATCAATTCCCATAAGAATCCAGAAATTTCCGTTTAGGACTAGTTCGGCTGGACTCTGAGAGAGTTTAAACATTTTCGGCAGGACCGTTTGGGGCTCTCTAGCTTCTTGATTCAAATTTGATTAATAATGATAATACTAATATTTTTGTAACATGTCTTTTTTATTTTGCTTAATTTGTTTATATTTTCATAAAGGGGTGGATATATTCTAACACCTAGAAACTTTGAATTTTGGCAAGGTCAAACTGATCGGTTTCATGACAGGGTTTATTTTCGCAAACTGCTGCAAGATGAAGATGCCAGCAATAACTGCATCAAGAAAGCAGAAAATGGATGGGTTTATGAAATTCTTTGTCCATAATATGAAAGTTTTATGAGTAAATTTATTGCTTTCTTTTTAACTTTTCTATAAATTTGTGAAACAACATAGCAAAACTCACTTTTCTTTTCAGTCGCTTGTGAGCCAATGATATTTTGTGATTTTATTATTTATTAAATGAATCAAACAGTCAAATCTTTTGTTCAATAGGGAGTGAAACAACTTCCAACGTCACGAAAGACAAATACGATGATCACACATTTTATTTACTAAATTATGACTAGAGGTATCCTGAGTGTATGCTAGAAGCAGATTTGTTGGAGTCGAATACCCCTAAACTCTGCTTAAGGGATTGGATTTGTGTTTCAGGTGTATTGCACGCACAAGGCAAAATGATCGATGTATCGGTTTCGTAAGACACAATAACTCGTGTTAAACACTCTCTTGCTAAATCTGCTTTTGCTTTTTCCGGCCCTTTTTCTCTGGAATTCTTTACCTGCTTCTCTGACTACTTCTCTATCACTTACGAAGTTCAAAGCAGATTTCAAGACCCATCTATTTGCAAAATTTATTGAGGAGCTCTGTTGAACATCGCGGAAATAGCGCTTTACAAGCTAATTGATTGATTGATTGGTTGATTGATTGATTGATTGATTGACATGTTATGTTAAAAAAAAATACTATTATACCGCTAGCGAACAGACAATTTCATCCGCCTAACAAGCGTAACATATGATAAAATTAAATGGTGCTAATGCTGAGTAAATTAAACGTTTCATCAAACGATTGTTCATGGAATCGCATTGACTTACACGTGAATTGATTTACGATAACGTTACTGGATTTTCGAGTTCATTATACCGAGATTGGGAACGACTATCAAGGTCTCGAATGGATAGGTGATTAAAGATTAAACTGTTTTAAAATAATACGTTCAAGTATTGTTTCTTGAATCTGTGTTGGAAGTTGAAAATTTTATTTTGGTACTTTTAGATTTAAAAGTTAATTATTTTATTTTCATTGCATTACCTTTAAAAAACGTTTAAAAATAAACTTACTTTAATAGTTAGATTTTTTTACGCAGCTGGCGTTCGGCGGATTATTCTTGTGGGTTGTGCCTCTGAATTTTCATTAAAGATTAAATAATAAAGCCTTGAAATGTTCCAAATTGATTTAGAAACTGTTGTTTGTTTTTTTATATTGATGGCTGCCTTGTTGCAATCACTTTATTCGCTCTTTGTCTTTTCAAAAGGTTAGAATTAGAAGTTTAATTTCAAAAAAGAAGAATGATTTTTAATTTTTTTTTTAATTGGGACTTTTACTGTGACTCCACTACTGACTACCAAGTATTAAGTGTAATTTTTTTTATAATAATTTAATTGTTGAAATTTAATATTAACTAATATGTTAATCATTTATTTAATTGACCAAGGCAAAATTCAAATATAATTTGGTTTTAGTTTTTTGTTTTTGTTAGCAGTTAGTAAGTTGCATTATGAAAAAATTTAATCAGAAGAACACTAGCCTCCGGCAGGTATCTCAGATGCCTAAAAATTTTTTTAAACCCATTTAAAAACCAGGTGCAACATAGTAAAGTAAAGGATTATTAACCAAAAAACTAGATTGAAATTTGCCACAACCCACAGAAGATATATATATGCACAGTGAGATAAGGTTGTATAAAACGCCTCATAGTTATATAAAAAAAACATCTATATAAAAAAGTGTAAATATATGGATAGATATATATATTATATATATAAATCTGGTAAGAATTTATAATTGATCAACCTAGCAAATACAATGTTTGAATAATATAAATTATTATAAAATAAAGCCAAGGATTTATTCAATGAAAAATAGCCAAATTTAAGTGTTTAAAACTGTGATGAGATCATGAATGACCTGCTACTGTCTGATTTGAATAGTAATCCAATCAATATTTCAAGATGTTACAAAATGTTGCAAAGAACATTCATTTATTTTTATGTTTATTGCTTACATTATATAATTAATACGACAACATTTATTATATGATATAGTATTATAGTATGATCTGATATGATTTATTTACTATAAAATAAATTGCTTTCATTTTCAATTTTTTTACTTTTATTATTTAATTTTTTATTATGGTTTTTTTAAATTTAATATTAAATAAAAAATCTTTGAAAACTCCATATTTGTTTGGAATTGAATTTCATTTTTGCGTTAACACTTTCAGCTCTAATATTTTCAAATGAACAATATTGAGATACATTGAAAATGTTGTCTATGTGGTTTGGATTGATATAAGGAGAATAAAGGAAGAAATTAATTCTGAAATATTTGTAATTTGAATTATAGCATATTTATTTATTAGCTTATTTTTTGTTAAACTTTGCTGTGTATTTGCTTATAACAATTTTTCTAGATCATGAAAACGAAAATTTGGGTTTATTGACTGGCTGGCATTTATTTGGGCGAAAGGTAAATGTTAAAAAATGATTAAAATTTAAATGAACCAAATCGTAACTGTAAAATCTGTTGAATCATTGTGTAATTTCATTAAAATATGCAAACTGAAATAAACAGTTAGTCATTATTCATCGTGTTTAAAATGTTGTGGATCACAGCATTTATGTTTTTAAATATTATAAAACCAGCAGGACCACTCTGATGTAGAATGGAGAGTTTGGAAATCTATGTTTGAAGGTTTGTTTCTCTGGATCGTCGGACATATTAGTTTGTCAATGATGTTGAAATTTTTTAAACTTTTAGAGGTTTATTTTTTTTCGTATTAATTTTACTTAGATAATAAATGTAATTTTCTATTTTTCAAGGTGCGTAATTTGTGTTTTTCCTGTTACTCAATTTTTTTCCTCATAAGCAGTGTGGGACCCAAAGTGACGCTTTTTTATATGTTTGAAATATTTACTATTAGCTTTATACCTTGCATTCTTCTTTCTCAAACGTGTGTCTGGATTTTATCAGGATTATTCCTTTCTGTTTTGGTCACACCACATGTGAAATGCTTTTTGGTTAGTAAAATAGCCACTCACAAAATTTCATAAAATGCTAAATAAAACTATTATAATTTTTAGATGGGTAAAATTATTCAGGCTCCTCATGATGCTGTTAGATATTATTATCAGGAATACATTCTTTCAATGGGCTTGTTACGGTTTACAAGCAGCGCTCTATACATAGTTAAATATGCAAACTCTATTGACGGTCATAAAGCTTCCAAAGTTATTGTGTTTAAGAAACCCATACCAAATCGTAAAAATAAAGCAAAAAGACTTTTTATTTTGAAAAATCGTAATATCTCAACTTCAGTAAAATGGACAGTATTAGATTTAGTTTGTTACAATTTATATCTCCCACTGGTTGTTTTTGGACCATTAATGACTTTTGAAACTTTCTTGCTTCAGGTTTGTATTTTTCTAATTTCGTTTTTTTCATTATTTGTCTTTTACTTTCAACTAGAATTTGAAAATATCAATTAAATAAGTTAAAACTAGCAATGATCAGAAACTGCACCATTTTTATATTTCTGTAACAAAAATTTTAAGTTCAATATCATGTTAATTCCTTCGATCTTTCGTCATCATATTTAGTGTTCCATATATATGGTTCTAAAGTATTCATAATTATATAAATATACATATTTATAGTTGTATATGTTAAAACCAAAACATGATGAATGACACTGAACAAACATCAAGTAACAAATGAATCAGCTCTTTGTTCAGTTGATAGTTGCACTCGTCAGCATTCAATTGAATATTCTCCATTAAACAACGCAGGAACCGCTGCAACATGCCCAAAATGTGATTCGTTGCAAAAACAGTTCTCTGCCGCCACTTGATCTAACACTATTAACTTACACATTGTTTGGAAAAATTTAAAAGTGTTGGGACCCATAGGGCCGAGAACCTCGATACATATTGGGAGTGCTTTTTCGTATTTTTTCATTTTCTCGTGCCAAGAACCGTAACGTCCCAAGTCTAACATCTACCGGTTCTTCAAGGGTTTGGAGTACAACCATGCGCTGAAATGCCGATGGTTTCTTCAAAATTAAGATTGAGGCCTTGGAAAAGAGCTGGCAAATGTAGTCGTTTAACGCTGAGTTACGTAATTGACTGCCCTCACTCTGACGACAAACCAAACCGTGATGACCAAATTCGTTCGTCCACGCCTCGCATCAGCATGTATATTTTTTTGAATAACCAGACCGAATCTAAAACCAATGGCAAATCTCACAGACTTGTCATGTCACCGAGCCATGTTGTACAAATATATTATGTGTATATGTGTGTTTATTTTTTAGGTTTTCGTTAACACATTTCTTTGCTTTGCATTTGTTTTTCTAAACAATATTCAACACAACGCTATCTTTTTAAATTCATAATTATTTAATACTGCTATTTTAACGCTTTGCACTGATTGCTTGCTAGATATGACCTTAATAATAGGATAATATGTGTTGTCCTGCCGTTAATTAATAGTTTTATAAGTTTTACCTGGTATTTTGTATTCATTTCTACTATTTATATTCTTTTTTTATCAATTTAATTTAATTCCTAAAAATTTTTTCTAGTTTAAAAAATCTCAGAAAGAATTAACTTATGATGATATTTGCGGCGCTTTGCAAAGACTCATAAAATCCATTTTCTGGATGTTTTTCATAGATGCATGTTCCCACTTTTTCTACAGTTACGCATTTCTGGACCATCCAAATTTGTTAAAAGCCATGCCTCTGTGGTCTCTAGCTGCGGTTGGTTATGTGATCGGCCAAATTTTTATGGTAAAATATTTTGTAATATGGAGTTTGTCATCTGCAGTTGCCAGATTGGATCAGATAGTTACCGCTGATCCTCCGTGTTGCATCTCGCGAGTATATTCTTATTCACAGATGTGGAGGTTTTTTTAATTTATATTTTCAGTTGCAATAGAACTTTGCCTAAAAATTTATCTCTTGCTATTTTCTTCTGTATTAATCTTTTTTGTTGTTATTTAATCGAAATTGCCGATGTTTGTGAATATGTATTCACGTTTTCAAAATTTTTTATAAAAGATTAGAAACGCTTAGCTCTGTTTTTACCTTTAAAGAGGTAACCAATCAAAGTCGCTAACATAATTTATTTCAACAGGCAGTTTGACAAAGGATTGTATCAGTTTTTGAAACAGTTGAGTTGAATTTAATTTATAAACTCGTCATTCAGTAATTTAAAAACCTTTCTTCGTTATAGACATATTTTCCTCCCCCTCAAAGACCAAAGTCCTGTTTTTTCAGTTTTAATTCCGTTTTTCTTTGTTTGCATATGGCATGGAGGCACATTAAAGTTATTCTTATGGATTATTATAAATATATTTTCTCTAGTCGCTGAAAAGCTTCTACACGTTTTCTACTCCACTCCAGCCTTTATCCAATTTGATGTAAGATATTTTTTTATGTTAGAATGATAAAACTGCAATTTAGTTTTGCTTATCATTCTTAGAAACTGTACCCCAGTATTTCAAGAAGGCTGCAGATTTTATTAATCTTGCCAATCTTGGCTGTTTCAACTTTAGGAACATTCATTTTTTTAATTGATATTCGAATAGGTTGGATGATATTTTACAGGATTTTGTTTGAAGGTCAGAAACTACAATTTTTAATATCATTTTAACCTATTTTTTAATTTTTATTTTCAAGATAAAATTAACTTAATAATCATTTAATTTTTACCAAAAATTTAATTTATGTTAAACGTTGTTATATCTGTAGCTTAAACAAGCTTTCAATGTAATAAATTTTCATCGCAAATGGCTTAAATAAATGAACATTTCTTGAATATTTTTAAAATGCTGAGACAATTAGTAAAAATATAAACAGAGATTGCAGTCAAAATAATATTTGACAGGTTTTCCTATTTCTCCTATTTTGATTATTTTGGTTGGTTACAGCGTGGTTCATGCATCAAAATACTATGAAAAGTGTATGTCAGCAAATGAAATTTCAGGTTCATAATTAAATTTGGTTTTAACTCATTTCACCTATTCATTTGGATATATTTTTAGCCTGTATGTTTTGTTGCAGTATTTACGCTAAGCAGAAAGGTTAATTTTCTGTTTTTGTCACCAGGAATAGGAATAGTGAAATGTTTCTTGCTTAATTTATTTGACTCTCATTGAGGTATTCGCCTTTCAACAAAATGATGTAATATGTCTTGCGGTTTCTGCCAATCCTATTTTTTTAAGTATTGCAATATCAAAGTTGAGCTCTTGAGCACGATATTTTTTATTTCTGTTTTCCTTGAGGTGTACACATAGTTACAACATTCCAGATACTCCGGTGTTTCTTGGGTATTGGGGTTTTTCTTCAAGTCAAATTTACTCATTAAAACAGGCAAACCGTGACGTATCTTGAGACTACCCAGATGTTTTTTGTCTTGTTCTATCCGTTTTAAAGCAGCTTCAAGGAAATAAAAGAATAATTTTTAAAAATTCATGGAGTCAGTGCTTTAACAGTGCAATGAAGTTGAAGCTGTTGTATAAATTTTATGTTATCCCAAACATGATTTCAAATCGATTTGTTTATCGTTACTGTTAGCGAAGCGATCGATTCCACTTGAATTTACTTTTATCTTCAAAAAATAGTTTTAGTGACGAAAGTATGATTACAAAATATAATTGAATTTTTTTCATTTCGGTTTGATTTTTTTATTCCTTTAAATTTTGTCAAATGTCATTCTAATATGATTTCAATAACAGTCGGTTTTAGTAGTTTAATTTTAATTCGACAGGCAAATGAAAAAGTTCGAATCGATTGGCTTAAATAAATCAATATGGAGTAATTTTTCACAACGGCACTCGATTTTAAAGAAATTTTTTCTGTAAAATCTCTAAAAATTCTTTCCTAAATTATTATTTGGCTTCATTGCACTGTCAGTTTAGATAAATTTTAAAAAATATAGATCGTTTTTCTTAATGAAGTTTCAAAACTTTTTTTTGTTTACCTAATTGTTCTTTTTTTATATAATACCGGTTTGTTTTATTCTTGTTCAATTAGATACTTTATGTTAAGTCAGTCTCTGTTAAGTATTTTTATTTTATTTTATTTATTTATCTTCAAAAACCAATAACAAATGCTTTTTAACTGACTAAAAGATAAAAATCAAATCAACTGAAATATAGGATCTTAAACAGAGAATTGTAAAAATTAATGAAGCAGAAAAAACGAAACATTGTTCAGATTTTAAACAATCTGCCCTCAAAATATGAATCTAACGGCGCTGGGCACGGTGCATTCACTACTTTTTCGGGTAATTTGCCCACGGTCGAACCACTTTGCTCGATGTATTCAAGATATTCATGAATCAACTAGCTCCGTTGCTCTTTGTGCTTTTTCAATTCAATATCCCTTTGAGTCCAATGTTCCTCACTCTGGCCCGTATGTTAATTTCAAGTTGTACTTCTGAATCGAAAAACACACTAAAATATGAAATTGTATCAACTTTAGAAAAATAATGTCTTGTACCTTAAGCATCTGTTAATAATTGTCTTATCGGTGCGCTCTTCTACAAAAAAATGACATGTCAACACTAACTCACCTTCCATCTTCAGACCATTCAAAAGTAGTATTGAAACGGCGGTGCTGATTTTTAGATTGCAGATCATCTCTGCCTTGACTATTGGCTATAAATTAACAAGTGTTTTTTCAAATGTAATTTTTGCAATTAAGGTTTAGATATCTCGATTTATCAACCTCTCTAAGACACTGCATTGGTTTCTGTGTATAAGATGACCTCAGCCAAAAATTTTAGGCCACAATACCATATTTGATGCAACATCAAAAGCAAAAGATCTATCCTAATCATTTCTCAACCTATTACCATTTCAAAAGTCAATTCAGAAACTGCTGCTACAAACAACTAATGAATTGCAGATCAAATTTAAATGCCGTGTACTTTCGAGAAACGACGGAGTTTCCGTGCATGTCAAAACAACTGTCTATCGCAAATAATTATTTGCCTAATTAATGAGTCTTTTATTTTGAAAAAATCGATTCTGTGCTAAAAAGAGTTGAATAAGGATTAAATTCTAATATTGAAAATAGAGTTGTGCTGGAGGTCAGACGGCTTATAATTTATAATTCACCACTAGATATGTTCAACTTTTATTTTCAATTAAAAAAGTTTAAATATTTTTATTCTTTCAAGAAGCTTTTAAATTTGCCAATTGTTTGTCCAAAGAATCAGTTGAAAGATTTCGTTGCTTTGGTCCGGTATGTAAATTGTTTGGAGCCTTTGGAGCATCAATTAACTGGAACATTTTCAAAAAAATTATTTTAAATTAAAAATAAAAACTATAAAATATAAAAGATACCATCAGAAAAATAAATACAATTAAAGTAGACGGACTTGAAGCGTATTACAAAAATTTAACAGCAAAAAAGAAAATGCGGACATATAAATAAAAAAAACTATATAAAGTTGAACCATTATTTAAAACCAAAAAATTTGTTTACTTTTGCAGATATTTCAATCCCGATTTCGTCTAGTATTTGATTAACAACAGTGTTCTCTTCTTCTTCGTCGTTCGAGTCATTCATTATATCATCCAAACTATCACTTACTGTAAGAAAGCAGTAAATTTTAGGAACATTTTTAAAAAACTTTTTCACACTCTAATTTAATCATTCATTTTATCATTAAAAACTAGAAACAGAAGCATTATAATGTAAACTCCGGAATAACTGAAATTTGCCATAACAATGGAAACAACTGATATAACTTGCCTGCTTATCATAGTAAATAGCTGACAACCATCATAACTTATTTAATCACTAATATTTCTGTAAAGCCTACAATTTCTTCATAAAAAGATTTTTTTGACGGTTTCTAAAATTTTGCGCAAGTTTGATACAGCTTCACATTTTTAGTCCACTACTTTTTTATTGCAGGCTTACAGACTTCATTACTACAGCAATTAGTCGTTTTGACCTGCAAAAAGATCTGGTGGGCTGGCTTCCATGTAAATAAAAACATTTAAACACAAAAGTTATAAATAATTGTTCAAAGAGGCAAAATACTCGTGAATAATATTGATAACATTCGCTGAATTATACTGAATGATACATACTCATTTCCTCTGTTAGATTCATTTTGGCATTTTGTTTTTCAAATTCTTTCATTATTTCAATTGTTTTCATGGGGTCCATTACTTTATTAAATTCTGATAACGTCTGTTGAAAAATGTTTATCATTTAATCAAATGCAATTCTAAATAATTTTAGATTTTAGACTAACCTTCGCTGACGTCGATATCGCGTTAGTCATCTCATTTTGGGAGTGTATAAGCTTATAAAAATATTTAAATAAATTATCTAAAAATGATAGCATGGAAATTTTAAAAATGAAGATTGTAACTAGCTGAAATTGTGAAAAAGATTGCTTATTCTTCCTGCTATTGATTTTTTACCTTGATGATATGTTTTTTTCAAGCGATAAACATAAAATGTAACTTTCAGTCAGCAAAATTTAATATAAACGTAAACTAAAAAAATTCTTTCAGCGAAATGTTATATAAACATTGAAAAATGGAGACAAATTTAGCACATTTTTATTCCAACAAAAAAATACACTAAATAAATTCATTTAAAAAATTAACAAACCTTTCCTTGAACTGATACAGCTTGAAATCGAGATGCTGCTGTGTATGTATTTGCCTTCTGTTTTCTCACCTTGACAAGTTGTTTGGCAAGAACTTTCAACACCTAGTATAAGAGGCATCGATTACACAAAAAAGAAAATTGAAATAAAGTTATCTATTAAATCACCTCCTTATTTCCTTTCTTTGCAGCCTGTTTGATATCATTTTCCTGAAAGTCAAATTTCAAAAACATTTATTAATATTGTGATTTTGAATAATTCAAACAATTAAGTACACTCAATTATTTATTCCATAATCACTGATGGTGCTGACTTTTTTGTCACTCTACAGAATTCCTTTCTATTTTTGATCAATTTTCTTAACTTCAATGTCATCATCTTAGTTTGCAATGTCATTCAACCATTTCTTGACAGGTTTTCAAACTTCCTTCTTATATTTTTTTTCATCATTATTTTTTATAAATCTGTCATTCACAACTCTGCAAATACGTCTAAAAACACTGACCATTTTGTGTGTTTTCTTACATAACTTTTTCTTTGTGCTCTAGACTGGTTTCTCATCATTTTTCTCCAACTAATTCTAAACTTTCTGTATCACTTCATTTCAAACACTTCCAAAACTGTATTTGTCCATTCAACTACTTCAACAGCACTTTTAGCAATACCAGAAAAAAGGTTAGTCTATTTAAAATTTGCTGAGTTCAACAACCAATAATACAGCCATTCCTTTCTTTTACTTATAACTAGAGGCAGATTTATAAATTTTGCAACTTCTATTTGCAAATTTGACATTTTGTTTTATTACTAATAAACAATATTTAATAAATACACTAGCAAATCCCAACTGTTCAATTAAATTGAGCTAGCACAAAAAATCAATAAACCATCAGTTAATTTGAGAAGATATGCATTCAAAAAGCTTATATAATAGATTTCTATGGTTAAATTAAATCATAACATTTACATCAATTCATATCTAAAAAACCAACTTGAGTAACTATATTTACTAAAAGCTGACAAACCATGTTAATTTCTTTTTCAAATAACTTATGATTATTTGTGGTGATTGATTTTCAAATCTCTTCTGAAACTATCACTTTTTGAGTAAATGTTCAAACACAATAGGAGCATTGAGCAAGTTTAAGGGACCAGATTTTATTAGATAATATTACCTATTTACACAACAATTCTTATTAATTTAAGCTCAAGTTAGTAAATAGACTTGAAGTTTGAAAATTTAGTTAATTTTGTTTATTTGAAATAAAATAATTGAATAAATACTGAATATGCCAACTATATTTTTCTCAAGTTTTTCCAAATCGGTTCTATTTCGTTCCACTTCTCTGGTAGATTTTTTAATATCACGATCATTTTTACGCAATTGTTCTGAAAATTTTTCAGGTTTTAAAATAAAACCACTTTAAATTAAAATTATAAATTAAATTTTCAAAAAATTATCTCGATAATGAAAAGTTAATCTGTTGAAAAATAAAAATAAATATAGAGATGGAAAATTCAAAACTTGAAATAGAAAAATTAATAGATTAAAAATTAAATTAAAAGATTTACTGTAAATGACATTCCCAAAATTTAAAAACAAAAAATGTAGTAAAACCTGTGACATCACAAAAACAAATTAAATTAATTAATTTATTAAATGCAGGACAATAAATAAAAAATGTGAATAAATAAAAATAAAGCTAAGTTTGCTACATGTGTAGTGAAGTCATCATCTCCTCTCATGATTAGTAGTCAGTAAGAGTAGAGTATCAGTTTATAATTATAATTATAAACTTTATATTTATTTATATTTAATATTATATATATAATATAATTATTTATGTAAGAATCATAAATTTATTTAAAAAAAGAAAAAAAGTACCTTTTGAGGATGGTTTTTTATTGAAAAGAGAAGCCATGTATTGTTTCAAAGAACCTATACTAAGAAATTAAGTATGAAAAAAAGTTCAGCTGAATGCTCCCAAACCAACCGGCAAAACAAAGCTGACCAAAATTGTTTGACTAATTGTCAATTGAAAAAAAAATTATAAACAAACAATGGGGAAGTTGTTTAAAGTTTAACAGGTAACGAAAGATAAAATTTAACAGAAATTAATCATTTAAAATTTAAATAGGTTATAAAGCGCCATATTCAAAAGCGCTCCTAAAAGAATTTCGCTAGCAATCAGGTTTTGAGGTACGCTCTTAACTTCGTATGTGATGGAAAGTAGTTAGAAAAGGAGGGAGTAAGTTTCAGAAGAAATGGCTAGAAGTGATAACATAACGACCCGTCTTTTTTGGCGGTTAGTTTGGTAACCATGATGGAGAGATCTTATACGATTGTGGTTTGATTGTATTTTCTTAAATGCTGTGCACTTGAATCAGGTCAAACGGTATCAACCGTTTCATTCGTTTGTTACTAAATCTCCATCCGTTTTGCTCTGTTTCAAAATATTAACCTGTTTTGAAAATTTTAAATATAAACAATATCCATGTATACCTTGTCTCAATTTTTATCTTCCTAACCCAACAACAACAACCACAGCAACAACAACAACAATAAAATCAACAACGACAACAAAAACAACAATAACAACAACCACAACAACAATAATCTTTAAAAAGACAACGACGACAACAACAACAACCACAACAACAACAATAACAACAACCTCAATCAATCAATCATTCAATCACTTAACCCTAACCATAACAACAACCCTAACCACAACCCTATCCACAACCCTATCCACAACCCTATCCACAACAACAACCCTAACCACAACCACAATGGCTATCACATTTCAATCTTATTGGTAAACATAAATCTTTTATGACCATTTTTTGTTAAGTGTTCCATTCAGAGCAACTCTCCCCTACTATGCCTAAATTGTTAAAGGTAATTTTTACGATAGATTATCGGAAATAATAAAGCGAAACCATTGATATATACTTCATAACCATGGATATATCCATGGTTATAACATAAGATTATATTAGATATTACATTATACCATCACAAGTACCATTGTACCCATGGATATATATAAATAATAAATTATATCCATGATTGTACCATTAGATTCTATCGTTGTACCATTAGATTCTATCGTTGGATAACACATAATCATTTTTTATGCTACTCGGAGATTTCCTGAATCATTTATAATTAATGAGCAGCATCCATGATATTTTATACCAAGGACAGAAAGGCAACCTCTAAAAAGATAGCTTTTTACTTTTATACTTTTTGGGCCAGATCTATCGTATTCTTTCCTGGAAACAAGAGCATCATCAGAACAGGAAATTTTCAAACGGTTTGGGTGATAGGCAAGAGAAGAGCTAATAATTGCGGCACGGTGAAGCAAACTTCTGGTCAACGTTTAGGCCAAGTGTGGTAGCCCTATATCAATTCCTACGTTCAATTCAAATGGCGTCGTCGCTGCTCTCGCTTCATACAGTTTATGACAGAATGCGATTGGACATATCCTAAATATATTTCTATGTGTCTAACAGTTATATGAAATGTCCAAATCTCTCAAAAATACTACGAAATAAGGTTCGCTTTATTCGATTTATTAAGTCCGTCTACATGTTGGTTCTGTTTGGCCGAAGGTGTTATTTTAATATTTAAACGACAATTTTATTGTCTAATCTATTTTACAATTTTATAAAATTTAAACATTAATTTTGTGTTTTTCAAATAACATTACATACACATTTTAAAAATTTAAGCTAATTATGCTAATTTATTAAATCGAAAAAAATGTGTATAGCTGTTGTACGGTGGTGTTACATTGAACGATCCGAGAGCTCCGAGAGCTGTTGAAAATTGAAGCCTTAGCTAGGCTGGCTTGTGTGTGAGTCACCTTGCGCTTCGTCTATGTCTGTCCGTTTATTATATTGAGATCGCTTGCTTTTGCTGTCAATTTTGTGTTTTATTCGTCAATTTTAAAAGTTTCAAACATTTAGATTGTACTGTTTCGCTCCCAAAGGTTGGTTTCACGTTTCAAAATACTAGCATGTTTGTTTTTTCATGTCAGCCATTTTGATTTTGTAATAATCTTTTTTTATTTAATAAATTTAAAGTTTTTAAAAGAGTTAAATTAGTTTTCATTCACTTCACGACTCACGTCTTTCCGTTTTTAATTTGTTTTAATAACTTTAAATATTCTGCTGGCGTAGGAAGTTAACGAATATCAAAATTTTTGCAGATTATTTATATGGTCAAGGTGGTAGTGGGTAGTCAAATTAGCTCATAAATAAACTTTTGCCACCTTTTATTTTATTTTTGCTAATTTCATAACGCTGATTTGTTCATGAATGAAATTGCATGATTAATTCCCAGTAGTAATGTGGTACTGGTCAGGTCTGATTAACATTGCATATCTACCTGATATCAGTCATACATTTTTTCCTTACAAGTACAATTTAAGAATAAATCTTAGAAATCCGTTAGAATGTTAGATTTGTACCACATTGCTATTGTTTACAAAATGGCTTTTAAATTGGGGAGAGCCTAATAAGAATGCTTAAATCATTCTTTAAAAGTGAAATAAAAATGATGATCTCAATGGATAAATTTTCCATTATTAAATTTTTAGTTCTCTTCTATTTAAAAGATATTAAAATAGGACGAGGCAGTGTGCCTTTTTCACCAATCTATAATACTTAACAATATTTGCAAAGTTAAACTCTTCTCTGATAATATGTGAAAATATTTCACTTATCTTTTTTTTTATCTGACTACTAATGTTTACATTAGATTAGAGTCATCATCTTCAAGTAGTCTGAATTCAACATTATTTCTAGAATTTCCATCTAGGATTTGGTAATAATTAATCATTTTAAGGCAGTTTGTGTAGTTATATACAGTTTTGTTGTGTAGCATAACAAGAGTTATATTTATTAAATAATCTCTAATTTTAATTGTTAGTGGCACATATTTATGCATATTGTGGCAGATCATACAAAGTAGATGTAGAAACAATATATGGGTTTAATAAGTACATTTTTTTAACTGGTTTGTAATAAAAATTTTTTAAAAACATTTCTACTTAAAATTTTTGTTATTATTTCTCTATATTTTTTGTTCAGATGGCTGATATGGAGAATCTCCCTAAGGAGATACAAATTTTGGAGACCCCTGAAGATATTCAAGCTAGAAGAGAACAAGTTCTTGGTCGTTATTCAGCTTTTAAAGATGCCACAAAGCAAAGAAGATTGAGATTAGAAGATGCAAGAAAGTACATGTACTTCAAGAGAGATGCAGATGAACTTGAAAGTTGGATCAATGAAAAGTTGCAGACAGCATCTGATGAGAGCTATCGAGATCCAACAAATCTTCAGGTTTTTAAATGTTTTACATTTGTTATGTTATAATATTATAATATTACTTATTTTTTTCTTACATAAGGCAAAGATACAAAAGCATCAAGCTTTTGAGGCAGAAATAGCAGCTCACTACAACACTTTGGAAGCTTTAGATCAAGCTGGAAATGCTATGATTAGTGAAGGACATTTCAATTCTGAAATTATCAAGGTGATTTTTTTATCCATTGTAAAATAAGTTTATGGCTAAAAATTACTCTAAATGTATTGAAGTTTGATATCCAACATATCAGCACTTTGTAGAGTAATAAAGAGATAAATATAGCTGTAAATAATACTAAAATTCATTGCCAACAAAGCTTTTATTTAAAGTATAATTAAACTTGCTTGTAGCTTTGTTCAATCATTCCTTCTGAAATAGCAAAATGAAGACTCAAGTAGGCATGAAAGTTACTAATGTACAAAAATTATTGAAAGATGCATAAACATCACTATTATTGGTCTGTACCAAATTAGTTACTACTCCATAAATTACAGATTTATCACTATTGAAAATCAATAAAATTTTATGAAATAAATTATGCATTATCCAAATACTACCAGTTAATATATCTCGAAAGAGGTTCCAAGTACCAGTACAAAACTATTAAAATTTTTGAACTATTTTAGGGTATGTGAAAGAGAATGATTTAACTCATCTCTCACCTTGCATATGATTAGTTGATTACATTAGAATCCAGCTACTGCAATGTAACACCAGGCTTCTAACAATTACATCACCCAATCTTGTCAATGACATATTTATAGAAAACAAATGATAATTTCAATTTATCATTTTTACTTTTATTTATATGTGAATATTGATGTGAAAATACATCATATCATATTTTTATTAAATGTCACTTTAGTTTTAACGTTCAAACTAAATAATTAAATTTAAGAAAAATTTTTCAAAAAAATTAATTGCTGTAAGCAAAAAGTACTTGACAAAAAATCCCTACATCTGTTGTGTCAAGGAAACGTTGACCAAATTTATAACTCTGAAATGTTGCATGTTTTTTAGCTTTTCTATTATTTTTGTCAATGTCAAAATAATGCATGGAATGAAATAAAATCACAATAAATCTATACTAAATTTATAAAATTTATAGTTTTAACTATTTCTGAAAAATTTTGGAAAGATGTGGATATAATATGATATATATCAAAGCATTTAATCCCAGTAAAGTCCTCTTAGGAATGACATAGAAGATGTTTGGATCAAAAAATTTTTATATCTGGAATTGCAAAATTCCTAATGACAACCAGCAGTTATAAGCAGTGGGCCTAGCCTTTTTGCCGAAAGCACATAAGGCGGTGCGGTTGCAGTTTATCTCATGCCCAAGAGAACACTGTTGTAAGCAGTGCACCTAGCCTTTGGGTCAAAGGTTCCGGTTCCACAAGGCAGTGTATTTAGAATCGAAGATCATCCGCTGTTAGAGCCGTTGTCCTAGGATCCTCTGCCTCTTTCATTGTTGTCTTCTTTCTTCTGGTACAATTGGTTCGCAGCATCTTATTCCATATTATTTTATGCAATCCTAGAAGGTTTCCCTGCCCAGGACTTTCCCCTATCCACCACCTGGGGACGCGCCTCATAGCCAGTGTATCACAGCATGAAGGTGCTCACACACCGAACATGGCCAATGACCAGAGACCACAGGCTCAGCGGTACCACTGATGACAACAAAACTCGAACAGCAGCTTCATCGAACTGACATGAAGATGATTCATTGGATGCAGCATGTTGACCTAAGGGACCATATCCATACAACTGAGATCCTGAACCGATTGGGACTGTGCACGTTGAAGGATGCATGTCGTCGTCATCGCCTACGATGGTTTGGCCATGTGAAGGGAAGCGGAAACGATAAAATAATTTCTGTTACTGAGCACCAGGGGCCTGGCACCCGCCCAAAAGGTAGCCCACAAAAGTCCTGGACGCAGACCATACACGAGGACTTGAAGGCACTTGGTCTCAAGGAGACTGATGCAATGGATAAATCGACTTGGAGATAGAAACTGATGAATGGAATAAAAAAGTCCAACACATAACAAATGGAGACTATAAACGAGGATTGATTGATTGAAAGTCCTCTAAGGAATTCCAACAGAGTGAATCAATAATAATAATAATGATACAGTTGGCTGGAGCACAGATTTTTAACCAGGTGATGATCGCGGTCAACACATTGTTGTGTCTTTCGGTGTATCCTCCTAGAGCAGACTTGAAACTGCAGTTGGAGAGCACATGTTTATTTGTCTGGTGAAGACCACACAATTGGCATAGAGGGTTTTGTGTTTTGCCCCATTTGAACAAATTCGCACTTGTTGGCAACTGCTGGACAAGATACTTTCTGGCAAATTTGTAGTGGACCTTGGCTCTGCAATGAAAGTAGATGATTTAAGTTAGATTTAATCCTCTCATCTTCCAGATGCTTAAGCGATGTTTTTAACGTGCCTCCCTTCGCAAGTTCATTATCAATCTTGATATAATCAATGGATGATTCTCTCCATAAACATTGCATTTCTTTGTTGCTGCTGGTTTTGAAATAATTACGGAGTTTCAGTCTCATTTTTTCCGCTGTTTTTTTCAATGAGATGATGTCATTTTCGAAGGCAGTGATAATAGTTCCGATACGCAGCTGTGATTGGCATGCTCAGCCATTCTCTAACCGTTTCTACAATTAGGTTATCTAGGTTTTCAGATATCCAGGTCAGGCGAGAATTTGTAGCTACGCAGTTTAAAATTTAACTGTGAAGGTAGGTATCTTTTTAAAATTTGAAGCTTCTGTTGTGGGCTGACATCTAATTTTGTAGTTGTTTCCAGCAGTTGAATGACTTTTGTGTGAATCATATTTTTTGCTTTTTTATCATTGCAATCGTAGTCAAATAACTTGCCTAGATAAGTGAAACCCTGGTCAATCTCTACATTGGGGATAGCTGGTCAATCTTGGCATGAATTGTTGATAGGTACCATCAAGTTTTCTCATTCCAAAGGAAGAGCATTTATCAACTCGCATCTTCATCTCTGACCAACTGCACCAGGCCTGGTTTAGATCAATTAGTTTTTGTGCGCCTTCAGTGCTGTGTGATATTATTGCCGAATCGTCGGCAAATTGGAGCCATGATCTAGCTTTTAAGTCGGAGGTTGGGCCCCACAGGTAACCAAATTGTTTGTATTCCTGACTGTCTAGAATCATCATGAGAGGATTGAAGCATATATTAAAAAGTAATGGTGAACACGGATCGCCTTGGAGCACACCTTTTCTGACTGGTATTGCCTGCGTTAGTTCACCATTAATTGCTATTGATATTGAATAGTCAGAATATATTGAATTAATTAATTCGTGAAATGGCTGTGGAATATGATGGTATTTTAAAACGGAATCGATAAGATGATGATTTGCTTCTCCAAATGCATTCCGTAGATCTAGCAATGCGACTACAATGGTACGTTGGTGTCTTTTTGCGTTATTTAACAAATGGGAGATCATTTGTGTATGTTCGGCCAATCCATCAACTGCTGGATAGAAGCCTTTCTGGATATTATTGTTGATAAAATTATTTTTTTCAAGAAAATTATACTATCTGGATTTTATTAAAGCGGAAAATACTTTGTATAGTACTGGTTGTAGAGTGATTGGGCGAAATTTGAAGCGTCGATGGCGTTGCCTTTCTTGTAGATCAGGATTGTCGACCCTCTGCGCCAGGACTGTGGAATTGTTTTTGATTTCCAACACAATATTAATAGTTTATGAAGATATGTCCTGAGTATAGGACATCTTTTAAAAGCTATGATTGAGATTTGGTCTGACGGACATGGTGATGCTTTGGCTTTGCTTTTTCTAATAATTGTTGTGATTTCATTGTAAGTTGGAGGTTCTAAATTGCCGGTGTATGATGGGGGGGAAAAGGAGGAATCCAGCTAGGAAGACGAAACGATGTACGGTCGCTAGGTTTTAAGATATCATTGAAGTACTTGGTGGCGGTCTCAACGTTGAAAAGCGGAGATTGAGAGTTTGATTTTGAGAAGATGATGTTGCATGTCTTCCAAAAATTTTTTTTTTAGTTTTGCTGAAATATTGTTGTCGCTGTTGTTGTTGATTTTTTGTAATTTTATTGCTTTTAACATTGTTCTTATTTTTTTACTCAATACACTTACTTCTTTGTTGAGTTGTTGATTGGTCCGAGCTAGGAACTTTAAGTTTTTTCATTTCATTTTCAGTTGCCTAATATCACGGTTGTTGACTGCGTTATGGGCTGTTCTGTTTTTGAATTCAGCGTTACACAGTTGGCAGCGAAGCAGGAGTATATTGTCTCCTGAAAGTTTGTAGCGAAGCTGTCAATGTCTGAGATGATATCTAGGGGTTTGAGTTCCATTTGGAAGAATGTGTTGGCTTCAGACCAATGTGATGATGATTTTGGCATTTTTATTCCTGGAAGTGGTTTTGAAATGGTAGCTGTTGTTGATGTGTGTTTGAAAGTTGTTTACGTGCTGTCGCTGACGTCGTCTGTTTCAACTTTGGAAGTGTCAGGCTTTAATGATTTATAAGTCTTACAAGATCTCTGGTGCATTGTAAGTCCTTACCGACCTTTACAACGTTTTCCACAGCAGCATGACAACGTAAAATCAGAAATATCCGGTAAAATATTATTATTATTTGTTAATAAATTAGGAAAAATATTAACGTTGTTGTTGTTCAAAGGAATATTTAAATTAGAGTTTGAATGTAAGTTAGTACACCTCCGGGAGTGTCTGTTAATAAACTTAAATTCTTTAGAACAATGCGGGCATATTGTAGCTTTGGCAGCAATAAACGAATTTAAAATTAAAATTATAAAAATAAATTTATTAAAATTGAAATATTTATCAAATTCAACAACAATAATAATAATAACAATAATAATAATAATGAGAATTTAAATGGTATGATAATCACCATAATCTACGAAGCTCATCAATAATTAAAAAGAGTACAACTTGAATAAGTTAGTTCTAAATTATAATAATAATAATAATAATATATAATAATAGCTCAGACATTTTAGAAATTTGATTAAGTATGTGACTGGAATGTAGGACACTCATATTTGAAATATAATGTATTATAAAAATGCTTATATTTTTCATAAGTATGCAACTATTATGCATAATTATGCAGTTTACTAATTAATTCAATCTATAAATAAATTTAAGTTGAATAAAACATTAAAATAAAGTCACAAGATAAAACCATTTGTCTGTGTTTAAGTGCACATTTATCAATATATAGTTTATACAGCAAAACTTGATATCTTTGCCATTTCTTGTTTTGTGTCTGAAAAAAATTTGATTCTTGTGTTTGCTAATGAATATTTTCTTTTTCTTTTTGGACAATAGGGCAATAAATTTCTTTTCATTATTTTTATCACATTAAAGATGTTCATACATGAGTTTTTTTATGTAATTGTTTCAAAATTTTTTTTATTTAGTCTGTTGATCACTAACTAACTTTTTTTAAACATTGAAAATGCAAGCAATAAATTCAAAAATGTTATGAAGGAAAAATGACATAAAATGAAATGTTCAGTGGGCTAACCAAAAATAGAATAAAATGAGTTATTAAAAAAATGTTAAATATAAGGTTGAGATTTAAGATAACAGTATTATTTTTCTATGCTCATCTTCATATATTTGTGTTTTATATATACAGGAACGATTGGAAGAATTACATTATTTATGGGATATGCTGTTTCACAAGTTACAAGAAAAAGGACTCAAGTTAAAGCAAGCTCTAAGGCTTATTCAGTTTATGAGAGAATGTGAAAAGATTTTCTTCTGGATTAATGATAAAGAAGCCTTCCTTAATCAGAATGAGTATGGACAGGATTTGGAACATGTTGAGGTCTTGCAGAAAAAATTTGATGAATTCCAGAAAGATTTAATTAATCATGAAGAGCACGTGACTGAAATCAATCAATTAGCCAACAAACTTATTGATGAAGATGATCACCCTGACAAAGACACTATCCAGAGTAAAAGAATGGTTAGTTCATTTTGGTAATTTGTGAGTTACACATGGTTTCAAACTTATTATTTTTTTATCAACTTGAAGGAATTAAATGAAGCATGGGAAAAGTTAAAAAATTTGGCATCAAAAAGAGAAAAGAGTTTGTTTGGAGCTCATGAAATTCAGAATTTTAATAGGTTTGCAGATTGTTTATGCTATTTTTTGAATTGAATAATTGCTTAAACTATAAATATTCTTCATCTTGAAATGTATTGCTGGCGCAATAGCGTAACAATAATTGCCTGGTGCAACTATTGCAAAGAGATCCCCGCCTATCACGTTGTGTGTTATGTGTTGTTTCACATGTATTATATGCACTCTGTGTATGTTGCTGATGCCTCTGAAAAATATTGAGAGAATTGTATTAAATAAATATTAACTGTTCCTCTTTTCAAACCTTGCCTGTCGTTTAAAAAGAATCCTCTAATGTATTGTTACATATTCTTTTTGGATGCTTTTCATGTGAGAGTCTGTAATATTAAAAAAAATTATAATTAAAACAGGAAACCAGTGTGCTTTCTAAATTTTTCCGTTTTTTAAATCAATTTTTTTAGAAGTTACTACCTCATCTTTTTATTATTGGATTGAGTTTTTCATCAGGATGATGTCCTAGCTAGCTGCAGCTTTTTTATATTTTCACTATTGGTTCTATGTAAAAACTCAACTTGAAATGGAATTCAACAGGATGTGGATCCAGATTCAAATCTAGATGTCATAGATCTCAACCTATTGCATAATGCATCATTTACAAAAGAAAACAGAGAACAAAGGATGCCTTTTTTATTTGCTAATCTACTTGAAAGACTTCTTGCTTTTTCAAATAGTTTTTTGCTGTGATATTTTGGAAAATTATTGCAGACTAGCGGAATAGTATTGTTCATCTACATATGTTCTGCATTTATCAACAATGCTCTAGGCAGTGTGATGCTTGGCTTATATTGTCCAAATCAAATTGTTACATGATATGATGAACCAGAGCTAGGATGTTGAATTTATTGATGATTTTAAAATTAATCCATTAGAGATGCAGAAGAAACGATTGCCTGGATGATTGAAAAAGATACACTGCTATCGTCAGATGATTATGGTAGAGATCTTCCTTCTGTTCAAGCACTTCAAAGAAAACACGAAACTTTGGAAAGAGACTTGGGGGCTTTATGTGAAAAGGTTATTTATTAACTAATTTTTTTTAGGGAATTGAAATTTGTGAAATGTTACAAATATGTATAAATATATATATATTTATTTTGGCATGATTCAACTTGTAGTTGTGTTTCTCAATTTTTCTAACGAGACTTTTATCATCTTGATGAAGTTTATTAAGGTTAAATAAAAAACTTTTAATATTTGACATTTTTGACAAAACATTATTAATAACGTTATTACTACAGAAAAGCTCTTTTCGACATCAACTGCCATCATCAGTGTAGTTATATAGTATTGTTCTGTCTTTAAATTGAGAAACTCAACTACAAGTTGAAAATGCCAAAAACGCAGTGATCTTTATAAATAAAAATTGAGAAACTCAACTACAAGTTGAATAATGCCGAAAATGCAGTAATCTTTATAAATAATTGCATTTATGATAGTCTAAACCCAAAATATATATATGTATATATATTTATTTGACCCAACTGACCAGAGGGCATTGACATGCCGCTTACCCAGTCAGGGAAGAAATCAACAATTCTTCAAATATAATAAACGTCAGTCAGTGAAAAAAAAAAAAAAAAAGAAGATTCAATAACTAATTAATCGTAACAGTGAAGCAGAAATATAATGAAAACAACCAAAATAATGAAATAACTACCAGTCACATCGTCAATATCATTCAGCTAATCATTAATGAGCAAAGTTAAAAATAACATGTATGGTCAAGGTCATAAACAGTGAATTAAATATGAACAGCTAAAAATATATATACATGCACACACACACACACACAAACACATATATACAGCATTTAATTCCAATAGAACACAACACAAGATTCCTATAATACAGTGTAAAAAGACAAGTTGAACAATATATGGAAAGCATAATTGTGTTAAATGTTTGAAATATTTTATAATTTATAATATATCAAAGAGTAAAAGAAAAATGTATCTCGAAAAAGAAAGAAATGACAGGTTTTGCATAATATGGAGACCATAATCAGAAAAATACAAACAATAAACATGGATAGTTATTAAGTTATTTAATCTGCAAAAAATTTCTAAGGTCAACAGTAAGTAGTTTCGTTTTAAAAATGGCATATGAAGGTGAGGAAACTACTTCCTCAGGCAGTGCATTCCAAATTTTAACTATCCTGTTGCAAAAAAAGTATTTTGTTGTGTTGTTATTAGAATTGGATTCGTGCAGTCTACGGTGATGACCTCGAGTTGATAGATATGACGACGGGGTAAATTGATCAATCAGATCGGAGTTGATGATGTTGTTCAATATTTTGAATAAAAAACACAGGTCGAAAATCAATCTACGATGTTCTAACGTTTGCAAGCCAACTGAGTTTAAACGTGATAGGTATGGAAGATGGCGAATTGAGGGGATGGCTTTAGTAAATCTTCTCTGAACACTTTCGATCTTCATCAGCTGATATCGATAATGAGGATTCCAGACAGGAGAACAATATTCCAACAAGGGACGAGCATAGGTACAATAAGCTTTAATTAGTAGGTTTTTGTCTCTTGATGTAAAACATTTAATTAAAAGCCGAGCTCGTGTTGATGCCTTGTGCGTGATGTCATTGATATGCCGATTGAAGTTAAGTTGTTTGTCAATTATTACGCCAAGATCTTTAAAACACTCATTAGGTGTTAAAACATGGTGATCAATCGTGTATTGATTTGTAACTGTAATATTTCTTGATGGAATGAAGGAACAAGTTGAGCATTTGTTAGGGGACAGTGGCAGTTGCCATTTGTTACTCCATGATACGATATTGTTGATTGACCGTTGAAGTTGAATAGAGTTAGATGATCGGGCGTATAATTTGATGTCGTCCGCAAAAAGCAGCATAGAAACAGGGCATGATGAAATGCAGTCATCTATATCGTTGACGAATATGAGAAAAAGAGTTGGCCCAAGGACACTTCCTTGGGGAACACCACTGGTTACAGCTGTAGAACTAGATGATTTGTTAAGAATTTGAACAAATTGAGATCGCTCATGTAAAAAATCAGTCAACCAGCTACATAATTTGCCAGTTACACCGCAAGCCTGTAATTTGCAAATCAACTTGGCATGTGAAACTGAGTCGAATGCTTTTTGAAAATCGAGATAAACTGTATCGCAACTTTCTTTTGTTTGACGGATCGACAAAGAATCACTAACAAATTTGATGATGTTAGAGGAAGTTGATCTGGCAGGCAAAAATCCATGTTGAAAGAAAGATATTAAATTATTGTCTAACAAATAATTCCGGAGACTGCCGTTAATAATTTTTTCCATGACTCTACAACACGAACATGTTAGCGATATAGGTCTGTAGTTGCTGGGGTAATTAGTTGGTCCTTTTTTGTGAATAGGAGTAACGATAGCAGTCTTCCATATAGTGGGTAGAAGCCCATTCTTAAAGGATGTATCAAAAATATGACACAGAGGAACAGCTAAACTTGAAGCACACCTTTTGAGAAGGATATTGGGAATATTATCAGGACCAGATGAGTGTGAATTTTTCAAACTGCGTAGAGCTAGATAAACTGAATGAGGAGTAAAACAGATGTCGTCAATTGTTTTTGTAGTACGGGAAGGTAGAGTACTAGGTATTCCGTCATCAATTGTGAATACTGACGCAAAATAACTATTGAAGGTGTTTGCCATAACTATCGGGTCACTGGATGTATTGTTATTATCAATTTTTAAGCTGGAAACTTGAGGTTTGGAAAATAATCTGTTATTAATATATTGATAAAAACTTCTAACATTTCCTTTCGACAATAGGTTGTTTTCTCTAGTCATGCGATAAATGGGTAGTCATGATTAGAGTATCTAGGAGGGTTAGGTTCATTGTCCATTCTACCATTACAATCTCTGTCCTCTGAATTTGAACTTCGTTTCCATTTTTTCCAAAAATGGAGTTTGACTTGGTATGATTGACGAAGTGGCTCGGGTACTGAACGCTTGGGCGGTAAACTATTCCGACCAATCAAAGGAACAAAGGTTGAAATGGCATGGTTGATTATTTGTTCGAATATATTCCAACAGGCATTAACATCAAAACAATATTGAAAATGGCAATCCCAATCTATTGTTGACAAATAATCATTCAGGACAGTGTAGTTTGCTCTGTTGAAATCGTAAAAAAATGTTCTGTTGTGGGCATTGTTGTTGGTCGAATTGTTGCTAAAACAGTTGATTGTAAAATTAACACAGCAATGATCACTTGAAGCAAATGGGCAGGAAACTTCCAGTTCGGCTAGTAAGCTGGCATCGTCAGAAAGAACCAGGTCCAAAATGTTCTGACCTCGTGTAGGTTGGTCCACCAGTTGATGCAGGCCAAGATCGTTAAAAAGTTCAATGAAACAATTATAAATTGCGTTATCTGGCGATGAATAGTTATTCCAATCAATAAGCGGTAGGTTGAAATCGCCCAGTAGGCAGTTAACATTACCGTTGCATAGCTCCCTGATGCATTGTGTGCTATCAATGGCATAGTCGACAGCCAAATTGTCAAATCCACCACTGCGGTAGTAGGAGATGAAACGATATGTTGTCGATGAAGAAAAAACATCAATTGAGATTATTTCGATGTGAGAGTATTTTGTTGGTGTTTTCACGACCTTGTAATGAACTGAGCTTTTAATGACAAAAGCCACTCCACCACCACGTGTTTCACGGTCTTTTCTAACAAAACAAAAACCAGAAGGTAGTATTAACTCATCACGATCTTCTGGTGAAAGCCATGTTTCAATAACAGAAAAAATGTCAGGGTCGTATTCTGACAAAAATAAATTAAGGTCATTCTTTTTATTCTGCAAACTTCTAACATTTGCTAGAGACATACGAAGTGTCCGGTTCATATTACGTGGAACGAAAGGGCTGCACGCCGCTGGATATCTGATTTGGTCTTGCAAGACGTCGTTCCTGGCGTTTAAGAAAGGCCTGCTCGGCTTGTCGTTTTGAAAGGTCATGGTTGATTAAGATATGTTTGGTGTTCGGCGATGAACGCAATAGTTTTGATGATGATATCAAGTCATCAACTGTTTGAGGACTTGATAGAGTTACACAGACCTTTTTGTTGTTGATTCGACGTGTTTTGACAATCTGCGGTTAAAGTGTCAGATAATTCTCGCATAATGTAGAAACAGCGTCTTTATCGTTGATTCCGGGCTGCATATCCATGCCAGAGATAATGACATTGCTGGCTCGTCGTTCCTCGTCTTTACGCTCCTGATCAACCGCCCATAGGGCCCTGGTCATTGATTCAATCAAGGGAGTTTCATTCATTTTTAAGACCTGTTTTTGGCACTCTGAAACACTGGTACTCAGAGCAGCCACTGTTGTAAGAAGTTGGCCCATTGACTCAGTTACGGCCTCCGACATACTTTTGACTGCTCGCTCGAAACTGTTGCCGAGAGCCTCCATACGAATGACAGTTGATTCGAAAAGTTTACTCAATATATTTTCTGAATGAGCCAATGATTTTCTCACATTTTCATTTGACTTTTAAATTAATTTTGTAACATTTGAGTCGAATTTGTCAAACAGTTTTTCCAGGTTGTTGTTGGACAGAATAATTATTTTTTCAAGACTTTCATTTGATCTGTCCATTAACTTGTCAATTAGTTTCATCACATTATCATTGGATTTTTCTAAAACTTTAGAGATCATATTATCAAATGACTCTGCAGAATGAGATTTAGCCATGACGATAATATTTAAGTTTGTTTCACAAGTCTGTAGAGTTAATCCAGCACAAAACAATAATGTTTACGATAGTAAGTATCTCAGTTCGTATACAAAGTCTGTAAGAGCAACACAGCACAAACAGTAAAGAACAAACGATACAACTTCAGAAACTATCCTATAATACAACTATAACCGTTCAAACTGCGTCGGTTAAACACTAATTATAAGCCAAATTAAGATAAATCAAATTAAATAAACAAAATTAACTGCAACAATTAACTATAATAAAATTTATAACACTTTAATCAGCAAAATTATGTCTATATAACGCAACTAAAATCAATTCAGTAATACGATAATAACTAGCAAAACCAAGAAAAACCCCAGAGCAAAAGAAATTACAACCAATATATATATATATATATATATATATATATATATATATATATGTTGGTAATAGACCATAATTTTTTTCTCCTGGTTATGACATTAAACTGACCCTCACTGCCTTGTGAGTGATGTTGGATCATCAAAGGCTAGGCCACCGCTTATAACTGTGGTTGCGTAAGGAAGGGCGTCCTGCGTAAAAATTAGCCAAATAAATTACTTATGATGGAATGGCGTCGAGGGGTATTTCGGTTTCATCATAGGTAGCCAAACGGCAACCCCCGATCTCGGGAAAAATGTCGTCTAAACGTGTGTTGTAATAGACCTTAATTTTTACAATATTCTATAAATATATATATATATTCACGTATATTTCTTGTTTGAAAAATATAAGGCTATGTTGCGTCACCATGCCTTTGACTGTTTTGAAGAAGGGTGCTATACATTTGATCTTTTATAATTTATTATTATATTTATTATATAGTAAATAAATATAATTGCAAAAAAGGTTTTAATTTATAATAAAATAATAATAAATAATGGTAATAACTTTCAAAATGAAACTTTTCACAGGTCAAGAATCTTGAAAGTGAATCAAATCGTTTGAGTGAAATTCATCCTGATCAGGTAGAAGACATCACAAAGAAGCAACAAGATATTCTTAACTGCTGGCAAAATCTTATTGAAAAGGTTGTTTTGTCACTTTTAATTTTTTGCCAAATTGTGTTTACAAAATTTTCATGTATTATTAATCTTTTCTTATTTGGCTAATTAAATTGTTCTAGTATTAAAATTTTTTCATCATTTTTTAACGGTGTTTAAAATAAGTTTAGTTTTTAAAACTTAAATTCTCTTTATTAAACCACTGCTATTTAATTTTAAAGAATATTTATTTTCAAAATAATCTTTTCTTAAATTTTGGGCTAAGCTAAATATATCAGAATAATTTTGTTAAAAATAAAGAGCTGAAAGAATTGTTTAATTGTCTAAACTTTGAATAACTCTAAAAATTTGCAATTCATTATTTCATGTTGATTAGGAAAATAGGAAAATCCATCTTTTACATATATAGTTAAGAAACAACTTGATTGGCTTTGCTAAACAAATGAGAAATTTTTTACAATATATTGTCATATGGCTATTATTTACTTGATTGAATTAAATTATTATAATAATATTTTTACAGGCTTCAAATAGAAAAAACAACTTGGAGTCATCATTTTATCTGCACAGGTTTCTGTCTGATTACAGAGACCTAATCAGCTGGATATCTGATACAAAAGCTATTATAACTGTTGATGAATTGGCTAAAGATGTTGCAGGTGCTGAGGCTCTTCTGGAAAAGCATCAAGAGCATAAGGTTTTTATAAATATACCAAACTTTTTTTTATTATAAAAATATTAGTAAAGGTATTAACTACTTTATTTACCTTATTCTTAATGAAGCTTATTTCTTGATTAAGGAAGTCAGTTCTCTAATGAAGTGTTCAATAAATTGCTGCAAGTGTTAGTTGATGCGTTGAGTTTCCTATATTTAATTTGGAGTTACCTTGATTTCATTTGTAGCATTTTTTACCAAAAAACACTCCTTATTCCCATTGTTTAATTGGAAAATATGCTTACTTTTTGCTCTGTTATCAACCTATTAGAGCATCTTATTTGCTATAACTTTGTTAATCATTAAAACAGAAAATTTTTAATTTTTCTGAAACTAATGAGAAAAACTAAAGCCAACTAATTTTATCAACCCTCTGCATATTTAAATAGAATTGTGTGAGGACTCATAAAATGGTTTTTTGTAATTTTTAAAAAGGCTACAGCATCTAGTTTTTTTTTAAGTATTTTGTTTTTTTAATTACTTTTAATAAAGAAATATTGTTCATTGAACATTAAAAAAATTGTAAGGCATTTGAATATTTGTCTTTTCATGGCTGAGTCAATTTATTGATTTCTCTTACCCTTAAATCTAGTTTCTGATGGTTATATATAAAAACTTTGTATCATGAGGTGTTAAGAAATTAAGAAACGAATTTTTAAGTGTTTTAAATAAATGTGTAAATGGATAAATAAATATTGACAACCCATAAAATAAATGATCCTGTATTTTGAGTCCAATTAAAATTTGTGTCAGCCTTGCAAAGCAATAATATAATAACAACTGATCGTCTAATTTGGCGCAAAAAGTTGATGGCAAAGAAAACAACGTCCTACCTCAGGGAACCCGGTCTCTGGACGCAAAACGAAGATTGATTGATTGATTGCAAAGCTATAATAGTTATATCTAGAAATTATGACCAGCAAGATATTTTTTTATCAAAGTTTTTTATTTAAATATGACCAAAAGCAATTGTTTTTTATCATTGACAACAAAAACTAAAAATGCCTAAGCCTAAATCTTGAGATGATTCATTTTAGAACAACTGCACAAACAGAAACTTTTTTTGAAAATGTTTTAAATCTTGTCAATCCTTTTCTGTTAGAGTTAGACATGTTAATAAAATTGAGAATTTCATCAGATATTTTGTGAAGAAGTAATAAAATTTCCTTGATTTATGGACCCAACTAAATTCAAGCAAAAATATAAATGTGAAAACATGGGAGAACATTCATATTAATATGCCTAGTTACAATGGAATTTGTGAATTTTCTTATGAATAAATTGTTGTCAGGGAGAAATAGATGCTAGAGAAGACAGCTTTCGACTGACAGCAGAAGCAGGACAAAAATTGTTAGATTCCAACCACCCAGCAGTTCAGGAAGTCAAAGAAAAACTAGTTACATTAGCTAATGAGAAGACTAGTCTGTTGGAATTGTGGGAAAACAAGCGGATATTATATGAGCAATGCATGGATCTTCAACTGTTTTATAGAGATACTGAACAGGCAGATGCATGGATGACTAAACAAGAGGTTTCATTATGAATTTCACACTAAATTGTGTTACTGCTTTGTTTCAATATTTAGATATTATTTAAATTTTAATAATTTTCGATTTATTTACATTGTCAGCTATGTAAATTTTGTTAAAGGCATTTTTAGCAAATGAAGATCTGGGTGATTCATTGGACTCCGTTGAAGCCCTCATCAAGAAGCATGACGACTTTGAAAAGTCATTGGCTGCTCAGGAAGAAAAAATTAAAGCTCTGGATGAATTTGCATGTAAATTGATTGAGAATAATCATTATGCTGCTGATGACGTGAAGATTCGTAGAGATGCTGTTAGTTGTACATTGATTCTTCCATTTAATGCAAATTATAAAAAACTTGACATAATTCAAATACATACGTCTGATTTATAATAGTAATTAAAGTAATTAAGCTAATGATGTTTAATTCAAATAATTCATTACAAACAGCTATTAAATCGAAGAAATTTGTTGAATGCAAAAGCTAAATCAAGACGTCATGTGTTGGAAGAATCTTATAAAAATCAAATGTTTGAAAGAGATTATGATGAAACAAAGATATGGATTCATGAGAAACTGAAAGCAGCGTCTGATGAAGGCTATTTGGTGAGAAATATGGTGAAATGATAATCTTCATTCTTTACCTTATTTTAAATTTTTAATGTAAGTATTTGAAACTATATACACATATTTATTCAAGTGCACGATGCAGTTATTAAGCTGCAGTGCTATTGATTTTATTAATTACTTAAGTATTTAATTAATGCTTAACAGGATCCTACCAACTTGCAAGGAAAGCTACAGAAACATGAAAACTTTGCTTCTGAGCTGCAAGCAAATCAAGCTCGCATCGAAACTGTAACAAAATCAGGCGAAGATCTTATCAGCCAAAATCATTACAACAAAGATCATATCAAGTCAGTTTACATGTCTGACATCAAATCTTTAATACTTTTTAATCACATAAGTACATTCATACATGGTTTCATTTAAACACTGAGTGAGTAGAACGAAAAGATCATAAAAGTCTTTTGGCCCTATAAACATGTGGAATATTGCATTCCTTTGAGAGAAATTATATATATATATATATATATATGTATATGTATATATATATATATATATATATATATATATATATATATATATATGTTAGCATAAAAACATATTTTATGTTTTTAAATCACCTTTTATCTGAGCTAAGTTAACCTAGTAGTGTTGGTTTTATTAAATTTGTTTTGCTTTTATTTGATGTTACATACTTTTTATAAAATAAGTGCAGTTCTTGAAATAATTGCAAACAGCAGAAATTTTTTTTACAATTGATTAAACATTTTTTTTCAGAGAAAGGTTGGGAGAAATCATTATGCTCTGGCAGAAACTAGTTGATCAAAGTGACAGAAAAGGTTTGTTTTTTTGTGTATCAATGAATTCTTTTGCTTTTTTCAGGATTTAATAGATGAAGTTTTCTTATTAACCATGATTTGTCTGTGGTGGTGTTGTTATTGATTAATATGCCTGGTTAAACTTTGCAGGGTCAAAATTGAAAGAGGCAAATGATCAACAGCAGTTCAACAGAAATGTTGAAGATGTTGAGATCTGGCTAGGAGAAATAGAAGGACAATTAACTTCAGAAGATTTCGGAAAGGTAGACAAGTTTGGAAATATTTAAAATTTTTTTTTTTTTATTAGTCTTTATTATTGCAGCTCTGACATACGCAGAACCACTTACAATGTTACAGATATATAATCTATATATCTTTATTATGTTCTTCATATCTTCATCCATTGATATGAAGCAGCCATCTTCTCCACAAAGGCTGTTTATTCTTTTCACACGACGTACACATGTATTTATGTGCACGCGCAAGCACCGCATCATATACGCTGAGTATATTATAGCCATTGAAATGTTTGACTCAGCACGCATTTGAACCACTGAGTCATCTCGCCGGCCAACATGCGACAACTTACGTCGTCTACCCATTTACCATCCTCGAAAGGATGGACGGCTGGGTTGACTGGGGGTCGGCTACTCCCAGTAGCTGTAAAAACTGCAGAATTCGAACCCGGGTCGTGGGAGTGGCGGACACGCTAACCACTCGGCCACGAGACCCAAGTATGTTCGGGTCGAGGATAGTTAGAGACCATCGACAAGACTAGGTTCAGAGTAGTCAACAACGCACATAGTCTGTGAATACGTGATAAACAACATATTTTTTAAATATTCGAACCCGGTCACTGCACTCACTGCGAAGCAGCAACAGGCTACTTTAACCACTAGGCCATCAAAATACTTAAATACTTATTTGTTTGAAACTTTAAAGATTAATTGGCAACTGGCTATTTGAATAAATTAGTTTATTGAAATCTACTATGTTAAACTTGTACATATCTAGAAAAGTCTGTCAGCATAGAGATATAACGCTGTAAACAGACTTTGTTTCCTGATAGGGATTATCATGGTAGTAGAAAATGTCATAAAATGACGTATCACATTAGATCTATAAAAATGCATTTTTGTAAACATGGTTTTTTTAATATAATTTTTACTTTTTAAACAATTTAAATGTTCCAATAAAATAATCAAAAATGAGCGAACAATTTGCATTGTTAGCTAACAAATTGAATTGAAAAAATAAATTTAAAGTTTATTATATCCAATAGCTGCGTAACAAAGTCAGCAATGTTGAAACAAGCATAGAATTTTTAGACTATAATATATTTATACGAGTTTGTGTACATATGTGTGTAAAACAATTCAGTTGATCTCAAAAATTATTAGTTCTGAGTCAAAAGGACAATGATCACAGATTTTGTATACAAATTATGGATGTGTAGACAATTTTTTCCAAAATATTCCTAATCATTAAAGAATGAGGCTTTTTTTTAATTTTACAGACAATAACTTTGTTTAAAAAGGTGCCTCGTTTATAAATATGTTTTTTATATTGAAAAACTTTTCATTTATTCAAGGATTTGACTAGTGTGCAAAACCTGCAAAAGAAACATTCTCTGTTGGAAGCAGATGTAGCTGCCAGGCAGGTGAGTCAAAAATTTCCACAATTTTTTTCGATTTTTAATGGTATTTCGAATTCAGTCATAATTTAAAATGCTAAAAAGGCAAGATTTTTTATTTTTTCATTCATTCATTCATTCATTTTTGTCTGTTAATCATTTATTTGTTTGTTTACTCATTTATTTATAACACTGTAACTGATTGAGAATTGTGAGAAGGAGCTTTATTATTTTGAGACAATTTTTTAAAAAAGCTTTTTGAAAAAAGGATTTCCCAAGGTAATAAATTGGTATTTTAGTGTCACTAATAAATGCCATCAAAATAAAAACAAATCATGCAAAATCAACCGATCTGACAGCAAAATAAACTCGAGAACAAACCATATTAACAAGATGAAATTAAAAAAAAATAAAGGCATATCTGTATAATAAATTAGGATTATAGTTATAAAATATTTAAATAGAGTACAGATTTATTAGTTAAAATTAAATTTCAAAACCAAAAACCTTGGAGACCTTGGAGATTTATATTTTCCAAACTCAATTTCACCATTCCAGGATCGAATTGACAGCATCACTCAGGCTGCTGATCAGTTTGTTCAAACAGGTCATTTTGATGCTGACAATATTAAGGCAAAACAATTGCACCTAATTGAAAGATACAGAGCTCTTCATGAACCAATGCAGTTGAGGAAACTGAAGCTGAGAGATGCTCTCAGGTTGCAGCAGTTTTTTAGGGATATCGAAGATGAAGAGGATTGGATCAGAGAGAAGGAACCCATTGCTGCTTCTACAAATAGAGGTATTAATTGGTATTAGAGGTATTAATTAATTATGATTAAATTTAAGAGAATTATTAATGTGTTAAAAAATGGTAATCCCAAGTTAGGTTTCATAATGAAAATGACTTTGTGTTGAAAAATGATTGTCATCTACAAAAATCAAAATTTTTGCCTACAATGTTTTGTTTTTTCATGCTAATCTATATTAATTTTTAGTTTTCATTATGTTTATACCTGTAACAATTTTTCCTTTGCACAGGTCGGGATTTGATTGGTGTCCAAAATTTAATAAAAAAACACCAAGCTTTGCTAGCCGAAATATCAGGCCATGATAGCCGAATCACTTCTGTATGTTCTCAGGGTGAAAATATGGTAAAAGAAGGCCATTTTGCTGCTGATGATATAATTAGGAAGGTCAAGGAACTAAGAGACAAATGGGAAATTTTAAAGGTAAATATTTTGTTATTAAAAGTATGTTTATATTATTAAAATTAAATTATCTTGCATGAAGAAATTTTTAAAATACTTCTCCAATTATTTGTTATAGAACAAAGCCAGCAAACGTAAAGAGGATTTGGATGATTCTTTGCAAGCCCAGCAGTACTTTGCAGATGCCAATGAGGCTGACAGTTGGATGCGTGAAAAGGAGCCAATTGTTGGCAACACAGACTATGGAAAAGATGAAGATTCAGCAGAAGCACTTTTGAAAAAACATGAAGCCCTAATGTCAGATCTTGATGCTTATGGAACCGTCGTTGAACAACTCAAGGAACAAGCCCAACAATGCAAAGTACTTTTAGATTAGAAGTGTTTTATTGTTGGTTTGTTTAATAGCTGTAACTTTTCATATCACTATGTAAAAATTTTTCACTGTTCATTCGTTCACTGTTTTGGACATTTTTAAAATTATGTATACAATTTACTAAGGTCTCAAAATTATGAAAATGAGGGTATGCAGTTAATCTTTGAAACCATATTGTTGCATGTAGTAAAATGGTTGAGAAGTTAGCACTACCGTGTCTCACGCTGTTATTACATAATGACACTTGTTCGAATACTCTCTATGAATCTCTAAGATGATCGATCATGCACCATGAGCATATGATGAGGTTAGAAAGATTTAAGGTCTTACACACTCTTTCAAAGTTCCAAGAAATCAACAGCACACAAACAGCGTACATGAATGCATACTTAAAGACGTATGATACGCAAGGTATGTGATAGAATGGGATCGTTTTTTAACATTCGAACTTGGTTACTGTATGCACTGCTAAGCAGGACCAGGCGTCTTTAAACACTAGACCATCACTCATTCCATTCAAATATGTGCTTGCATATGCATATGAAATGTGTGAGTACATTGTGGGGTGTGGATGGTACAAGCCTTTGTGACACGAAAGTTTATCCTTAAAGTTTTGTGCATGTCAAAGCTGCATATTAAAGATCAAAACAAAAAAAATGCGTTTTCTGCAGTTGACGTTGTTTTAGTTGGTTCTATGTCATCAAATTACAGCTTCTCTAATTACTTGCTATACATGCATGATTATTCCAAACACCTAAATGAAACAGCAACAAGAGGCACCTGTTATTGATGACATTGGTAAAGAATGTGTTGTTGCCTTGTATGACTATCAAGAAAAAAGTCCAAGGGAAGTTTCTATGAAGAAAGGAGATATTTTAACACTTCTAAACAGTGCTAATAAGGTTAGCAACTTTAATGTAATTTTCAAACGTCTGTTATCTGTATATCCATATTTCAACTATAGATATCAATTACATTATTCATTATTGTGGTTATATAACTTAAAATTTTTGAATGGGTTTTATCCATTGTGTGATCATCAAATTTGATTTAAACTTAAACAGGTTTATAATATAATTCCCTGACAATACAATATGTGGTTATATAAAAAGTTTTAGCATTATTTTATCATTTAAAGTTATTTACTTTGTGTTTTTATCTTGCTGTTCTGCCAAACTTTTTTCAACATATTCAAAGTTATGTTTATCGTTATCACTTCCAAATGCTCCTTTAATTTCTTTCAACTTAAATTTATTTATAGGATTGGTGGAAAGTAGAAGTTAATGATAGACAAGGCTTTGTACCTGCTGCTTACGTCAAAAAAATTGATTCCAATCTAACAGCATCACAAAGTAACTTGGCAGATGAATATACCATATCAGTCAGACAAGGGCAGATAGAAAATCAATATAAAAATCTCTTGGACCTTGGCAACCAGAGGAAAGAGAAGTTGGATGAATCTTGTAAAGCCTACCAACTTGTTAGAGAAGCTGGAGAGTTGGCGCAATGGATTGCAGATAAGGTTTATTTTTTACCTTTCAGCTTTTAGCTCTGTATAACTTATTTGATTATATATATATATATATATATATATATATATATATATATATATATATATATATATATATATATGTTGGTAATAGACCATAATTTTTACAATATTCTATAAATTCTACCGAATGTTTGGTAGTTTACAAATATTCGGTAGAATTTATAGAATATTGTATATATATATATATATATATATATATATATAATTTAAACAAAATGGCAAAAGCATATTTATCTCTTTTTTGGCTTGTTACCATGTCATTAAATTTTTTTATGAAATTCACGTAGGAAACTGTGGTTAAAACAGATGAAGATATTGTTGATTTAGAACAAGTAGAAGGAAAGCAAAGAAAATTTGATGACTTCAGAAAGGTTATAAATCAAATTAAATGTTTCAAATGTTTTTTTTTTTTGAGATGTCATATTTGAATTATAAACAACAAATGCACTATGAGTAAACTTTGAGGTACACTAACTGTTACTTATGAATTGTAGATGAAACTTTCTTATATGAAACTTTGTTGAGTATGCCAAAGGTTCAGAATGTCTGTTTGGAAGTAGTAAGTTTAATGAAGCTCTGTTTTTTAAACAGTGAAGATAAAAAGTGGAGGCTTATTATTTCTAAAACATTCAATTTAATGTCACGTCGTTGCATATAAGTTTTTGTAACTTTACTGGTGAGTTGGTGTGTTATTTCAAAAAATAAACAAATTGCTTACAAACAACGCCCTCACATGTCTACCTGTTCCAGTGTAGTGGTTTTAACTGCATTCAGTTGCTCAGTATTATAATGCACATCTTTCTGCACACAAATTATTTTTAACATTTCAATACAGTGAAGTGTTAATTAAACCTGCAGGATTTAAAAGCTAATGAGGCTCGTCTAGAAGAACTGAAAACCGTGGCTCAAAGATTAACTGCAATGGGACAAACTGAGGCTGCAGAAAAAATTAGGATACAAATTGATGACCTAAACCAAAGATGGGCAGCTTTAGAGCAGGTTTGTAATTGTTCATTTTGCAAACTTTCATCAGTGCGTCAATTATATTGTTTAATTTTCAAACATTTTTTACAAACTGTTTCATATTGAACTCCCAACACACACCATATGCCAATTAATTAAACAGAAAAACTTTTTTTGGCCTGGTGTCCCAATCATCAGTTTAACATTTTCATTTAAATCTATAAAACAACAGTTATAAATTATAGTAGCCATGGTAACCAAAAAGGGAAAATAAAATAACTAACTTAAAATAATATATATTGAAAAAAGGCGAAAATATACAAAACACTTGGAAAGCTTTCATTGGTGTAAACCTTGGGTTAATATTTGTAGAAAAGGCTGAAAAAATTAAGAAGTAAATACTGGTAAGATGCAATTTCTATAATGAGATTGTTTAAGCATGTAGAAAAAAATTACAAAACCTTAAAAATTTTGAGTAAGAGAACAAGTTCACATGCCTAAATTTTACAAATTGTTTAAAATTTTTGTTTGAAAATTAGAAAATTTGATGTGCAAATATTGTTTTTTTTTTTACTTTTTAATAACTCTCTTTGAACCACACTTGTTCAAGTCTGAAATAAGAATGTTTTTTTTAATGAAGGTGACACAAGAAAAAGCCCAAACACTTGGTAGTGCTTATGAAGTTCAACGTTTTCACCGTGACGCTGATGAAACAAAAGATTGGATTGAGGAGAAGGAAAATACTTTGAAGTCACCTGAATTCGGAAATGATTTGGCAACTGTTCAACGTCTTCAAAGGAAGCACGAAGGTTATTTATTTCTACTAAATTTTTTGTTTGAAGTAGTTCAGTTCCTTTTACACTTTTGTTTGTTTCAATTTTAAATTTTCTGATCAAATTATTTAGAGCAGATTAATTATATTTTTAATGTTTTGTTCAGGTCTTGAAAGAGATTTGGCAGCAATAAATGAGAAAGTGAAAGACCTTGATAGTACAGCTGCTCGTCTTATGCAAACTCATCCTGATCAAGCTCAAACAATTTTTGACCATCAAGCAGAAATATTAGATAAATGGAATTCATTAGTCAAGAATTCTGATAGTCGAAAAGCAAAATTACTTGACTCGTATGACCTTCAACGGTTCTTGAGTGACTTCAGGTTTTTATTTTTTAGAGGAATTTAATTTGAAATAAAATTTTTGACAATTTCATAGGTTCGTATATAAATATCACTTCATGGCTTTTTTTTAAATTCAAATGCAGTCATCGCTTTTTAAACAAATGAATTTTAAGTTTGTTCTAAGCAACAGTTTTTGAGAAGGGACCTCATTTTAAACATTTATATATGATTATTATTAGAGCATTTATATAAGGCTCTTTGTAGGCGAGCTCCTCAAAATTCTGATTAAAGGGTATATTAAATTTTTAAGGTGTTGTTGGCCATAATAAATTTATCTTATTATTGTTACAGTCATTCTTATTACATGAATGCACATTTATGCACATTATTCGTGCACATTTCTAGAGACCTCATGTCGTGGATCAAAAGCATGACTACCCTTGTTTCGTCTGATGAACTGGCAAAAGATGTCACTGGTGCAGAAGCTTTACTTGAAAGGCACAAAGTTGGCATTTATTATTAAATAACCTAATTTGTATAATTCTCATGAAGTCATCAAATATCCCATTTAATATTCCTGTTGCGTTTTTAAATGTCAATTTTTCAAATTATCATATTGGTGTAAATATAAGTGCGCTTATATAACAATTATTTCACCGGAAAATCCTTGCATGTGAAGCAATTTATTGGTTTATGTGATTCTAATATATTTGCTCTGGTGAAGCATGAGTAATATTGGTAAATATTCTTCAGTTTCAAAAGTAATGAGACGAAAATAAATGTGGGGATGAGGATTTTAACTTGAAATAAATAGTTTATATATATTTGTTTGCCAGCATTTAACAAGAAGTGGTTAAAGTTTTAAAATTGAGATGTGAGGTTGAAAATATTTTTCGAAAGTTAAACAGTTCATAAATTATTAAAACACCTTTTTTGATAGTAGGTGAATAGGAAATTTATGCTATAAAGTTTATCTCTAGTGGAGATTTTTACATATATTGAATGGGAAAATTATGCTATAAAGGTATCTCTCACACAGAATTTTGCATTTATACTTTGTTTTGTTTTAATAATAAAAAACTAAAATATGTTTTTATTGTCAATTTTGTAAATGAAATAATAGGAACATAAAATGGAAATTGATGCTAGAAACGGCACTTTCCAAGCTTTTGAACTGTTTGGAAATCAATTACTGCAAAAAAATCACTATGCTGCCACAGAAGTTAAAAATAAACTTGATGAATTAAGAGTTGCTAGAGGTAACCTTGAAAAGTCAGTAATTTTTTTTGTTTTTATGATTTTTTCTACATGAATTTAGTTTAATTTTAACATAAAATCATTTATAATATCTTAATATTGTTTTTATAATTTTTATCTGTCTTCATCTTCTCTCTTTTAGATTATTTTACCTAAAACCTTAGTTGTTTTTTTAACTGTCATTTTTCTGACTATACCCACTGTGCCTAGTTCCAATGGCACATGTTAAGCTCTTCTACTTTTTCTTTCCTGTAAGTTTGAACCTACCTTTTTGAATTTTATTTTTTATATCTCAGTTTTTTATTTAAAATTTAAATTTATGTATACAGTTTACATAAATTTTGATCATTGTCACATATTCTGCTTTTATATTGCTTCATTGTTTTCATCAGTCCACTGAATTATTTTGATCCACATACACTAAAACTCTGTCTTTTCGAATTTATATTCATTTTTTTTAAAGACTATGATTATAGATTTCCATTTTCTAATCTACCATTTTCACATTTGTAATTTTTCTTTTCACTTTAACTATTGTCTGTTTTCTCAAAAATAATGCTTTATACATTATCACCTTTTTCCTGATTACTTTCATTAAAAAATCTTATTTCCTATTTATGAAAAGCCCTCTTGATGCACATATTTTTGCCAGAAATAGAAATGTTTTCAGTTGTTTTTTCAAACATTTGTCATTTTTAAACAAATATTTTAAGCTAAGTTTTAATTGAATTCATTATTGAATTTTACAAAAGGATATTGTTATATTGTTGAAATTGGTAATGGTTAAAGTTTGTTAAATGTTCTATATTAATAGAGCCTGGATAGAGAGGAGAGCAAAGCTAGACCAATGTTATGAGCTGCAACTGTTCAACAGAGACTGCGAACAAGCAGAAACCTGGATGGCTGCAAGGGAAGCATCTCTTGAGGACAGTGGAGATGGGACAGGAGACAGTGTTGAAGCCCTTTTGAAAAAACATGAAGATTTTGATAGGGCAATCAGTTCACAAGAAGAAAAGATTGCAAATCTACAACAATATGCTGATCAATTAGTCAGGGTTATTAATCATGATTTTATTTTGCCTGTGAAATGTTAGATGTTCATACAATTACATTACCAGTGTTTAAAGGCACACGTCATAAATTATAGTTCCAGTGCAGTAGAACAATTTCTGCCAAAATTTTTTGGCGCTAGCTGTTCATAACGGTATTTTTCTCTTTTAGGATGGACATTATGACACAGCAGGAATAGAGAACAGACGAGATGAAGTTCTAGAGAGGTGGAAGAAATTGAAAGAAGCATTGCTCGAAAATCGTGCCAAGCTTGGTGAAGCTCAATCTCTGCAGCAGTTCTCCAGAGATGTTGATGAAATGGAGATTTGGATCAATGAAAAGTTACAAACTGCAATGGATGAATCCTACAAAGATCCTTCTAACATACAGGTTTCACTAGCTTTACTTTATTATCAAAACGTAACATGTAATAACTTTACTGAGCTGAATTTACATTTTTCCATTACAAAAAGTTTCAGAGGTTATGTTATGTTCGTAACCTTATCAGCCTATGTTTTTTTACACTACTTACTGGTCCACAACGTATAATTTATATTATCACAGGCACTTTGATTTTTATAGTACAACTTTGGTTAATTCAGGTTTTAGTTGATTATTCCAGATTCAATAAATAATAAACGTAAGTTTAAAAAAAATCATTTGAAAAAATTGCATCTAATGGTGAACAAAAGGATCAAAACTTGATAAACAAATACATAAAACATTTATACTTTCAAAGCTTTAATAATTTTTTTTGGACCCAAAATAAGACTTGTAAATTTAAAATATTTTTAATTTGAATAAAGTCTTTAATGATGCTGTTTTTCATAAAGGCCAAGCATCAAAAACATCAAGCATTTGAATCAGAACTTGCCGCCAATACTGACAGAATTCAAGCAGTTTTGAAGATGGGAGAAAGTAATTCTATTTTACTTTTACTTTATATGTTCAACGTATTTTATTTAAGAAACTTTCACTTTGTTTCTTATCCATTTTTCGTTATCAAAATTTGAACTTCTCTGTTATAAATACAGAAGAAATGTTAATTTAAATAACAGAATTAATAGAAAAAGATCAGTGTGCTGGATCTGAAGATGCAGTTAGGGAGCGTGTGCATAAACTTCTTGGGGACTGGCAGTTTCTCACAGGAAAGTCAGGAGAGAAGGGAGATAAATTGAAAGAGGCTAACAGGCAGCGTATGTACACTGCGGCTGTCAAAGATTTGGAGTTTTGGCTTGGAGAGGTAAATAAAAATAATTTTTTTATTTTTTGTTTCAGTCATCATGCATAATTTCATAATTTATTTTAAACTATTTAATTGCCTTATGACGTCTTCTAGGTGGAACACATGTTAGAAGCCGAGGATTATGGCAAAGATCTGGCCACTGTTCAAAATCTTGTTCAAAAACATAAGCTGCTGGAAGCTGACATTCAAACTCACGATGACCGCGTTAAAGATTTAAATGATCAGGCAGATGCTTTCATTGATACAGGGATGTGGGACACTGAAAATATAAAAGAAAAGAAACAGTCCATCAATGAAAGATATGAAAGGTTGGATACAAAAATCATTTGTTATTAATCGTAATCAAAAGCGTTCGTTGATTGTTTGATAAATTACCTCATATAAATAATTTTTTTATCCAGTGCCCATTTACAACTTTTGATGAATTGCATTTTAAAAATTAAGTTTTTTCTGAGATAGCTGATGATGGTAGTAAGTGTTATTTGTTTCAACCCGCAGCAGAGTTTTTGATTACATTTTGGTCATTGAATAACTGAATAATTGAATATCAGCCATTATTAAAAATTAGTTTAAGCTGGGCTGTTGAAAATGTAGATGTTTTTACTGCTTTGGTTTTAAGGTTTTTTTTAATTAAAAACATAAATAGGTTTATTATTTGCTAATCCTTTTTTAACCTTTGTTAATTTTTTATTTAGCATATTACAATTGCTTCCATTTAGACCAATATTTTTATTTGTAATTTTATTCAAATTATTTTTCACTTAACTAATTTTGAACATCTTTTAAATCATAAACTTGTGAGTGTAGAGTAGACAAATCTAAATGAGGAATAATTATTTTTACTTAGTGTCTTTATGCATATAAATTTATATATTTATAAATGTGTGTTTAAAGTTTTAAAAATTTGCTGGTTAATATTTAATTGAAATGAACAGGGTGAGAACGTTGGCAGCCCACAGGAGAACTCGTTTGAATGAGGCTCAAACACTCCATCAGTTCTTCAGAGACATTGATGATGAAGAGGCATGGATCAAGTATGTCATTTATTCTATATTTCATAATATAACGTAATATAATACTTTGTGGTAAATATTACTAGTCTTGAAACGATATTAACGTATTTTATATATTCATGCAAACTTCATGGGTTGATCCTATTACCAATATTATATGATAGGTCAGAAAGAATCAAGCTCAAGCTACCTATGTACACACACATATATATATTTATTTATATATTTATTTATTTATTTGAAATATTTCATCACAGGGAAAAGAAGTTACTAGTTGGGTCGGATGACTATGGTAGAGACTTGACAGGTGTTCAGAACCTGAGGAAGAAGCACAAGAGATTGGAAGCTGAGTTATCAAGTCACGATCCCTCTATACAGGTATGCAAAGAGTTACTTCCTTTTCCCTGCTTTCAGTCATTTTGATTCTTATTGGATTCTCGTATTTTTTTCTACTTTTTGTTTCTCATATTTACTTACTGTAAAAATAGTTTTTTTCATCTTATCATTAAGGACCTTTTCATTTGAAACCAGAACAAAACATCATAGTCAATTTTTTAAATTGTGTTAATGTGTAATGTTTTATTTGAAACAAATGACAGTCCGTTCAAGACACTGGTGAAAAACTTATGGCTGACTCCAGTCTGATGACTTCTGATATCCAACAAAGGGTCAATCAACTAGGGGCTAACTGGGATGAATTGAAAGAGTTAGCTAAGAATAGAGGGAAAAAGCTTGATGAGAGTTTGGCTTACCAACAGTTTGGTGCAAGCATTGAAGAGGAGGAAGCCTGGATAAATGAGAAACAGCACTTACTTTCTGGTGATGACTATGGAGATTCGCTAGCTGCAGTTCAGGGGCTTCTGAAAAAGCATAATGCATTTGAAACAGATTTCAAGGTGCATGAAGACAGGTGCAATGAAATTACAAAGGAAGGTGGCAAGCTCATTTCAGAAGTCAGTTGCCTGTTTGTTTATATGTTTGTAGCTTGTTCATTCTTATGCTTTTGTAATTGATTGTTCGCTTGTATGCTTGTGTTTGTATGCTTTCTTGGCTATTTTGCAAAAAATCAAATTAATTATCTTGTTTAAAAATAAAAGTTTTAGTAAAATTAATTTTTATTTCAGTGAAATATTGGAGTAACAACCAGCAAAATTAATTTATTTGCAGGGTAATCACAATGCTGACAACATTAAGCAACGTTGCCAGACTCTTAAGGCCAAACTGGAATCACTACAAGGGGCAGCAAATGATCGCAAAACCAATCTTGTTGATAATTTTGCTTTCCTCCAGTTTATATGGAAAACCGATGTCGTAGAAAGCTGGATTGGTTCGCTCAAAATTATTTTTCATCTTTTGTTTTTGTGTAATGATATTGATAATTTTGTGTTCACAGAATATTTTTTTTATTTAATATTTTATGGTTATGTTTTGTTAATGTAAGTAATATAATATGCAGCTGATAAAGAAGCACAAGTAAGATCAGAGGACTACGGACGAGATCTTTCATCAGTGCAGACTCTCTTAACTAAACAGGTTGCTTTTTCTTTTATATACATGCGTATATCTTCACATGTTTACATGCTTTGAATTATTTAATGAATTTGTAATGTTAAAACGTTTGAAATTAAGAATGTTGAGATTTATAATGTTGTTATGGTTTACCTTGAGCTAGTTGGTTGGTGTTCAAAATATTTTTAGCGGGCATGAAATTACAAGGTTTGATGAGGCCACACCAGTTTCAAAGAATTATTTTAGTGATCTAGAAATCGAAATGATAATTACGAAATTAATTTTTATATAAATTATAGGCTAATTGTTGTATAAATTAAATAAAAAGTTAATTGGGTTGAATCAAAAAAATTTCAAGAAAAGCTAAATACAACTGTTTCTTGAAAATCCAAATTTGCTTCTATAACTTTGTTTAACTGTCATTTCTTTACTAACGGTCCTGCTTTAACTATCATCTTTGTTATGCATTATATTTGCATTCAATGTTTATTACACCCATGTCTATAAGATTAAGCAATTAACTTCATAGCAATAACCCTAAAGTTATTAGTTTTTGGGAAACTCATAAATTTGTTTTCCTATTTTCATCGTTTGTACAGCAATTTTTCAATTTTTTTAGAAAAATTACTTGAAATAATTGCAATACAGGAAACATTTGATGCTGGCTTGCAAGCATTTGAGAAAGAGGGAATCCAGACCATCACCTCATTAAAAGATCAACTTATTTCTTCGAAACATTCACAAACACCAGCAATTGAAAAAAGATATAATGACGTTATCTCAAGGTTGGTTATATAAAAATAATAAGTGTTGGGCGATTTTTTTATGTAAGTTTAATTTCTACTGCTAGTGAAGGACCGATGAATATTTTTCACATGCTTCTTTTACTATATACACCTAATAGATGGCAAAGATTGTTACAAGATTCTGATGCTCGCAAGCAGAGGCTTCTTCGTCTGCAGGAGCAATACAGGCAGGTCGAAGATTTGTATTTGACATTTGCTAAAAAGGCATCAGCTTTTAATTCCTGGTTTGAAAATGCTGAAGAAGATCTGACGGATCCTGTAAGATGCAATTCCGTTGAAGAAATTAAAGTTGGTCTTTGTGTGCTATCTCATTTTCATAATTTGGCAGATCATTTTTGTTCTTTTTCAGAAACTTTCAAGATTTGTGCGATATCATTACATTTGTACATACATATATATTAACAGGCTCTAAGAGAAGCTCAAGATCAGTTTAAAGCTTCTTTAAGTACTGCAGAATCAGATTTTAATCAATTGGCCCAGTTGGATAAGCAAATCAAAAGTTTCAACGTAGGCCCTAATCCATATACCTGGTTCACAATGGAAGCTCTTGAGGATACGTGGAGAAACCTTCAGAAGATCATCCAGGTTTATTACAAATTTTCGAGCTAGGCAAAATTTTCATTGTATTTATCAGGACAGTTATGTCAATATATAATTGTTATTTTGAGATATTTGATATTTGTTTTTTTCCGTCAGGAAAGAGACATGGAGCTAGCCAATGAGCAACACCGCCAAGAAGATAATGATGCCTTGAGAAAGCAGTTTGCTGTGGCTGCCAATGCTTTCCATCAATGGCTTACAGACACTAGGTTCGTTTGCTTGTAATAACGTCAACTTTTCCTATTGGAACATAATTTTAACTATTAAATTTCAAAATGTTTAAATGAATTAGTTTAAATGTATGATTTATGGCATCAAAATGATAAAAAAGCTTTTTGTCAAGAAGACAAAAACTGCTTTTGCAAACAAGAAACAAATTGAAAACTTGATTTCCTAATAGTTATTAATTTTAGGGATTTTGCAATTGCCAATAGTTATTATGACATTCTTTTTTGGTTTTGACTTTTCAGAAAAAAATTAAGAAAAAAAAGACTGCTTTATCTCGTTTTATTGTTTTGATTACCTTTTCCATTAGTTCCGTCCAATATCCAATTCACAGTTCAGTCCAAAACTTTCCGTCAACAGACTTTTTTGAACCACTTAGTCTTTAATGCTTGAGTTTATTGCAAACAATTAAGCTTTTTTTCTTTACGTTATATTCAGGAGTTTTACAGGTTTACATTTAAATCTTGTTATTGAAAGAACTAGAATAAATAATTTTTACATAGATAAAAGGGAGCCTGAAAATGAACTATAAATTATTTATAATACGAAATTAAGTTGAATTATACCATCTATAGTTTAACAAAAAATTAAAAATATATTATAGGATTAGATGTGTAATAAAATGATTGAAGAAGCAATAAAATTTTTGAATTTGTACTGAATATTTATTATAATAATATTAAGAATATTTTTTATTTATATATATATTTAATTTATATAATTTTCTAGTGATTTTAATAATATCAGACTTTATAATTTTAATTTATATTATATAATTTTTTTATATATAATATTATTTATTTAGTTTTTTCAAGTTTTTTATGTTTTACATCTTAAGTAATTAGTTAATGAATTAAAATGTTTCATGTTTTCAGACTCTGGCTACTTGACGGGTTATTCCTCAAACTTCTCCCTTATTAGATTCACAATTATATTATTATCTAGCTTTTTCGTTTCTTATCAGACTTCCAATTAAGTTGTTAAATACTTGGCATGCTTTATTATATTGCTATATCTTGCTTCAATTATATAGCATGTTGTTGGCTATTCTTATTATTAGTATTGGTAAAATTTGATACATAGATCAATTGAAATGTCTTATTTCGTGTTTTCTTTCATTATTATTACTAGATTGATACGTAATTTTAATTTGTGGTTGCGGTATATATACCAATTTTCAGTATTCATGACATTGACTGCTTGTTTACAGGTTGCTTGCAATTTTAGAAAAAAAATGGAAGTCAATGTTACTAAATTCACAATTGTAGACGTACTGCATGCAAAAATTCCCGCATGTCGTACATGTTAATGCAACGTTATCATTAAAATTCATTCTGTTATGGCTACTCGTTAAAAATATTGAACAACTCTGCAGCATATGCAGCATATTTTGTCTAATAAAACGTATTTGAAGGAGTAAAAGAAGTAAAAGTACGGTTTATGCTTTAAGCTTATTTGTGAATCAACTTTGCTTTGATGTTTAATAAAGCGTACTGATAATGACTCTGATAGTACTAACAACATTTAGTTCAATTCAGTTTTACTTTTTAAATGAAAGAATAAATTTATTATTGATAAAAAAATTCAATATTGAAACACATTAAAAAAATGGTGCAACTAGAGATTTATTTTTTCAGCCATCACGTTTTATTTGGTTTCATTTTAGTTATGAGAAAATCAAAGAATTAATTATTTGGACTCAGTTCAGCTTACATGAACGTTAAACAACTCACTCATACTTAGACTTGCAAATCCATTTTAGAACTTCGATATATATATATATATACATATATACATATATATATATATACATATATATATATACATATACAATATTCTATAAATTCTACCGAATGTTTGGCGTTAATATGGTCTATTACCAATATATATATATATATATATATATATATATATATATATATATATATATATATATATATATAAGCAGGCAGATTCAATACAGTATTAGGCTTTTTCTAACTCTTCAGTTCTTTCCTGAAATTAAGTTCTTCATACAAATTATGATCATTTCTCATTTTATCTCTTGTATCTTCATCTAACATGCAGATGTTGTTATGTATGTTTCAACCAGTTATGTGTTTTGCTCTAGTCAAATATTGCTTTTAGCATAGAAAATTGTTATGTTAACTTTTAATTTACTGTTTTTTAAGTATCACTTTATTGATTGATATGATTTATTTCGTTATATTTTGTACGCACATATAATTTATTAGTATGTTCGTCTTTGGCAGGCTTTAAACTAAAAATAATTTCCTAATGTTTCTTCTTACGCATGGTTCTGGTCTATGTATCTTTTTTGTTGTTTAACAAATGAGTTTAATGAGTTGAATGAGGTTAATCAATGACCTGATTTGTTGTTATCAATTATTTATTTTTCAATAGATACTGGTTGATCCTTACAAACTTCTAGTTTATTTCTCTATGCTCAGTCAGTCATACCAACTATGCATTATTTTCATGCTGTTAATAAATTAGACTAACTTCATTCATTTTCGTTCTTCAAAGTTTTCCAAGTTACTTTATGCACTTAACAACATTATCTGCTTTCTTTTTTTATCATTTGCCTGCTTTTTTAAATCTCTAATTTCGTCGTTGACCACATTTCCAGCTCTGTCACGTTTTTCTATATTTTGCACAAATATAGTTATATACTACCTTGTTGTATTACTTTTTTGTCCATTGCATCAAATCACTTCTTCATCCCTTCAATCTCAAAGGATGTCTTTTTCATTTTCCATCTCAAATGACAACCCACTTACTGCCTTGCCTTGCCCTACCCTTGAGTCTTTCTTAAAATTACTCAAGCATTTTATCCTGTTTATTTCTAGTGACTTATTGCTGTGGTTATTCTTTGAATCTTGGTTTTCTATAATGCTTTGGTCAGCTTTTGCTATTTAACCTAATTTTTCATTCATATAGTTATTAATTAAATTATTTTATTAATTGTTCAGTTTGATTTGGTTATTTTCACTATTTATTAGTCGGCATTATTATTGATTGTTACATTTCTAGATACATTATTCTACCATTTACTAAATTTCATTTTTAGCTATTTGATTTTTTATTTAATTTTTGTTTTTAATATTCCATTTAATATCTTCACTATTCTTATTTTCCTATTGTCCAAAATGTTTTAATCTCATCATTTTTTAACCAATTTTTTTGCAATTTTATGACTTGAAATACGTTTGACAGGGCTGCAATGACAGAAGGTTCAGGAACATTAGAACAACAATTGGAGGCCACAAAGGTTTGATACTTTGATTAACTTAACCTCAAGTTTTACATTTGAGTAACATAAACATGTAAATATATTTTAAAATTTTCCCATAAGTTGCAGATTAGATATAGATTTATGTTTGTTAGGAGATTGCATTTTATGTACATGGTTAAAAAATAAACACTATAACAGAGAAAGTCTGCTGAAGTGAGAGCTCAGAGAAGTTTGCTGAAAAGAATTGAAGAGCTGAGTGCTTCGCTTGAACAGAGGCTTATTCTTGATAATAGGTTGGAAGATTTGGGATTAATTTTTTGAATTCTTGTAGCTTAAATATTTTAAATAGATTTGGTGTTAATTTTTTGAATTCTTGTAGCTTAAATATTTTCAAATTTGTACACTACATACAATGTACAATGTCTTTGTTAAAGGTACACTGAACATAGCACAGTAGGATTGGCACAACAGTGGGATCAGCTAGATCAGTTGGGTATGAGAATGCAACATAACCTTGAACAACAAATTCAAGCCTGGTTAGTGTACTTTATTTGTTCAATGAACTTGTTCAAAAAATGGTATTTAATTATCGAATTGTGAATTTTGCTTCAAAATGTTAAAAATAATGTGTGATGTATTATTTTGTATTAGTAATGCTTTAGGATACATTTGATTTAATTGAATAATATTCTAGCAACCAAAGTGGCGTTACAGAAGATGCGTTGAGAGAATTCAGCATGATGTTCAAGTCAGTATTATCTTCTTGAATATCATACGTTTGTCTTGTCAGTAACTTGTTGTTATTAATGTAGTTTCACAAATTAGCAAGCAAAGCAATTGATTTATTTATTGACAGTCATTAGGTACAGACATAATGTTTTTGGTCTTGAATAAGAATTTGCTGTAATTAATTTAACATAATCTTTTCTGTTTGCTCCGTATATGAAATTTTTCTGTTTCCTTCGTACATGGAATCCTAAGAAACATAGATTGTCTTAATGCTTATTTTATATAACATCTATCCTCTTTGATGAATGGTTTGTTTCAATTTTAAAAAGTGTATGTAGACTAGCAAGGCTTTCTAGAATAATTAGTTTACTTGGTGACCTTTGGAGTTTATTTGATGAAATTGATCACTATAATTTATTCATCGTTTAACTTTAGGAGACTAATTCTAAGATTGAATTTTTCAGACATTTCGACAAAGACAAAACAGGCCGATTGAACCATCAAGAGTTTAAGTCATGTTTACGAGCTCTAGGTAATGATTTGCCAATGGTGGAGGAGGGACAAAGAGACCCCGAGTTTGAAGCCATCCTTGATTTAGTAGACCCCAACAGGTAATTAATTTTGTACAATGATTTTGTTCCTTTTTACCTCATTTATTTTTACAAACATGCGTAAAAACATGTAATCAAATGTCGTGGAATATTTTAAATTGTATTATCTTTTCTATCAGTAGGGATATTAGTGAGCTGATGTTAATATAATTTGGCAAAGACAACAGGTTATATCTTTTAATGTAAGCCCCTGTGTATTTTTCTTGTTCGATTTATTATTTTTTACAAAGCATCACTGAGAGCAAAAATAGTTTTAAAATATTTAAAAAAAACAAATTTTTATATTGCTAAATATAGTAGGTAAAAAAATAAATATAGTCGTCTGTAAAGTTTTGAAAAATTTTTTATGATTTTTAACAATTTGTTTTATTTTAAGTCAAGTTCTTTAAATTTTTCCAACATACAGAGATGGATTCGTTTCGTTGCAAGAGTATATGGCATTCATGATCAGCAGGGAAACTGAAAATGTGCAATCAGCCCATGAGGTTGAAGCTGCTTTCAGGGCTCTAACTACGGGAGACAAGCCATACATTACTTCCAATGAATTGTTTGCTGTAAGTTGTTGAAACTTCTGTTTTTTTGAATGATTATTTGCAACAGCGATGATGAATAATTCTACGACGAGTTTCCCAATCATCTTGACAAAAGTTATAATTAAGAGGGTTATGAATTTTAAAGAATGAATGTTTTTATGTTGGAAGGAAGATAGTGGGGGTCAATATAAAAATTATTCATGTATTATATTAGTTAATTGTTTGTTCATTCATTCATTTTTCTATCTATCTATTTACTTATATTATCTATTTATATAATTAAATAATATATTTATATATGTATATGTATATGTATATATATATATAGGTGTGCGTGTGTGTGTTTATTTATTGAAACATCTCCTGAACAGTTTAACAGAACAATCTCAAGAAAATAATATAATTCTAATAACCTAATCCTTCTCATGTAAATAAATTAAGTGGTGTCCCTAGTCCTAGAAGCCACAAAATTCTGCACAAAGAAATTAGAGATTTTCTGTGTAAATTAACGTGTATATGTCTATATGATTCCTGTTTTGATGTGGATGTAGATGTGGCACAATTGTTTACGAAATCTCAATTGATAAGCGAGATTAAAGATTTATGACGCGTATTCTTAGCGGAATAGCCTTGCGTTTATTGCACACAAAGTTAAATTTGCTGCACGTAAATTTTTTTATCAATTTTTTTGTGATTGAATTTGATTGTCAGTTGCAGTTTGTTTAGATGTTTAAACATTTGTGTGTTTCTGTGTATAACATAAGTGTGAAAATTTGAAAAACTCTATGTGTATTGTGACTTAGTTTTTTTTATTTTTCAGAATTTAACAAAAGAACAAGCTGAGTTCTGTAGGTCTCGAATGAAGCCATATAAAGATTCAACTGGAAGGCAAATTCCCGATACTTACGATTATATATCCTTCACGAAGGATCTTTTCATCAATTAATTATTTGTAACTTTTTATGTTTGTTTAATTTTATAATATGATGCGGTGTATATCAAATTACAGAAATATTACAATTGATTTAGAAAATTTTTTTAATATCCATTTTAATTATATTATACTTAAAAATCACTATGCTTTCTTGAAAAATAATTCATCCATTGTACCATTCGATCTACAAATGGCTTCGCTTTTCGTTTTATTTTTTCTGTGCTTAGATGATTGTACGCACGCATTTTTTTAAAATTACGTATAATAAAAATGATCAATGTCTAACATTTTTCACTCAATAAAAACGTCCGGTATTTGTATTTGCCTAATTTCGATTCAAAAAGACATGCTGTGCGTAAGAGATTTGAGGTAGCGTCACCACCTAAATTTGAAATTAGGTGATAGTGTACAATGTAAGGTAAGTTTGGCGTCTACTTATTTTAAAAAAGGTACAGTTGATGATTTTTCTTTGAGGTTTGTTTAATTTTGATTTGGGCATTAAGACTTCGGTTCTTTGCCCATTTATTTTCTACATGGTTCTTGCTATATGATGCTTTGCTGTCGTCTCACGAAGTGTAAAAGATGACGTGCTGACTTTACAGACACACACTTGAAAGAACCTGGTATAGAAAGGCTAAGGAATTTCGTTGAAGAATCTTGAAGGAACGAATAAATGAATGAATGAAAAAATGAATGAATGGGAACGAATGAATGAATGAATAGGAATGATTGGTCTATTTTAAGAACATTTTAAAAACTACATTTAAAAACCTGTTTTCAACGTTGGCGCTTACGCTTAAGAAAAGATTTTAAGTAAGCAAAGCATGGCAGCAATAAAAGGCACGCGATGTATAAAAAGCCGTTAATTCGTTATAAATTGCTAATCTATTAGCAGGCTAACAGTGTGTTAGTGTACTTGAGTTTATTAATATGAATATATGTGAACAAGTATGTGTGTATAACATGATGGGAATTCGTTTTAGTAATCTGCCAACGAGTTAATCAGAAAATTGTATTTAACTTGAAATAGATAACATGCTTGCAGGTACTTAATCAATGATTTTTATCTGTATTGCACAACGTTGTATGAATATAACAAAGTGATGTTTATGTTTCTAAAAAAAATCGTTAAATATCGTGGATAGTCGTTAGCAGTGTTTAGCTTACGTTGGCTGATTAATTTTTGTCGACGGATAGCTACTGGCTTAGTTTAAGTGATTGTAATATTTTATTTGGCTGCTGACTGTCATTGTTTGTTTTTATTAAGTTTTTTTTATTTAATTTATGTTTGAAAAAAGAAAGAAATAAAACAGCTGTACAAAATTAAAAATATTAAAAATTTTGTTTTTGTTTCCCAAATTTCAATTGCATAGTCGATCTTCTAATTTTCTTTCTTTCTTTATGGTGCTCAGCCATCTTTTGTTTGCGTTCCAAGCTTTTGGTGTTCTTCAAAATATTAAAATATTAAGTTCAGTTGTCATATGCATAGAAGTTAAAAATAAAAATCTTCACTCACTGTTAATAATTAAGTATATTGAAAATCATATATATATATATAAATATATATATATATATATATATATATATATATATATATGTTGGTAATAAACCATAATTTTTACAGTATTCCATAATTAATATAAATTCTACCGAACATTCGGTAGAATTTATAGAATATTGTAAATATATATATATATATATATATATATATATATATATATATATATATATGTGTGTGTGTGTGTGTGTGTGTGTGTGTGTGTGTGTGTGTTTGTGTGTGTGTAATACATTTTTTTTACAAAGATATCAAAGCAACAATTATATTT